GTAGCTTCATCAGTCTCTGAGTAATAGACTGTGAAGAGTCATCTTTTAATATTTAATTTCTCACATATCTAAGTTCAAAATATGCTTGTGAAAGCTGATCTTTGATCTGACACTACTGTCTTAGAGATGCTATGTTGAGGAATGATGTCATGAAGAAACACTTTAGTCACTGTCTCCACATCAGTTTTCTTAACTGCTTTTAATATAATCTCTTGATGAGTCTGTCTATTATAATCATGATGTTTATATATTCTTTAGAGCTTGATAAGTTCACAATAAAGTTCATAGAAAGCTCCTGTTACATGTGTTCAGAAATGAGAAGAAGCTTAAGCAGTCTCTGATGTTGATCTGTTCATGCAGTATTTGATCTGCAAAAATGACAGTTTCTGATCATTCTTCTCACATCAGTGACATAGCCTGATCAGTAGAACTCATATCTTAGAACTTCTGCTGTTTGCTCTCACCCAGGATGACCAGTAAGAGATGAGTCATGAGTCTCATGTACTAACCTGGTTTGAAGAGGTTTGAAGTTTGGCACTCACTTATGATCTTGAAAGAGAAGCTTCTCATTCTCATTTAAAGAGCACTCAGAGACAAAGATCTTAATGCTGAGTTCAGAAGAAAATCTGAATCTTTTCTCATGAAGAATCTGCTTCAGATGCTGCAGAATCTTATCATTTTTGTGAGTCTCATTTCACTGAGCTTGAAGAGACATCTCAGATTTCACACTGACAGTAACCACTCTTGATTTCATTTCAGATGTCAGTATATTACTCTTAAGTAGTTGAGCTTGCCTCTGCTTGATTCTATCATCATCAGCACTCTGTGACATGTTCTGCTCTCTTTGTGATAAGATGTTTGATTCAGCATTCAACTTCTTTCACCAGTAATCAATTCTGAAGTTGAATCAATAGAGAATATCTATTCAATATAGCTGTCTTTCATTTAGTCTATATGTAGTCATGAAGTATTCTAGATTCTTATGATCTGTGAGAATCTTGAATTCCTTTACACTTTGTAGCTCAGCATCTCATTTCTTTAAACACTTAATTATTGCTAATAACTTCTTATCATGAATCTCATAGTTGCATTCTACAGGTGAATGCTTGTGAGAGAAGAAGGCATATTAGTGTAGAATGATCTGCTCATTATATTGTAGTAGCACTTCTCCTGAGACATAATCTGAGAAGTCTGTTTTCAATATAGTCTCATAATCAGAGTCAAATTGAAGCAGAATTGGAGCAGAGATAAACATTGATTTTAGACACTTAAAAGCTTCCTCAGCCTTGCTCATCTACAAAAAAGAAATATTCTTGTATGTAAGAATTGTTAGTGAGATCACAATCTTTGAGAAATCTCTAATAAATTGTCTATAGAAATTGACAAAGTCTAAAAATTCTCATACATCTTTAAGAGTAGTAGGTGTTGCTCATTTCAAAACAGCTTTAATCTTCTCTGAATTCATTCATATACCCTTGTCTGCTTCAATGATGAATTCAAGATATTTTGTGCTGTTCATCTTGAACTCACTTTTTCTGATGTCTGCCTGCAGGCCTGCTTCCTGTAGATGCATAAGCATCTTTTGTACATGCTTGCAATGCTCCTGTAAGCTTCTTGAGGAAAGTATCAAGATGTCATCTAAATAGACTAAGCAGAAGTCATCCAGATATCTATGTAATGCCTAGTTGATATAATTTTGAAATGTGCTTGAAGTATTAGCCAAATCAAAGGGTGTAATTAGTCACTTAAATAGTCTGTATCTGGTTCTAAAGACTGTCATCTACTCATCATCTTTCATGATTTGAATCTTGTGAAAAGTTGCAATAATGTCCAGCTTAGTAAATCATTTAGCTCATTCAATTAACTATAGAGTCTCACTGATTAATGATAGAAGATATCAATTCTTTCAGGTCATTTTGTTAAGAGCTCAATAGTTTACATAGAATCTTAGCTCATCTCCAGACTTCTTTGCAAATAGTACAGAAGCAGCTACTGAAGAGTTGCTCACTCTAATAAAACTCTTATCTAGATAATCTGTAAAAATCTTTTACAAAGTCAGTAGTTTCTCTTGAGACATATTATATAGTAAGCTTTAAGGAGATTGTTCTGTGCTATTATCAGTCTTTTTAATCAGTTCAATCCCATGATCTCTATTTGAGCCATGAAGTGGGGATAGAGTATCAGCAGCTTTCTTATCAAATATATTTAAAAACTCATGATAATGTTCAAGTAGCTTTTCTCTAAGGTCAATCATTGATTTTACTTCTAGAGTCTTTTGAATGTCAGTCAAACTGACAGTAAAGATCTTAATGTTTCACTTCTCTTAAGTGCTTACAAGCCTAGAGAAGCTTATGACAGAGATGGAAATCACATCAGCTTTTGCATTTGAACTAAACTCTATCTCTATGTCACTCTCTTCAAATCTAACAATTCTTTGATAAGGGATCACGGTCACCTTTTGCTGGGCCAGCCAGGGGTTACTTAGATATATATCATGATTATGTAATTCATTCACCATATAGAGAAAGGCTCATTCAGTTATGTGACTATCTATATCAATTTGAATGCCAGTCACCATGCTTGTAGAGAGTTTCATAGAGTCTTCAAAGCCAGTCATTTTAACAGAAGGAATTTCAATGCACAGGAGCTTATGCTTATTAATATAAGATTGAGAAATAAAATCATAGACATTACATCCACTGTCTATCATTGCTCTAGTTGAAAAGATATTATCTACTAGAGCATTAATATTGAAGGGTTTGAATATCATCTTAGATTTAAATCTTCTCTATTACTTCTTCATAAGTTTTTTATTTTACTTCTTTCAGTGTCTTTTAATTAGAGCTACTTTTTTTCCTGAATTCTCACTCATATCCACATTGTCATTGTCCAGTATCAGCTTGAGGATCATCTTAGCTATTATGAGGATGGCAGAGCATCTGAAAGATTTGAATGAACAGCTCTTAATCATATGATCTTCAGCTTTGCATCTCAGGCATAGGCCTTGCTCTCTTCATTGATTAATCTCTGTCTGATTTATCAATTTGATATAATGAGTGCTTGGGGTTACAGCATCAGGAGAGAGATTCATCCTATCATCAGTGAAAGCTTGAGACCAGTTTCATTAATCAAGAACAGCATGATGAAGTGAAGAGTGTGAATTAGATATTGTATGATCTGAAGAAGATTTACTCTCATGATATTTAAATCACTGTCTTAAAGTCTTAAGCTCAGAGAGTTGATGATCAACTAATCTAAGCTTTTTGCAGTAATTCTCATAGAGAGATAATTCTCTTACATTCATCATGTCTTCCCTCAGCTCCATGCTTAGAGCAGATTTCAAATACTTCTTTTTAATATAATCATCTCATTCATGACTATCAGCTTCCAGCAGTAGCTAATTAAATTCAGACAGAAAGTCAAAGATAGCTCTTCTACTCTGTTATATATTGTTGAGCTTTTGCATAGTCTTTTCCTGTTGTGCAGAATCACTAAAGAGCATGTGTGTCTGCTTCAATAAGCTCTCTATTATGAAGTTAATCTTGTTCTTATTATTCTCAACTCAGAGGTAAACTCAAGCTGCTGTCATTCCTTCCAGTCTTAAGTATATATATCAAGCACATTCCTCATTATTATCTAAAGCTTTTCCATTAATCTTAAGTTTTGATTGAAGCTTTAGCTCTCACTGAGGGTAGTGCTTCAGATTAGAATCATCATACTTCTCACAGTTCAGTAGCTTGATCTTTAATCTTCTGACTACAATGAGTGATTGCAAATTTACTTGAGAGAGAATTGATATTGAGATGTTCAAAGCTTGTCATAGATTAGCTATTTCAGCTTGCTGAGCTGCTATTAAATTTCTGTTCTCACACTGAACCTGTTTCTGCTGTTGAAGAAAGGTCATTCATTATTGTTCAAAGCTGTTAAAAGCATCCCTGCTCATTGCTTTATGTTGATTCATTTATGTATTTGTTGTACAAGTTTGTCACTTTATCTCATTCAGCTAGACATTTTCAATGTTGATCATTTGTTTGTTAGCATGATTGCTAACTTAGTCTATTCATATATCAGTGCTATCATTGAACTTCATGATATAGAATTTAAGACTTTCAATAGTCTGTCATATGTCAGCACATTTGCTAAGCTTTATGATACAGGATTAAGACTCTCAGTGACCTATCAATGAAAGGAATGAAGCAATTCATAATGCAGAGGATTAAGCTCTAAGAACTAGAGACTAGTCCTCCTATATAACAAGGATGAATTGCTTGGGTAAGGGAAGAAAAGAATGAGATGAGAATACAAGCTTAAGCAAGTTCACATAGCATGATCACGTGCGCATGTGCAAATGATGGCTAGGCTGAGTCAGCCAGCCAGAGCGAATCTAGGGGTTCAGCCCCTTATAATATCAATGATGAGATTGACTTTGCATGAATTCAGCACTTTAATAAGATCTATAAAAAATATCAGCAAGACAGTCACCAATTGCTGCTTCTTGACAATCATGAATCTCATCTCACTGAAGAATTTCTACAATACTGCAATCTTTAAATAATGTACCTTTTCAGCAATATAAGCACTATCATTCAAAGACAGTTAATCAAGTTGCATGATACAGATATGAGCAGTATGAAAAATATCAATTCCTACAGAATTTAGTTGATGTCTACAAAAAGACTTTTCAACCTTTTACTATTCAGACTGGCTTTGCAGATTGTGGTATTGTTTCATTCAATCCACAATCTATACTGCTTAAGTTAGATTCAAAGGTCCCTGACTACCCTGAGTTGTAAATATATAAAGAAGACTTCTTTTCACTGCAATCAAGCTGTTCAGATACAGCTTCATCACAGCTATTCTCATTCAAGACAATCAAGAAGCTACAACATCATATTTAAGTGGCAAAGAAGGCAATGCAAGATATGAAGAATATACTTGATTTCAAATCACCTCACCTGAGCAATTGATTGAACAAGATTTTCCAAAGCAGTCTTGTTCAGATGAAACTCAATGCTATAAGAGAGAGTGAGATTGAGGGTTACTACCTTGCAACCAAATACCACAGCACTAAAAATACACATCAGCAGGTTCAAGTAGGAGGTATACTCACTGTCAGGGATGTGAATAGAAAGATCATGCAATGTAAAGAGGAGGAAGCAGAAAAAGAACATTTTAAGAGAGTCAAACATGTTGAGAGAGCTTTGAAGAAAAATGCAACAGATCCAACTCAACAAGAGGTTAATGATATATATAAACATCTCGCGAATAATACAGCTACTACGGATGATATAGATAAATTAATTATCATAGATTAGCAGCGTGGTGATGAGATATTAATTTTTGAAGTTCTAATTATCCATATTTTTATCGTTACGCTGTTTTTATCGTTACGCTGTGGCGCACCCACATCAGGCGTGGGTGCGCGGAGGCACGATTAGTTGTTAATTGTATTGTAATAATCAATTCGCTCCCACGTACTCACAAGTAGTTATAGTGCTCCGTTATAGAGACCAACTCCTTTATACTGTGCTGTACAGTAGTGTCCTACAGGCGGATCTAATGGGCTACAGTTAAATTGCTTTGTGTTTGCTTTCTCCAACCTTGAATCGTTAAGTTACCCTTCCCTTCTCGGTCTTGTTTAACAGTGTTAGTTACTGGAAGGTCGTGGACGGCAATATCATGACTAACGGCTACCTAACTTACCACCGAGCAACCACCCAGATGTTCCCGATACCTCCCACAACATCCATGTCAGCTCCGCAAATCCCCAACCTTAACACTCTTCGACGGGGAGCCGGGAGAGGTCGTTTTAGGGGACGTGGGACCCACGAAGCTTCCTCTGGACACTCCGACGGCACGGCAGCAAAGGATAGGATCGTTCAGCAGACTGACAACGATGCCAATTTGTCAAGGCTCAGCGCGGTCGAGCTAGGGTATCTCCATGACGCGTTTGCTCTGGCGTTTACAAACGCCGGAGGAACGGGTTCGAAGAGGTATCCGATAATTAACAGAGGTAACTATTGTGTTACTAGTTGAACTTTTATATAAATATTTGGTCTTGGTGGTTTCGAGTTGTATTGTAATTTTGTGCTGAAAGACCTCTACACAGGAACCTACGTACGGACTATTGCCATTGATTGCCTAGTTAATAGCTTTTTAGACACAAAGGGGAAACCCAATGGAAAGAGGCAAATAATATCACTCGGCGCAGGCTCAGATACGCGAGTATTTCGCCTTCTCTCTCAAAACCGCTCGCTAGACCTCATATACCATGAGCTAGACTTCTCAGCCAACACCACAGCCAAAATAAAAGCTATCCGCTCTTCTCCACTCCTGCACAATGCTCTTCAGATTTACGGGCCAGAGGATGTGAACATATCTGCTGATGGTGACGCTTTGCATTCGAAATACCTTCACATCCATCCCATCGACCTTCGGACTCTATCCGCGTCCACCTCACCTACGATACTGCAAGGCGTGGACAGAACACGCGCGACACTTCTCATATCAGAGTGTTGTTTGATCTATCTTTCACCCACCGACGCAGATAATGTCCTCTCGTATTTTACTCAGACTCTCTTTCCGCCTTCCGCGTCCTCATCTACCACTCTGTCCAAGTCCACACTAACTCCCGCATCAACATCCACATCTGCACTTTCGCCTGCACCCCTAAGTCTCATTCTTTATGAGCCAATTCGACCCGATGATCCCTTTGGGAGGACCATGGTCTCTAATCTCGCGACGAGAGGTATCCGTATGCAAACACTGCATCGCTACGCGTCTCTGTCAGCTGAACGTGACAGATTGCGCGACCATGGATTTGTTAGCGGTCAGGGAGCAGCGGATGTGGATTTCATATGGGAGCGATGGATCGGGCAGGATGAGAAAGAGAGGGTAGCTGGATTGGAGATGCTGGACGAGATTGAAGAGTGGAAGTTGCTAGCGAGTCATTACTGTGTGGCATGGGGTTGGAGAGACCAAGGCGAAGATGGCCGGGAGGGGGAAAGGGTGTTTGAGGGATGGAAGAGTTTGGAGGCACAGTAGTTGCAGATGAAGGGCAAAATGAAGAGAGACGGATAGATACCATCATGGAGAATTGAGGCACTTGACAACTTAGGAATTAACTTACTTCCGGGGGATTTTTGACTAGCTTTGTGAATCCTTCAAGATGTGAGAACACACTCAATCGCATTACTATGTTTGGTTGTGTATTTTTGGCTCCAGTGCAAACTCCGCTTCCCTGAACCTTGAAACTTTCCATTAACCATTTGGGTCAGTACATAAAAATAATGCACAACGGCGATCAATTCAATTGCTAGGTTCCAACCTCACTTTCACTTTTATTTGTCTCTATAACTTCAACATTGGGAAAATACTGACATCGCGAGACTTTTCAAGCTGCTATGCGTTGGTAAATGGGCCTAATAGCGTCCGTTTCCAGAGAGAATTTAACCCCCGATAACGATGTGACTTGGTGGAGACAGCGTCTATTTGCAAGTTTTGAGTCCCATCACAGACTCAAACATGGACCTAGAGCCTTCTCTGAATTGGAAGTATTCCGACCAATAGAAACAATTTCGATAGTTTGATGATTCGGATCTCAAATGGAAGTTAATGACGATGTTGGCTCCATTGAGCGAGCCTGCGGAAGGTATGGAAGACTCGTGCGGAATCCTTTTGTAAGAGGCTAGGAACTTAAGGAGTGGATCCCTTCCTAATGCAGTTACTCTTTGCTGGTCGAATCGAGGTAAGAAATTCTCCTTTTCATTTATGAAGCGCATGTGGAATGTTGAAAACTGATATTGCAAGAGTAATAGATGAAACTCATGGAACAAACACACTTTGCAGATCGCCGACGCAAGTCTAGGTGCCCAAATTTTCTGGATGAAACCCCATAGCTGTGTTTCTATAATTTGTGCGAGTGTCTTTCCATTTGAATAAATATATGGAAACATTTTTCGTTGCTGCTGTGATTATCTTTGAAATATTTGCTGATCGTCATGATAATCAGTCATGCTTGGACATCTGAAAACCAGGTCGTGAAGAAGACAAAAGGACTAAACCAAATGCTCCAATTTCACCGTTTCTTTGGGACATCTCTGTTCCATAGTGGTAGAAAATTACGTATGATGACCAACTATCCATTTTCTGTTGCTGCAGTATGCCTATGGGACTTCTCTTTCTAGATTGTCCATTTATTGGTTAAATGGGCTCGTCATTTCTTTGTCAACCAAAATGCATTAATTATTCATTCAGTACCCTTGGCGATTTTTCCTGATACTTCCATTAAATTTGTGCAAATATGGCAGTACAAACTGAGTCTAATGACTCTCCTGCCTCTTCTAAGTGCCCGTGTATCGAAGGGAAAAAATCGGTAAGGGGCTTCTCGACAATCTATATATGAGCGAAATGCACCCATACGATCCAGAGCACATCCTTCCCGTCAAGATATTTCTTTTGAATAGAGATAGAAGCTTTCACGTCCTTGAATTTGGATATTATCCTTTATCCACTTTTTTCCTCCTCTATTTGTCTATTTCCCTATTCACAACAAGTAGAAGGGTAACAAAAAAATAAAACGAAAAATCGCTATGAACCGCAATTGAATTTTCTTTTTGACATTCGCGAGCCTCGTACTTGCAGCTCCTGAACAACAAAGTCCTCGTCAAGAGAAACTGGAGAGTGTTATGGACATATTTGTACGTATATACATAACCGCACATCCTTGACGTAGCAATCTTGCACACTTTAATGGTTAGACATGTTGACTGACGAAAATGGTTAAATCAAGCTAGTGTTCTAGAGGCCTTGTAGGACTGGCGCGGATTGCGCTCCCGAGGAAGGGATGACATTGTGAGATGAGTTCTAGGTCTATTTTATTTGAATTCTACCTGCTGAGATATTTTCTCGTGGACGTTTTCCCTGTGTTTTATACATTTGGATAGTAAGGCTGATATAGTATCTGTCTGCGGTTACCATTTGCAGAAGTATTGAAGTTAAAAAGCTCTGTTTGGGGTATAAAAGTGAACCATAAGTATTGCATCATGAGAATAGGGAGGACCGGAGGCGTTTTCAATTAACATTTCAAGTTCTCGGAATACTTTGACGGAGGTTGATAGACTTGTTTCCATTGTGACAGACTTTGAGCTGTTAAATTCTAGCTTCGCTTTTTGTGTCCGGGGATACCCTGGCAGCACTCCGAAAAGGAACCTTATCTTTGCCTTGCCTTATTTTTATCCCTTCCAACAACCCTTTTGATCGAACTTGCAACGAATAAATAATAAGCCTGTATTAGACAAAATACATACCTACATCTGCTCACAAAATTTAAATTTTCTCGTCAAATGGCGACACAAGCTTCTCAATCCTCTTGAACTTTTCCAACAATGACGAGTTCCAGGGGTACAAAACAACATAAATCCGGGACGATATACTTGGACTTGGTCGCAAGTCGACTCACTAGATGATTCATCAGTAAAGAATAACATAACCTCGTGATACTATCCGGACGGTGAAGTCTCTGAAGATGCCCATTTATATGACCCCACTTTAGGCCTGAGGGTCCCCGGGGAAATAGTTATTGTAAAGCACCCAGACGATTGGCAGGTGCGCAAGTAATTTCCAAACCGGTCGCTGTGTGTTGGAGTTGCTGGTCTTGTATAGAACCTTTGCGAGAGATGTGACAAAAATGTTATTGGTCTGAGTGTCCTCACCGCGAGCCAGTAATCTCAATTATTCTTTGGCTGTTTCGGTGTGATCAAAGTAGCGAAAGTGCTAAAATTCGTAGCACGGTATACGTCAAGAAGGAGTGTCAAGTTTCTGCCCGTTACGGGTTGCCTTGACTGAGCTCGGCCACAAGACGTCATCAAAACCTGGAAGGGGGATGTTACGGGACAAGCCCCTCAACGATGAACACGGAGTTGTAGGTGGCGGCCAATGAATAGTAAAACAGCAGTTAGTTGCATGATTCTCTGTTTCATATAGTTACCCATCTCCAGGGGCACATCCAGCTCTCTGTCTTTGTGTCATTCAGTGTGATGTTGTCTGTTAGAGCAAAATATCTGTGCAATGTCAAGATGAAGTTGATTTAAGATTTCCCTTAAAACAGCAGGAGGCTCAACTGTTGGGAGTGCCACGCCCTTCCTTCATCCGGGGGCTTCACATGCTGGCCAATCGCAGGTGAGTCCTGTCTGACGGGTCATCCGCCGATGACATAAGCGCATTGTGTCGGCAAAAGCCAAACCTCACGCTGCTTTTATCATGGAACCCACTGCACCCAGCCAAATCAATGGACACAAAGACAAGTTTCATCTCAACTTTTGCATCCACTGAGCAGATTACCCCACCTTTCAATTGCATATCTCAAGCAGTTCCAATATGGAATCTGAGCCACATACCGCACCTGAAACTCGCCGACGCCTTCCACCATGCCAAGTCGACTGCAAATGGTGGAAGAGGGGCAACTGTTTCCGTGGCAGTGAATGCTTTTTCCGCCATGATGCCGCTCTGGCTGGTGTGGATGCATTGCCAGGGAGCCGCATAGCCGGTGTAGCAGCAGGAAATTCCCGCAACGAAACAACTATAACAGGTGGGTGTTTGATTTGCATGTAACCGTGACTTTGTATAGATATATGGCGGATCTTTTCTAGAAGTACTATAGTATAGACTGACGCGTTGACTAAACCTAAAGACACCCCCGCTTCCGGCTATGCGAGAGCAGTACAGCCTCGTCCGACTGCAACTAGCCTTCGGCGAGAAAACCCTGATGAACAGTGCGGAATTTGCTTGGAGACTCCTAGCGTCTTCGGCTTGTTGGTTAATTGTGATCATATCTTTTGCTTAGGTAGATATTCGATCTGCTTCAGTTTCTTTGTTGCTCCTCTTCAACTTATTGATATGACCAGACTGTATTCGCAGCTGGCGCTCTTCCGTCAGGAATTCTGCTGAAGATGCGATCAACCCTACCGATTCACGTGTCCCAAAAAGAACTACCAAGACCTGTCCACTTTGTCGGGTTAAGAGCGAATATGTCGTTCCAAGTTCTGTTTACCCCACTCCACCCACAGCAGCTACTGCTGCATCAAATGTTGCTTCAGGGAACGAAATTGCCACGACGAATTCTACAGAAACTGGGGAGTCTAGTAGTGAGACTAGACCAAAGAACGAAGCCAAAGCTAAGATCATTGATAAATACCTTGCCCGCCTGAAGGGAATTCCCTGCCGCTACTTTGAACTGAGCATCCAACGTTGGCGCGCATTGCCAGCCATTGAAAACTTGGATCCAAATGCCAGTGGCAACCGTCAGGCGAAGTTTTCAGGAGAATGTCTCTTTGGAAATGAATGTCATTTTGCTCACATCCATCCTATCACTAAAACTCCTTACGTCTTCTCCAAGAAGGAGATATCCTTAATGAAACGTGCAAATCATGAGAGGAGATCCAGGGCCATCCGTAGAGCACTTCGCAGACGGACAGGTCGCGCATTTATCGTGAGTGAACATCGCCGAGAACTGGATCGAATGCTCGAGGCTCTTAGAGTCGAGGAAGATTATGAAAGTAGCACTCCATCTGATCTTGTGTCTCCGCTCGAGGACGATGGTCCCGATGCCTTGATTGACGCTGGGTTTGTTTTCTACGATATGTTGGTTGGGAGTGTTCCGTGGCTTGTAGAAAGCGACGAAGATGAACTTGATGACTTTTTCTGACTTTGCTCCTTTCCTGCCATTACTTTGTTCTTTCTTTCGTTTTACTAATTTTCGGCGCGGTTGATTTCAAGGATATCCCTTTGCCGGCACTTTCTGTAGTTTGGTTTTTCTGCTTGAGCTCACGGTGTTGACTTCAGGGTTTGGTACGGACAAATGGTTACAGGGCCGTTGGTGGAGAACATGGACAGACACGGATTTTCAGTTGCCATTTGGCTAAACTGTCATAATTTTTGATCAGGTTTAGAAAGAAATGGGATCAAATAATTACACGCTACATGCCGAATTGATGATAGGTCCAAAAAACGCTGGCCACCAGAATATGTTTTCGATTCTAGGATGGCATCAGAAGGAAACTTATTTACTATGTTCTTTGATATTTCTGGGTCACCTTTTCTCTTCAAAGTGTTTAAAAGTCGTTTAGAGTATGGTTTCGCTTATCGATAAGCGCGATAACAAGCGCTGTTTCCACGCCCCAGCCCTTAATATCAAACCCCACATTTTCAGCACAACATATTCCGTAGTCTAACGAATGACCATCTAAGATACCAAAGCTCCAGCCTCGATGGAGATAACCACATGCTCAAGAAATGCATCTTTGGGAGTACAACAGAAGGAAAGCTTAATATTTTCTCGCAACTGGATATGAAATCGCTGCTGCAATGCCTGTACCAAAGCAGACGGTAGGTTCCCCGGATCCCCCATATTCTGCTCCGGTCAATTAAAGTCTCATCACATCCAAACAGTAACTTCCCCTCAAGTGAGAAAACAACACTCTCTCCACCACAGCCAGGCTAACAGATCTTAGACTGAACTGATTTTCTCTCTCCGAGCGCTTATCTATCGAATCCGCCAACTGAAGAAAGAACGCCACGGCTACTCCAAAGCCAAACACCGCGAGCTCGCAAAGCTACTAAAGGATGGTCGGGATGATCTCGCCCGTATAAAAACCGAAGATGTTATTGGAAATGACAACGTTATTGCCGCTCTGGAGATTTTAGAGTTATACTGTGAGCAGCTTCATGTACGTGCGAATATTGTGGATCATATTGCGCTAGAGCAGAAACGGACTGGCCCAAAGCGGAAACAGCCGGGTGGGGAGACGAGGCGCGAGAGGCATGGGTCGGATGTTGGTTCCGGATCTGCCAGTGGTGGCGGTGTGTGGGGGATATGGAAGATTTTGGGATTTGGATCACCGCAGTCACCACCACCACCATCAACAACAACAACAACAACACGGCATACTGCATTGCAGCAAGCAACAACACATGGCGAAACGCCATCTGAAAACCAGGCCGCAACGACGGCAGTGACGACAGAGGTACAGTCAGAGGAAGAACTACGACAGATGTCTCCATCTCCTCTTCCACGAGAAAAAGATGTATATCTCGACCCGGATCTAGATAGAGCTGCTGCTGTCATTTTCTACTGCTATGTTCGCTTACCCCGCGATATACCGGGCCTGCCAGAACTGCGCGCAAAACTTATACAAAGATGGGGCAGCGATTTTGCCAGTAAGGCACAGGAAGCGGACCCTTCCATACCACTTCCCGAAGAGTTGATTGAACGGTTGAGAGTGCAAAACCCGCCCGAGTCGCTGGTAGAGAATTATTTGAAGGAGATTGCGAAAGCGCATGGTATTCCTTGGCATCAGGATGAAGATGAGGAAGGGCAGGATGAAGAAGAGACGGTGAAAGAAGTAGGTGTAGGTGGAGGTGAAAAGGAGGACGGTTCACTGGCTTCTCGTCCTTATGAAATGGATGGTTCGCAGACAAAGGGAAATGATGATAAACCTTGTTGTTTGGCGGGGGATAGAAAGGACACTGGTCCCCAGCATTCACAAGAAAAACACCACGAAAAGTTATCATCTGGTGGTTTCGCTCCGCTCAGTCGTGGATCCCAAGATTCAACCACAAACAACCAATCCTCATCGAAAAGCAAGGCGCCGGCCCCTACTGCTTCTGCTGTGGAGAATAAAAGGGGTGGAATTCCTGATATTGATGAGCTATCACGGAGATTTGAGGCGCTGAAGAGGTGAGGTAGGTGAAGGGTGTTGAACGGGATGGGGTTGACAGTCATTCGTGGTTAGAATTTTTTGGGATACCAGCATCTTATTCTTCATTATTTTTATACGCTAGTTTTACGATGCACAGCTTCTCGAGTTCTCAGTTCTTATTAGGGGATAATTCATCATATATCAAGAAGCAATATGCGCCTTCTGATATATATATATATATGTGTGTGTGTGTGTGAGAGAGAGAGAGAGAGTGTGTGTGTGTGTGTGTGTGCGTGTGTGTGTTCTCCATATCCATTCCATTCCAGTTCGACCCCAAAATGTGCCTTAGATAGTTAACTACGAGGTCATGACAGCATAAATCCTGCGTAGGGAAACGAAATCCTACGGTAATAAATTTACTCTCTTTTATTGCATTGTACCGCGTGAACTCTTATCTTTACACTTAAATGTCTAAAAAGGAATAAGAGAGCAAATGTAGCCAGCAATGAACTTCCGGTATACGATTATTCAATTCGGTACACAAGGTAGCTTCCGGCATTTCATCCTTCCCCATCATTCTCCCAATCTCAAGCTTAATTTTTCTTTCTCTCCGCTAGTCTGACACAATAACTCTCTACGTAGCGGAAATCGCCCAGCTGCATGAATTCTTTCTCATGGACCTTGACCCAACCGAATTTCTCGTACATGGCCAACGTATCTGGACTTGAATCAACATAGCATTCCACTCCGTCTGCATCTACCAGATCGAGTCCATATTTGATCATCATGCTGGCTGCCCCTGTCCTTTGTATTCCTCAACCGTAGAAATGAATTCCGAATAACGAAGATGATCTAGTTACATTCCCAGCCACTTCAGACGGCTCAATATACTTCAGAGAGGGGAATAAAAAGAAACTTACAATAATGCCTCCTCCTTCCCATTAACTCTTTCCGGTAGTGTTCAAAAGAGCCAAAAAAACTCCTGGCAAAGCTGTAGGTCATGATTTTCTGTGAATTCTGGTGTTCGATGAACATCCACCGTTTCCTCCCCTCCGAACCCATCTGTAGCAATATCCCATCTTCATTTGCTGGCTTTATCCATCTAGATATCGCCACTGGCGGGTCCCCGTCCTTGCAGACAAGGAAAACCGTCCCTTCGTCCTTGAAGGCATTGAGATGTCATTCCAGCCACCAAACCCTTGTTAGTGGGGTATCTGGTATGAGCTTCTGATTGAAAAGGTTGTTTGGGTGAAAAACGCGGACAAAATGGTCGCCTAGTTTGGATATATCGGAAAGGGCAGCATGGCGTAGAGTTAGGCCTGATTTCGTTGTTGCGAGGGGCGGTGTACTGAATGCAGCGATGACCATAATTTTTAAGGAGGTTTACAGTCGTAAGGGTGCCATAAAACGGATTTCAACGGAACATATCCACCGAATCATCTGGGTTATTCTGAGGGCGATGGTCGCTATTTATGATCAACAGTGTGCCATCGTAGTAGCGAAATAGACATCAGCCCCAGGAAATAAAACGGGGGTTATTGAGGGAACATGGGGTTTTAAGAAAAGAAAGTGTCCAAAACGGAGAAAACGTGAGCCAAACATCACCAAAATCCCTGCAATCATACCTCCTAACTTCTCACTGTTGTCCCCTCTCGGGTAATCCACTCTTCATCTTAGGCGCCTAGTTCGTGCTCTCCAAATGCAAACACCGGCGCGTGTTTGATTCGAACAATATACGTCTCAAAATTCTGCGTTTGATGTTTGGAACCTGTAACTATCCTTGTCACGTTTCAACCTCACTAAATTGGTTAGTTAATAATTAAAAGCCAGCAATTCGTGGTGTAAGTAGACTTAAAATCGAGGACCTGAAGCTGATAATGCATTTGCCACTGATTTTGATAATCGGGATAGAAAAATAGCTGCATTTGAATATTTGCCTATGAACATTCCCTATCTGTCAAAATAGGCAGACACAAGGTCGAATCAAAATGGACTTTTGCAAATTTGCAATAAGTTAATAAGCATATATGAGGACAGCCGCATCACTCTCATGCTTGATCTTCTGATTCATCCTCTTGAGAATACTGCGCACAACCCATGCCGCGGCCACCGTTGCAATCGATAGTCCAATACTGGAAGACATGGCGATTAAGTATCGTGGCTTGTCTGAATCGGGCCAAAGATACTGTAGCAAAGGTGTGAGCAAGGAATTTCATAAATAAAGTCATAAAATGCAATCACGAATATCATTGGAGAAGCAAACTCACAGGAGTCCATATTGAAGCTACATTGGCAATGGTGTTGACTATTGCGAGGGATGCCGATTTCTTCTCCTTCGTTTGGCCACAGGTGGAACCCACCCAACCTAAAACGATCGAATTAACCCCATAGGTGCCAGTGGTAAAAATTACCATCCCCGCATATCGAGCCCCCATATTGAGGGTAGCGCATGCGACTGCGAAACCGACTGCTGCAATGGCCTTGGCCACCGTTATATGCCAGGTTCTTTCGTTGAATCTCCCAGAGCTCATAGCCCAGAAGACAGAGACCAGGCCGGCAATTAGATACGGTGGACATGTCAGAACTAGTGTTATTAGTCTACTAAACCCAAGGGTCTGGATCACTGTAGGGAAGAAGTTCTTGAATCCATTGGCACCAAGATGCAGGTGCTGCATTATGGCAAATATCCACATGCGGTAGTCCTTGGCCGCTTCTTTCAGACCAGCCCAGGTCGTGGTTTGTGCTTGCCAGCCAACGGTTTCACGAGCGATGCGACTATCGGCTAGTTCCCGTTCTTTCGGTGTGAGCCATCTGGTGCTCAGTGGATCGTCCGGGAGTGTGAAGGCTGATCCAAGGGAGACTACAAACGTAGCAATTCCGAGTAAAATGAAAAGCCACTGCCATCCCCTAATACCAGCACGACCATCCATTCCTTCAAAAATACCGGCAGCAATTAAACCTGCGAAAGCCGTGGCTAAAATATTGCCAGAGTAGAGAATGCAAATCCGAGTTGCTATCTCCTTTCGAGTATAGAAGATCGATAGCAAGTATAACGCACCGGGGTAATAGGGGGCCTCCAAGACTCCGAGAAAAAAACGTGTTAGCAAGAGGCCCTTGAAATCCTTTGCTACAGCTGTTAAGCCGGAAGCAATAGCCCACAGAGCCATGAATGTCGACATGTAGAATGACGGTTTAGTTCTTGTGAGATACATGTTAGATGGTATCTGTCCGATTAAGTATCCGACAAAGAGGATAGATATGCATGTGTTGTATTCTGGAAACTTGTGTGAGCATATGTTGTAGATTGCTCTCGAGTTGGATTTTGTCAGGCCTTACCGTTGCCCTTGAGGTTGAGATCCTCCTCGAGATTGTCTAGCCGGGCGAGTGCTGTCGCATCGATGTAAGCTTGCTTCCGTCCGAGAGTACCTAAGGTTCAACGATTGGTGCTTCGTAGGCATGGGGCTAGCAAACAAATGATATCTCTCACACGAATATCTTACCGATGGCATTTCGATCGAGATAATTAAGCCAGTACATAGCCCAAAGAGTTGGCTGCAATCTATTAGCATCTGACTCCATGAAAGGGCACCTGTTTAAATATTACCATGATCCATCTATCCAGCTTCTTGACAAGCGCAATTTCCTCTTGACTCAATCTCTTTCTTACGCCAGAATAGTCGAGACAAGCGTCTTCTGAGTCATCGATAAAGGAACCATCAGTAATACGCCCCTGTTGGCTTCTCTCGAAGCCTTCTGTGGCAAATTTCTCGGAATTGGAGGCTGTCTCCATTTGAAGAACAGAATAATTAATTTCTCACAGATATGTTGAGCAATCAGGAATCCTATTCATTAAGAGTTCATCCTACATAAATAGAGACAGAAGAGAATAAAAACACTTTGCCCACGGAATGAGGTGATGTTCCTGGAAGTCGGGATTGGGTCCGCCTTATTTTTCACCGGGAACAAATATGGAGTCGTCCTACCAATAAGTACAACGTCCTCTTTGTCAGGCCGGCTACTCTAACAGGATCATCATGGAGCATTATTTAATTGAGGCATGGTGCTCAGCGTTGCATTTGAAAGAAGGGTTGAGATAAGCAGTCGCATAAGTCTTTTTGAGGAATCACAGATGGCAATTGTAACACCCAAATGTAGGACAGTTAGAAGACAATGGTGGGAGAAAGCAACTTAATAGGTGGACACAGCCGCTGATTTACCCCAGGAATTCGCTCAAAACCACATTTTATATCAAGAGCACGACATGAACCAGGTATACAGTGCAAGTAGCCGGGAAGTAAAACGGTTGATTGATTGCGGTAACTTACCAGGTGTTGCACAGAACGAATACGCATTTTAAATTCGTGTGGGACAACAGTTCTCCGCGTACAAGTGTGGAAAATTGAGCAGTGTACAAAGGGGAGGAAAAGGCCTCTGAGAAGGTGAGTCAAAACGAGAGCACTTAGGTTGCCTAATTGAGATAAAATTCGGGAAATAATCGACTGCTCCTGTGGCGCATATGCGGATACTGAACTGAAGGAATATAGTAGCAATTTGTGCATTTTGATGTCGAGCTCGAATCCGAAATTTCACCGTCGTCTGGACCATAACTTCATCCAACTGATACATTCAATACTGGAATATGTCTAGCCGATAAGGGGTTACCTAACCAGGGAGCTTAACTGCAAGCAATGGAATCGCATTTATTCGTTTTGATTTCTGAATTTGCATCTGGAAATTTGAATGAAGCCGAACCATTCCGAATGGACACTCTGGTGCGCACCAACGAAATGTTAAAGTTGCTGGCGGCCAAAGCAAAAAGTTTCGGTCATCGTTAGATAGTTATCATCCGCTATCAACCAAGATGATCTCTTAGTAAGCTGGTTGAAGGGGTAGAGGGGGGGAGGCGGTATGAGCTAAAGGAATTTGGAGCTCCATACTCATGTTCCTTTGTAGTAGAGGCAGGGATAGTCTTCTGGGCCCAAAAGAAAATGTTATTTTCTCAATTTGAGAGCCGGGGAAATTTTGGCGACCCGAAGAGTATAGGCAGGGGATAAGAGTCAAAATCGGGGGGGTGAAAGGAATGCCATTAACGTGACAACAATGCGACGCTGTGTAGCGATGTGGAGTATCTTCCGGGTAATTTGCCATATGCGCCCAATCTTGCTTTTAGGGCTTCTCCTGATTTCAAGGGCAAAAAAATTGTACATCGGGAATTAGAAGCCAGCGGCTGAGGCGGTTACATGACGTCAGATCGAGCCAGTCGCCTGAAATTGGTGAGAGTTCAGACAGCTAGCACTATCATCCCTGCGCCGATATGAAAGCTGGAATATTGAAGACGGGTCAACATAGGCCGACGGTTGATTGTGCAACCGAGTTGACCCCTGCCAAATAGCATAATAAAAAGATGCATTAGCAACAACGCTGGCACAAACGATTTCGATAGATGCCCACTGCAGTGTTTTTTTTTTTTTTTTAACATAATTGCTCTCCGTTAGTATTGGTATTACCTATTATGCGAAATTCTTCAATAATAAAGAATACGTACCAGAGAACGTGTAGATTGAGCGACAGAATGATTCAGTATAAGAGGCAATCGTGTAATCGTTATTGCAATAACCAACGTGCCGACCAAAAACAGCAGAGTCAATTGTATCTTTCTGTACCAAGAGTTTAAAAAAAATCCTACTCTATAAACTCATAGGCCACAACATCTCGCACTTACGCCTGAAAATCGAGCGAAGTCATTCTCCAGAGCATTGGAATGGGGAAGAGAATCAAAGCAAGATCGGTTGCGATGTTCAAGGCGCCCATTGTGAGCAAATTAGACATGCCTTTCCGACAGGGATCTGAATTGGCACAACAGGCTTAGACCCGGCAACGAATATCAAGGGAGGTCGGTAAACCCAATGCCCATTCTAGTACACTTACGGCGCAGGTAGTCATGATCCCAAAATCTGTCCCATAACAATTATTAGGCATATTTAAGTGAAAATAGGGATAACGTACATGTATAGTGGTTTGCATTCAAGAACTGTTGCTGCCAAGGTGGCAAGGAAAGTCACCACGATGAAGACTCGCAGGACTTGAAGGGAATAATGAACTTTGTTGGAACCGGTCTCCAGGCGTTTATAAAACCGCAACAGGCAGAGTTTCATGCACCACAGACTAGAAATACCGCAAAAAAAATGTTAGACAGAGAAATGCCACTTCTTTCTTCTACGTCCCGCCTTTCCATCATTCGGACAAGTTGTGTAAACGTACGGCTTCGAAACTGGATGGAAAGGAGAAAAAGAAGAAAATGAGGAGGGAAGAGCAGGGTGATGAAACTGACTAAAGAGCATAGAATACGCGACCGCATAATATGAGTTTTTGAGCCAGCACCTGGTCGTCGATGGAGGGAGATAACCTAAGAGTAAATACCCTGATCATGGAAACACACCGGCACATGAGTGGAAGGAACGCGAACGCCATCCAGCTATCATCTGGGCCCCATGATCGAGTAGGGGATTTGATCATGTCGCATCTAGCAAGCAACCGGTAGCCGCATCGAAAGGTAATTTGAAGAGAACAAATCACGGTACAAACAATGATCTGTGTTGCTTCCGAAGTCCATGTCATTGAAGTGGCGGGAAACGCGCTTTAGACAACAAGCAGGTTCGAATCCTAGCTCCGCTCATTGCTTTGTTCAAGTCTGGGTCCGAAATTCAAGAGCTCGAATTGAAGCGTAAGTGCATATCCGAGTTTGCAAAATGATGGTCAAGGGGGAGAGAAAAATGCTGAGATCCCAAGGGAGAAACTCCTGGAGCTTTAACCCCCCGAGGGGGGGAGGGGGGGGGGGGTGTTCTTGGTTTCATTCCCTGGTGTTCGGCTAGCGCAAACAACTCCACGTATAGTTATAGACGAAGTAAACCTTCCTTGGCTAAGCTCCTTGTCTCGATCCATGTTAGCAGTAATCCCTAATTATAATTAATAATAATAATATGATGATGATGATCGGATATGTTGCAAATAATGCCGTGAGACATCTTGATATTTCCAATGGCGGCCCTACCGTCTTGCATTCTGAAGGGGCTAATGTTGACATGCATGCCACTCAGCTGTCAGATCTAATCATCTTTTAGCACCCCCAAGATGTAAGCATGGCGCCACGAGAATTCTCTCGCTTCTCCAACCACGATATGGACGTTCTTCCAAGGTTGTCACATTGCAGCGACAATCCGCGCCAAAACGTCAGAGGCGACGATCACGTGCCGTGGCTGTTTAGCCTGAAGTGGCTAACTAATAACTATGTCGAATTTGCTTTGTCAGAAAAGATGTTCAGTCAGATCAAATCACGTAAACGGATCACCTTTCATCTAAATCATTCATGCTAATTAAAAAATTCAGTATGCCAACCACCCTCACTAAGAGGGCTTCTAATCAGGAAGTCAGGCTTTTTTTAGTCATTAAAGCTTATAAAGCTCAGCAAATTACAACTATTGCAGCTGCTTCTTAAGTTATATAACATTCTCTCTTTCTCTCTGGTCTTATAGTCTATAAAGTTGGTGATCAAGTCCCCTTTTAGTTACGCAAACAAGGCCTTGACGCAGGATGCATCGGTTGTGGCTTGGGAAACATGAACAAGAGTGGATCTCAATTTGGATTGGTTTTTTTTTTTTTTTTAAAAAAAAAAAAAAAAAAAAAAAAAAAAAAAAATCAATGCCATCTATCTTTCTAGCCCACTGATAGGCAGTGGGTCCTGCTCAATTTAATGACTTGTCAGTTTGTCACCGCGCGAGCCATCGCACTGAAGCTAGAATATATAACTATTCAAGGTCTGTTCATTGACATATTGGGGTTTGAGTGAGGTGATCATTGCTCAGACTTTCCTGTGCAACTCAGACCTCCACTACCAGGCGCTGCTTTGACCTTCAAGAGGGAAATTGTTGTTTGGGCAGGGCATGCACTGAATATCATACCGTTGGATTCTGTTCACATCAACAGCCTCTGAAAGGATGTAAATGATAAAGTGGTGAGGTGGATTGCGAGGATATGCAAGGCTAAATTTGGAGAAAAGTGGTGCGAGAAGTTGATTTTTCATGAAAATGCCAAGTGAGTCTGATGAAGGGCACTTGGACAAATTACCATGCAACTAGATAGCATTACAGCAAATTTTGTGACGGCGCTATGGACGGCATTAGCCATTGGGCTATGACGGCGTATGGCTGCTGGGCTACGGAAACTGGCACGGTCTGAAATGAGTAATAGCAACTGCCTAGCAACGGCATAGCAACCGCTAGTGGAAAGGGGTATATAAGGAGAGGCTTCCCCAGGCCCCTGTTTTGTAAACCATCTTAGTATTTCGTTGAAATAGCTTATCTAGTTGGCAATCAAACATCTGTTTGTCTGCGCCTAGATTGAAGGTGTGACAAATTTCATCAATTTTGCATGAAAAGAGCCTTTTTTTGAGAGTTAATGTTAAACTCATTCAATTGCTATTCTACACAATAAAATCTAATTAAAAAACAAGGTGTTTTTTAACACAAACATGCTATCCGGGCTATAACCCGTGGGATGGCCCCTCTTCGGATGAAAGGCTGCTAGACTATAATCACGCGCGATGTAGCGGCTGCTCAGGAAATTTTATGCCGAGAAACGTACGCCCTAGTATGCCCAACAGATTCCCAACCCTTGGGTCGTGAGATCGGAGCTCGGATGCGAGGCGAGCTAGCCGAGCTTTTAGGAATATGCACAGAGGTTCGTTACAACGAAACCATTTTTTAATCTAGTTGTTTATTCGCTTGTAAGAGTCATATGCGGTGGGAAGGTGTCTCACTTATATTACTACAATCTTCTTGAATCTCAAGATGAAAGCATATAATGAGCTTTTTATCAGACATTCTACGATGAGAGAGAAAGGGAGATTTACCTGCACATTAACAACCCACACATCCAATGTCGGACACTTCTGTCGCGTGACCTGTTTTCCACCATAGTCGTTCTCGTAGCGTGCAAACTCTGCAACCAATCAAGCTTGCCACTGTCATCCAAAGCTTCCGCCCATCGCACGTGATATATGCGTATATTAGTTAGCCCTCCCACCAATGGAGAATCAACCATCCCAACAGAGATTACCCCAAATATTTTAGTTAATAAGCCGCTAAAAATTTAGGGGCGGGGGTTAGGGGCGGGGGAAACGAAATACCGAGGCATATCCCTCTGCCATCTTCTCTGATAAAAACCTGTTAAAATCTCATTAAATATCTATTCAGATTCCCCGATGTGTTTTATCTACGACTAAAATTAATCTTACAGCCCAAAACAATGGCTCCTCCATCAACTACCGTCACTGAGATGGCGACTCCTACTGAGGCTATTCTTCAAGCCGATGGTCAGGAGGAAATGCCCTCATTCCCCAAACCACCAGTTTTCGGAGACAAGTATAAAGAACGAGAATATCTCAAAGGCAGATTAGCCGCTGCATTCCGTATCTTTGGCAAATATGGTTTTGACGAGGGAGTCGCCGGTCATATCACGATGCGGGATCCTGTGGACCCTACGACATTTTGGGTCAATCCATTTGGCGTCGCTTTCTCCCTTATCAATGCCTCCGATCTTATTCAGGTTGGCCATGACGGAAGGGTTATTGCGGGTGGGAAGGTCCGTTTGTTGAACACGGCAGCCTATATGATCCATGCTGCAGTGCATGAGGCCCGCCCTGATGTGATGTGCGCTGCGCATAGTCATAGCATCTATGGACGTGCATTCTGTGCCCTTGGCAGGCCCCTGGATATTATTACCCAGGACTCCTGTGCCTTTTATAAAGTGCGTTATTCAAACTCATTTTAAGCCGCGCGGATATCTTGCTGCTATCTTATACTCAAGCAATTCTAGTAGCCCGTCTTACCCAATACAACCATTTGAAATGCATGCCAAGTTGTTTCCCACGTTCTAACATATGTATGTTAACAGGACCACGCCGTTTACCAACAGTTCAAAGGCGTTGTCCTTGCCAAAGAGGAAGGGAAAAATATCGCAAACACTCTAGGCAACAAGAAGGCCGCTCTTCTCCAGAACCACGGCCTACTCACAGTTGGCAAAACAATTGAAGAAGCAGTTTTTTGGTTTGTGTCTCTGGAAAAATGTTGCCAGTCCCAATTGATGGCCGATGCTGCTGCCGGAGGTCGTGGAGGGGCTACCATCAAAATCAACGACGAGGATGCATTATATACATATAAAACTATTGGCTCACCAGGCGCAGGCTACTTCAACGCGAAACCGTTGTTTGACGTCATTCACAAAGAGACGAATGGAGAATATTTGCAGTAAATTGCATGTTCATCGGATAACTTCGAAGAAAATTAAGGTAGGTTTGGGAATGTGTGGCGAGGATGGAATCGGTAAGGGCTGGGTGGCAGAGATGGTTTGTAAAAGTGAAAAACTCGGTGGTCACGGCGTTAATGACCAAAGCCCATTGTTCATCATGCAATAATAAGTGATATTCACCTAGGTATATAACTCCTATGAAGATTGGGGAGGATTACGGTTGGTTGACAGTTGAGAGATGGGAAAAACAATTGGCAATGATAATGATAACATAATCACTGAATTTGAAGCCAAAAGTCCTCCACCATGCTAAACAGTTATTAACAAAAGTAAATAGCTTTTAATGCTGTCTCAGATATCAGCAATAATGAGATTCATTCAGTCATATTTAGTTTCAATGTGCATATTTTTATTGGGAAAATGAATAATAGCTGGTGAATGTGATGGCGTTGTCCGAAAAGGGCTACAGAAACTACATAGCAACTGATAATTAAGGAAATCCTTCCCCGAACCCCTCTTTTTGAGAATCACCATTAAGTATTCGTTGAAATAGCTTACCTAGTTGGCAATATAACTCCCGTTTATTGAAGCCGTAACAATGAACTGCCCTATAAGAAAAAATATCACCTTTAGAACCTGTTCAGCCAATTATATTCAACCATATGCTCTATTACTCTATGAATACTAATGCTTGTCATTCTACTATACATGCTTGTATTTAGAAAATATATTTTTTGAATTATAAGTATAAGATGATTTTACTTCAGTTATAAAGAAGTAATATCAGAATATATTTACTAAATAAAAAAATAAAAAGTAAAAATATATAATATTGATAAAAACTAATTCAATATAAAGAAGATATCTCACAAGAGAAGAAGCATAAAATCCTACTATTCTCTCTAATATATCCGTTGAACATAGTTATAAATAATTAATCATATAAATCTGAATCTTCTATTTGTAATTTTAATTACATACTTCACAGAATTATAGTAACTATAAAACTATTGAACATAGAAGAAAATGTCCAAATTCTAGTATAATTTAATTTTTAATGAAATTTTCTTTTTCTGTTGTTAATAATTACAATTAAAATCAAAATACTCTGTATATATTGAATTTACTGTCCGACTCAGTTGGGTGTCCGACCCTCTGAGGGATGTTAGTCAATTGATTAGTGACTCTAAGACTTTAATTAACTAACTGGTTATCTTATTTGCAAATAATATAACTAGCTGAAAGTGTGTTCTGAGTTTAATGAAAGAATCATCATGACTCTGATAATGAATGATTGCTAAAGGCATCTTGTTGTAAATCTAGTTGCATTCTAGAGCTGATATTTTCTTGAATATTGAAGTATTTGATTATAAACTTCTTTATCATTATATTACATGGAGCCCAAAATCCTAGCGGGCCGACGTTTTTCCATATTACAAGCTTCAAATTTCAAGCGCAGTCTAGATACTGCGGTGAACATCGATTCAAGAAAAATATCACTGAACATGGGCAAACGCGGGAATAAAAAAGTAAGTTAGGCCAATTCCCCCGTCCATAGTTTCCTTCATACTGACTCTCCCCTAAGAGTGGTGGTGGCGCGGGCAATCGCGGTCGTCGACCAGATTTCTCCACGATATTGGTTAGAGAGAATGAAAAATATGAAAATTATTACAACGGCCTCCATATCGTTCCTGATAATGAAAAGGATGAATTTTGGGCTGCTCTTAGACGGGACCTGCCTAACAGCTTCCGTTTCACTGGATCCAAAAGGTTGGTTAATCCATCGATCTCAACTTAAACTTTCTACCTTCGACGTACCAGCGCTAACCAGATGACATGCCTCTGATTATCCTAAATACAGCCATGCCCTTGCTGTGCAAGAACGTCTGAAAGACTTCTATATTCCTAAGATCACCTCAATCACCCATGAGGGCAACCCAGTCGATCCTCCCCAACCCGTGCCCTGGTATCCCTACCAATTAGCATGGTCAATGACAACTCCAAAAAGTGTGATCCGCCGTTTTGCGCCATTTGCTTCATTCCAAAAATTCCTCGTCGCAGAAACAGAAGTTGGAAATATCAGTCGCCAAGAAGTAGTGAGCATGATTCCGCCGCTGCTGCTGGATGTACGTCCCAACATGACCGTATTGGATATGTGTGCTGCACCAGGGAGCAAATCAGCACAGCTGATGGAAATGGTTCATGCAGGAGAAGAGGAAAGAATGGCAGAGATTGCAGCGAAACTGGAGTATGGCGCTGAGACTCAAAGAAAAGAGGGAGCCCCAGACGTTCCTAGGCTGCTTAATGGAAAAATAGAATTGGACGGCTTGGACGACGATGGGAGATCGGTGGGTTTGCTCATAGCTAACGATAACGATTACAAACGCGCCCATTTACTAATCCATCAAATGAAACGCCTTAACTCCCCGAATCTGATCGTTACGAATCATGACGCTACAATGTATCCTTCTATTAAATTGCCATCTTTGCCTCCACCAGAAGGCAAACCTGTGAGGAATAGGTACCTGAAATTTGATCGGATTTTGGCCGATGTCCCCTGCTCAGGTGATGGGACCTCACGCAAGAATGTCAATGTATGGAAAGACTGGAACCCATCCAATGCACTTGGTTTACATACGACGCAGTGTCGAATACTTACTCGGGCATTACAAATGCTGAAAGTTGGAGGGCGAGTAGTGTACTCGACATGCAGCATGAATCCCGTTGAAAATGAAGCGGTAATTGCGAGTGTTATTGACCGATGCGGTGGTCCAAGCAAGGTCCACATCATGGATTGCAGCAATGAATTGCCCACTCTGAAAAGGTTCCCAGGTCTGAAGAGTTGGAGTGTCATGGACAAGCAAGGAAGAATATGGGCCAACTGGAAAGATGTAGAAGATGCCGTCTCCCAAGGCGATGAGACGCTTAGTAGGATGGTGGAAGGCATGTTCTCTCCCTCCGAGGAGGAAGGTATCGATTTATCTCGTTGCATGCGTATTTACCCTCATCAACAAGATACTGGTGCATTCTTCATCACCGTGCTAGAAAAGAGGAGTGACATTAAGGCAAGGCCTGAGGGGACCAAAAAGTCCACAGCAGTTTCTTCAGCGACGACAGAAACAAGAGCCGATCAAAATGGAACCAAGGAGCCAGTTGATGCAGTAACCACGTTGGATGAAGCACCCCTCGCTGTATCAGAAGTTCCTTCAGCTCCTGCAACGCAGAGCGTACCGAAAAGAACCATTGATCTATCAGGCGAAGATCCTGCAAACAAACGGCAAAAAGTAGTCGGTACCCATTTTACCCCACCGACCGTCCCTTCTCCTGAGAAAACCACCGAAGAAACAATCAATCACAATGGGCAGGATGCCACAGTAAAATTGGAGGACGGCACACAAGCTGCTCCTGCGCAGGAGAAATCCACGATATCTACAGCACCGTCTCTCCCTGGCAAGCGAAAAGCTGGCCAGCCAATGGAGGAGCCATTCAAATATCTAGATCCTCAGAGCGCAGAGTTTGATCAGATATTCAACTTTTATGATATATCACCGCAATTCCCGAGAGACCGCTTCATGGTTCGGAATTCTCAAGGTCGCGCAGCAAAAACAATATATTATACCAGCACTCTGTCTCGTGATATCCTTACCGCTAACGAAGGAGCTGGAATCAAGTTCGTGCATTCCGGTGTTAAAATGTTTGTCAAACAAGATGTGCAAAGAGAAGACGTTTGCCCATGGCGCATTCAGACCGATGGACTTGCTATTCTGGAATCCTGGGTTGGGCCCCGCCGTGTGGTTAAGATATATCAAAAGGAGACTTTGCGGAAGTTATTAATTGAGATGTTCCCCAAGGTAAACGATGGTGGTTGGAAACAGCTAGGAGAGATTGGTGAATGGGCAAGGGATATTGATATGGGATGCTGTGTTTTACGAGTCGAGCCTACAAACAATGAAGATGGCTTCCGGTACGTTATCACTCAGGCATTCGTTTGTTGTCGGTAATTTTTACTTAACTCTTATATATATATAGGGAGCGAAGGGTTCTTCCGCTCTGGAGAAGCATGTACTCATTAAACCTCATGCTGCCTAAGGAAGAACGACGAGCCATGCTACTCCGGCTGTATGGCGATGACACTCCGCTGGTGAACACCACACAAAAACGACGGGCAGCTGTCACATCAACCACCGAGCAACCATCCGAGGTGATAGACGTGGCTGCAAATGGCCAAAATGGGCACGCCCCTGATGTGGCCACTGCAGCAGATACTGCGGAAGCTCCGGTAGAAACGGATGGGGAAAATGCTGAGGATGTGGATATGACAGCGTAGATAATATCTACTAAATTTGTACTTTGCATATTTATTTCCTGGCTCGACAGTTCTTCATCTTGGGTCTTTGTATCCAATATATATAACTCCACAGTCACATGAACATTCGTATATTTGCCATTAGATACCCAAGCCAGGATATCTTTTGTCTGGGAGTCACATATCCGCGCATAACTACTAGATATTTCTTAGTCACGAGGGAAGTTAATTGGCCGAATCGGGCGGAGTGATTGCTTCTACTCTTTCTTTCCCTCATCAGCCTTGACCTTCGCAGTTAATATCAGGGCAAAGGCTTGGCTGCACTAGCCACCCCAAAGCCCCAGCCACCTACTTGGTGTAGTTAACTAAGCCATGCGGGGAACACCAAGCCCAATAGGACATCCCCCGCCATCCGCCAGAGAGTTTAAACTAAAACACGAGGCTGGGCTTTGTCCCCAATCAAGATATACTCCCTCAAGGCAGCCACACCAGCTTCATTTTTCTCCCAATTCTCCCAATTCTTGCTTCTCCCTTTATTTTTCAATCGTTTCTGGCTCGTTGTTTATCTGTCGACATTCTTTCTCACCATTCGATGATTGCCTTAGACAGATATTCCTATTGGAAACATTGTCCTTACCATAGATACTTCTCAAAACCCCCTAGTTCTTCAACGTTTCGGGAATAGAGTATTTATGTAGGTTAATATATCTTTGATGGATTAATTTATCTAGTAGAATTTCCCACCTCATGATAGAGAGAAAATTTTAAGCTCAAATGGCACCTGTACCATTATCCGCCATTGCTGCTGGCGGTCTCCAATCACCCGCCAACAAGATCGGACGGTCCAATCACTCCTTCAATCCTCAGAAAGGACCCAATATATTACACCGTCTCAATGTATTATCAGCCTCCTTCTCATCCGTCGCTGGATCCTTCCTCTCCAGATCCAGAGAAATGGCCCGATCAATTTCCCTCTCCTCCTCCCCCTCCTCCTCCTCCAAATTACACCGCCGTGAACAGATGATCTCTATACCCTCAACGTATTCCTCCTTCACCTCCTCCCCCGGCGTCGTCGTAGGAATAGTCATTGGAACGGTTGGCGGCTTCGTCTTATTTATATGGGTCCTTTTTCTTATCTTTGGAGGCCGCACTACTGCCGTCATCGATGACACGACTACCGTGACGGCAGATAGCAGAGCTCAACACTCCCAGTCACGCAGACGGCGGCCGGAGGTGGTAGACGTCATGAGCGGGAGTACCTCTTCGAGTTCAGATGATGTTATTGAAGTGTTCGAGGAGGTGTCGTCCGGGTCGCACTCGCCTCGGAGGACAAAGAGTAAGCCTTCCGGGTCTTACAGGACCACGAATCCGAACGAATATGGGGGCGGCAGAGCTCCGAGTCGACATGTGCGCCATTGATAAAGCCTGGAGAAAACGAGGCAGTCTTTGTTGCGCCATCTGTGAGCTGCCGTGGATTCGTGACATATAAGTCATCAATAGATATAATGTCTGCTTTTATACAACGCCGCGGCTGCAAACGGGGTTGCATCATTTGCACTAAGACCTTTCCGAACCAAAATTGAGACGGGCAGGAACTTCCTGTACCGATATCTGAATGCTACGTCACGGTATATATGACTGGAATGCACTCCGCACTCCCGACGGATTACCAGGAAACAGCCAGGGCAGAGTGGTTTCTCTGGAGTCACACCCAATGAAGTTAATCTTCTCAACGCAGAAACTTGCCTCCTGCTTTTCTTTCTTTCTTTCTTTCTTTCTTTCTTTCTTCTTTCTCTTTTTCTCTTTCTCTTTTTTTTCTTTTTCTTTCTTGAAAGTTATTTATTTGTTCATTTAACGAGCAGGATATGGCTGGTTTTTCACGGCTGCGTTGTGGGAGGCAAACGCGGCGATCTTGGGGTCAACGGGAGTCGCGACGTAGGTCGCTTTATGTTTCCGAATAATCATACTGGTTGGAAGTCGGGCTTTGTCGAATTTCTCTTTTACTGTGATGCGAAACGATTTCAAGCGCGAAATGTATCCCTATGCGCAGTTAATGCATCTCGCAATATTAATCCACAGATATTCCTTTATAGTTGGGTTTGACTTTTTCTTCAATTAATCTTTCGTTTTTCCAGTAATTACATACACACCTTGGATCTGGAGTTAAAGTTCGTCAGCTTCAAGGAAGAGAGTCCAATGAAAATCCGGAGTCCTAAACCTTGGGGCTTTTCTTAGCAGTGACCGTTAGTTCGGGGCTCAAAGTCACCAATGATGACGCGTCTGTGGGGTCCGCAGTGTGGCTGAATGGCTGGGGCTTGGCTCCTTGCCCTGGGCAACGGGCAAAAGTGTCTCGAGCTTATTAAGTTGCCTCCAAACTCCTCTCTACTTCACCCAACTTCAACCCTCTTCATCACTCATCACTCATCACTCATCACTCTTGGATAATCCTCCTCATCGTCTGTGGAGATCTATAGAACACTCGTCAAGACCGGCTTCTTAGTTCATATGTTCAACAGCTTAAGTTTGGTATCATCTAGTCACCCCCACACCAACCGGATCCAGACCCAGTGTGGCTAGTCGTAGAACCACGCTCTATAAAGCTATAAATCGCGCCTTTAACCGATAAAAGTACGCGGGGAGCAAGAAAAGACACCTAGACGCATCTGCAGCCTATCAGAAATAGAAAATGTCCGATAATAAACACGTTCGTATAACCCCAACCAACAGCCTCCAGCGCAAAGGAAAAACCAAATTACTAAATCTCTAAAATTTTCTGTTGCAGAACGCTCCTCCCCCTTCCTACCCACCTGCAACCTACCAGGACGCAGGGCCCTATCCCCCGCCACCAGCTCCGTATGCTCCGTCCCCATCCAACACCGCTGCACAATACTACAACCAGCCCCAACAGTACGGACAACAACAACCACCACCAGGACAATATTACCCTCCGCAGCAAGGCTATCAGCAACAACCCATGTACTATGGACCCCAGTGTGGACCGCCGCCACAGGGGCATTATGTCGACAACAGAGACACTACTCGTGGAGCGGGAACTAGTATTTGCGCCGGTCTATTAGCTGGTCTAGCATGCTGCTGCTGCTTGGATTTCCTCTTCTAATTGAGAAAGAAGAAAAGGGAGGGAACGGAAAGGAAAGGAAAGGAAAGGAAAGGGGAACTCATGGTATAACTATAGGCATATAGTTATATGCATCACTCTACGGGTGTTGTTGGGGACCTCGGCTCGGTCTCTTGACATGGAAGAGTTGTCGTCTTGCGCCTTTGTCATATATAACGAAGTTAAACTCGAGAGCGGTGCTGGGATATCCATGGCCGGAGTTCTGGCAGCTTCCATTCCGTCACTAGAACGGTTTCTGTCGCGTTCTTTTCGTTTCTTCTACTTGTCTTTTTGTTTCGCTGCTGTTGCATATTTCTGATTGTTTTACTTGGTAACTGCATTGGTTTTCTTATACTCAATGAGGCCGCCTGCTCTGTATTCCCCTTATTTTTAGTGCCTGTCAATATCTTTTTTCGCTCTCACCTTGTCATAATTGTATATTTTCATCACTGAATCTTCATATTATTCCTTTCAGTGATTTTTGCTTTTTTTGCATGTGTTGTAAGTATTTACTTGTTGATTTTGCCTCTCCTTATGCAAGACTCTGCTCACAGTATCTGTACTGCTTTCTCCACAACTACAATTTTGTCATCAATGATATGGAGAATGCTTATTCCTCATCAGCATAGTTAACATACAGAGAAAACCTTGTTGCATATTCTTTATATCTCCGCTCCTGAAATGTCCTGTGTGCGCTCTGCTTGCAAGCCTAACTATCAACGGGGCGGAGGCTGAAGAAACCTTAGAAAACATTCAACAGAATTTCCCCTTTCCTCCTTTGTCAGAGTCTTAGTCCTATTCTTACTGGGCAGAATCCCTAATGTTCCCATCGTCTCAGTGTCACTCCCAAGCCCCTTAATAGCAAACATCACAGTGCTTACCTTGTCAATCTCCAAAAACACAATACCCGCAAACGTATTCACCCTTCTGGGTTAGGTTCACCATGGCCCATAGCAATGCGCTCCGGCTCCAGCGCAACCTTCTACCAGGCATGTAAACACTCCAGTAATGTTTCCTTATCGTCCCAGATAAGGATATCTATAATTCCATGTTAACCAACAAGCATATTTTGTATACATCCACTCTACAATATAGTAATGCGTTGGGGACGATCTCATATATCCAACAACGGCGCACTTGGATGCAGCGTACAGTGGCTTGGCATATACTCCGTCCAGATCCGCGATGGAAGCTATGAGAAGAACAACACCCCTGCTTGTTGCATCCCACGCAGCGCGCAGAGCGCCATTCGCGTGAGCTTTATCGGATGTGATATATTGCTGTTCAGCGTTGCGTAGAAATTTATCATGCTTGCTGTTCATCCAGAGGTCGGATCTGACTATAGGGGTGATGCAAATAATATCCTCAGTTATCTGGCCATTGCTATTGCTGCTACTTTTCTGCAGAAAGACTGTTCCCCCATTTCACTCATGCTCTTTTATAAATAGTGAAAGGGAATGAATGGTTATTCAACCAATATGGGATACATAAATATTCTACCAGTTCAAAAATTCTGGTGCGTGGCATGTACATATCTGGCACATCTTCAACATTTCCTCTGCTTTCTCGATCAGATTCTGCAGCTCGTCTCGTTGGTCATGTCACATTTGACAAATGCTATTGCTATGGGATGGTGAGTATCCTCGTTCTTGTTCTTGTTCTTGTTATTGCTATCATTGCTGATATTGGACTATCAACACTGAGAAATGTGCATTGAGCATCTTCTGTGAGTTTGATCACCGATGAGAACTTTGGAAATGCCTGTTTGACGAAAGAGAGGCTAACTCTCCTGATTTGACTAGCTTCATTCTTCGTTCTTCTTCTTCTTTTTCATCCTAGACGAGGGTGAATTGTATTGAGGTTCCTATAGAATTGAGGTTATGAATGAATCAGGCACAATATCCGAGCCGTCACCAGTAACCACCACAATCTTGCTGCTTTGGGGGAAGTCTCCCAGCATGGGTTTTCCTCTTTTCCTACTAATAGTGTGTTCAATATATATCTATTACTCACGCAGAAGCAATTATATAAATAAATATATTTAAAGTAAAATTAAAAATAAAAATATTTTTTAAAATACGCCGTTCAGACTACCAGCCCAGAAAAGTGAAGATAGAAAGGTTGATATTCGCAAAGATGCATACTTATATAACTCTTTCAACTGTCCGCATCCCCCATTCCATGCTAAATATCCGGTTCAATTCCCGTGTTTATACGACGCACATCCAGTGTGCATTTCCTTATAACCATGTCGAGATTTCCCCATACTTAAATCACGGTTAACTGGGTTAGATGAACATGTGAAGGACCGGTGGGATTCGAAGAAGGACGTAGGCATCCCATAGTTGTTTAGGTATGGCTCAATTTTACGGCATATTATGAAAACTGTAAAGAGTCTGGCTTCTCTAGGTTCGATCCTGTATTGCCCACCCAAAATCGGAGGGGTTCTTCGTATGGGCATATGAGAGTGGCAATGTCCCATGGTTTTGTTGGAGGAAGTGAGCGTCAGTGGTTTAATTGCTCCCATGGTCAGTTCGCTTCTCCGAGGATTTCCAGTTCCCTGATCTACGTGAATTGGTATCTCCGTGATCAATTTCCGTCGTTGGGTTAATTGGGATAACACCAAACCAGCTGTGGAAGTCGTATTGGAGTGGGTAAAAAATTGTTGGTGCAAGTATTGTTGAAATTCAAACATTGAGGTGTAAGAGTAGGGAGGCAAGCTCTTACATTACTTGAAAAGCAGTAAGAATGATGTGTCAATGATGTGTCAACATAACGGTATAGATGAAAATATGAGATATTGAAATATGTAACAAAGGAGAGGAAAGGAAAGGAAAGGAATGAAAACAACACAAGAGCACACATGCTCCATAATCAAATATCACGCTTAGGACGTAGGGTAAATAAAAAAAACGTATAAATATAGATCAACATCATAAGGAAACGAAGACGAGGAATACGTGGAAAGACAGGCAGGTATAAGGTTCGCCAAACGGTAAAATGACGTAGCAAGAAACGGAACAAAACAATCCATCCTACCGCTTTGTTGCTTTTTTATCTTTACCGCGGATTTAAAAAGGCCTCATATTACACTCACTATTTTAATTTTAATAATTTTAATAATTTTTTTTTTAATAAAATAAAAATGGTTAGCAAAGAATAAATATCCAAGAAATGTAAACAAAATCGGGATAATGGTGTCCGCAAATTTCACACCAGAATCCATTCCGGAGTCTGACCTAAATGTCGTGTATGCAATCAGGCCTCCAGAGAGGTTTTCTGGAGCTCTTCAGAAGCGTCGGCAACAGCGTCATTTTCCTGTTTAAGTTCTGCCTCAGCTGAGACGTGTCCGTTTGTACCTTCGTTCTTAAGCGCAGGCTTGCGTGCAGCATCCGTCGCATACTTCTCCTTGGTGTTAGCATCTTCCTCATTGAGACGGTCGATTTCTTCTTGGGCCTTCTTAATGTTCTGTTAAAAGTGTCAGTGAGTTGCACGGGAAGGTAGGTACTTTCATATAGTTGAAAGTTAGATTCTCACCTCTGCAGTTTTAGCAGCCTGTTGGCTCTTCCAGTTCGTGATCTTTTCAGCGAGTTTCTCAATCAGAGCTGGAACGTCAGCCTGACTAATTGGAGGGTCTATTTTGATGCTTGCCAAGTCTTCGATAACGCCAAAGCTTAGGTTGAACTGGGTTGGAGCTGGGGAGCTGGCTGCGGAATTCTTCTTGCCCTTCTTGCCTTTCTTTCCACCAGTGCCTCCCATAAAGTAGTTTTCTTCGCGATCATCTTTCTTTATAACCTTTATGCCCTTAAGATCGGATGCGTCGACAGTTCGTCCCACTTCGGCACGGTAGCCGCCACTTTGTGATTTCCAATCTTTTTCCAGGCCTAGAGCAGAGAAATCGTAAGACGGGTTGAAGTGTCGGATGAGACCCTGAGCTGTCATGATTTCATCAGTGAAAGCCGGTCGAGAAGCCTCTTCCAACTTTTTATCGGCAATCTTCTTCTTTCTCTCCCGCTCGTATGACTCTCGCTCGGCCTTTTGACGCTCACGACGGATGCGGAAAACTTCATCTTCGTACTCCTTATATGCCCTCCGGGCCTTGTAATAGTTATCTTTGATTTCGCGTACGGCAGCGTAGGCCTTTTGCTGTTCACCATGAATTTTGGTGCGTTCGTCCCTGAGGGCGTTCAAGTTCTTAAACGCTGAGTCCTGTTCAGCTTTGATAGAGTCTAGCTCCTTCTGAATCTTGGAGTATCTATCGCTGAGGGCCTTGGCCTCCGGGTTGTCTAGGGTTTTCTTTAAGTCGCTAAGCTGTGACTTCAAGTCATCAATAGCCTTTTGAGCTTCATCAAAGCCAGAGAACCCTTTCCGTTGCTTCCTGAGATTCGAAATCTCTGCAAGGTTTTTCCTTTCGTCTACCAACTTCATGGTGCCCGAGTCAACTTGCTTCTCGAGCCGTTCGATTTCCCGGTCGATTTCATCAACGTTTTTAAAGGAAACACGGGAGCGGGAAGCTTTCTGCTCAGCCACACGGGCTTTGATGGTGGCATCTAGGGCGTTCATTTTTTCCTGGACGGCGCTACGGGAGGCCTTGAATCCTTGCTGTTGCTGACGGATAGCCGCCAATTCAGTACGTAATTCTCGCTGTCTCTTAGCAGCGGGTGAGTCCTGGCTGTTTGGTTGTGCCAAGCTGATTTTGGCTTTTACTTCTTCCTATATAAAACCATTCACGGTAAATATCAAGTTCAGGGTTTTAATATATATACCAAAAGCAGAGGTTCCCGATGTCGCCAAGGGTGACACATACCATTTTTTTCTGTACAGAGGACAATTCCTGCTCCGCCTGAGCCAAACTGGCTTTGTAGGCCTCTTCACTGGGGTTCTCAGGTCTCTTCTGGTGCTCAGCTGGAGCCGGGGCTTTGCCTGCGCCCGCCATGATAGATAAAAGATATGCCGGACAGAACCTGAGCACTCCGTATATTGAGTAGTAATGAATGAGGCGGGACAACGCGGGGTGGTTCAATGCCTAATTGGGCAGTAATGCGCAAGAGCAGAGCAACGTCGGGGTGGCCTGGGAATATTAATGAAGCGAGGTTCGTAGGTGGAAAAATTTAGCCGCAGTACGACGGGGCTTGGTCTGTGCGCCCAGCTAACCATTTTGGGCGCTCCCACCAATTTTTGCGAGAATGACCAAAGAAAGAGGTTGCAGAATTACTTCATTCAACAAACAAGAGCGAAGACAAAGAAGAACACCGGGAACAACAACATCGCATGTCACTTGCAGCCCTAGCCAGCTTTTTCGCAGCTTTATACTCGCCGACTTCATCCCATTCATTTGTTTCCCTGGCTTAAACGACCTTTTTGCGCTCAAACGCCCTCTTCGAGTATGGCTGATGAGGAATACTCGAGGGCGTCTGCGGAAGCAGACCGTGAAATGACAAAGCTCTGGCGCACATGGAGGACCGTTTTCGAGATGCTAGCTGATCGGGTATGGGCCTATCCCCATCTCGCGTAATCGATATGCAGCTGCTGACGCGTGGTGGGGACTATGTTCAGGGCTATGAAGTGACTGAGGAGGAGATAAAAATTCCTCTCGACGAATTCAGAACGCGATACTCAGATGCTCTTGGGTTTCCTGAGTATGTGCAACATAATCTCTACTGTTGATGTATGGTCTTTTATTTTATGTCGTATGTTCCACTGACTATTTTGGGAATTTTGGTGGGTAGTCGCAATAAAATGAAAATCAGCGCGCGTCCCTCACAGGCGATGATGGAGAAATACACACCCCTTCCCACAGTATCGAAACCCAACCCAGTCCCCGAATGCGGTACCATTTACGTCGAATTCTGTGCGGATATACAGAGCGTAGGGACAAAGCAAGTTCGTGCATTTAATCATTTCATCGACGAACAAAACTACCACACCGGAATATTCATCAGCCAGACGCCAATTTCTCCATCCGCAATGCGAGTGTTGAACAGCATACCAGGCCGGTTCTGTGAGCACTTCCAGGAACAGGAACTCCTAGTCAATATTACCCATCATGAACTCGTACCCAAACATATTCTTCTAAGCGCAGAGGAAAAGAAACGGCTCCTTCAGCGATACCGGTTGAAGGAGTCTCAGCTTCCGCGTATCCAGAGTGGAGATCCTGTGGCGAAATATCTAGGTTTGCGACGAGGGCAGGTCGTCAAAATCATCCGAAAGAGTGAAACAGCTGGAAGGTACGCCAGCTACCGCTGGGTTACTTAAATCGCTCCCGTACCGAATATCTAAAGTCCCCGATGGACTAGCTACCCGCGCCTAGTTATTTATGGCTGGCAGACTGGAGTTCGAGGCCATTAAATTTGTTTTATGCTCTATATCCACCCCAATGAAAAGGGAATCTTGGGATTGGAGAGTAATGAACTAGGCACCCACAAACCCATCTAGTAACCTGTCTCTCTTGACTACTAGATACCGAGAGCTAGCAGGCGGATTTGCAAGGTTTGTGTTTTTCAGGCAATCCTCGTCCTCATTTGCTATTTATTCATGGTGAGCAGAATGGCGCCCGGTGCAGGATCTCTGTATGTCTTTACCTCTTTTCAACTTTCACTCTTGGCTGCATCAATAGACCGTTGAACATGTAAGCTATGCGACTTCGCGGTCTTTTGACCCCATTCTTTTTTCCAGATTGCAAAGATCCATTTCTCAAACGCTTGTTAATACTCGCAAGAGAAGGCGTGCCTCCCAATGCATTATTTACCTAATTCTGTTTGCCTTTCAAGGTTTCAACCAAATACGGGTTGACTTAAGGGTTTGACGGAGAGAAAGAGAATACGGAAGATGCAAAAGGAAAATGAATTAGAGATAGTTTCTTTCTTATTTTTTTTTTTTTAATTATTTTTTTTTAACCCTTCGGGGCTGCATGATACCCCCGGGAAGGTAATAAAAAGCTTGGAGCAAGTTTGTATCACCTATCATTTCCACAACAGTTGATTTTGTCCTATGCATGGTCCATCAACCAACTAAGGCACTGGAGGAATTTACTTTTCATAGCTTGCGTCTCGAAAACAAGTTCATCAAGAAAATTAATAAGATTACAAATGTCAAGGTAGCTCCCCCTATAGCTTCACCCTTCTACACCACTCATCACGAACCACAAACCCTTTCTTATTTCCTTGAGTTTCCAGTTGCCTCAAAACAAAAACCGCCTCGGCTGTTCCCCTGAATAATCATTCTGAATACCCATTAACAGCAATATCGTCCACATCTGGATGACCCATCAGAAGATCTTCAATTTCTGCCGGCGCTACAGCAACACCTTGACCTTGATCATCTGGGACCGCCTCCCCTCTCCGAACGCAATGCCCGTAGATATCACCCAATAACTATCTATATCTCCACACTCATCGGACCAGTATGGCATGGACTTATATGTGACTTCGAATAAAAGTAATCGAGCCGCTTCCACCGCAGTCCCAAAGATGCATGGGGTCAAATTCCAAACAAAACAATTCCACGCCGTCCAGAGCTTCACAGGAATTATATAAATCTGGAACAATAGCTGAGAAGTTTATAACTAAAAATTTGGGGTTGGGGGGGGGGGGGGGGGGCCGCTGAACGGCAGAGCAAACGGATACTTCGGAAAATGACGATGGCTAGGTATTAAAGTGCGATGCAAAGATCTGAATGTTGCCGGGGTTGAGGAGGAGGAGGGGGATATTTCGGTAAATTTGGCACATCATAAGGGAGAGATTACGCCGGTTCAGGTTTATGAATGACGTCCGTAGTCAAAAATGTAACAAAGAGGGTAGGCCGATCATCCAAAACAAAATAATGGAGGACATCGATATCACACATCGTCCCAAACAGCACAGATGTACATGTACCGATTGAGTATAGCATATAAAGGGGATGAGAAAATGGCACCCAGTTGTTCACAGTCAGACGCCTTTGACATAAAATCTGCCACCAAAGGGAATTTGGTTCGGCTTTGAGTCGCGATCGGGATGACGAAGGTCTTCGTGGATTTATATAGCCGATCTATGATTGCCGTTATCTTCTCATTCAAGGAACTCTTTTTTCCCTTGTATGTCATATCGCTATCCGCAAAAACTATTGACGGTTCTATTTGCTGTAATCGGGTCACATCACTGAATAGCTGATTTAGAGTTGATCTGCTATGAAACAGGAAATCCGCCTCAATGACATACCTCTAGTCCCGAATCGGATGAAATTGAAGAGGAAATTGTACCCATAGAAGAAGCAGATGCGAGTAATGTAATTACGGTACAAATATAGCACCAACACGATCACCTTCCTTGATACCATTTTGAAGCAAAGCACTTCTAACAACTCGAACTCTCTCTGAAAATTGTGCCCATGTGACAAACTCTTTCCAAGCCATCTCCTTCCCGAAGTCCGATGAGAGCTACTACGATTAGATCTTTTCCTGAGAAAAATTTCCAGTGAAGTTCAACCTAACACTTTCGAAAAACAAAGTACAGCGGCTTAAAGGCAAAGTATCTTCACAAGCACGGTTAATATTGGCCGAGAGATTTGGAACAATATTGAGGCATTTGTATAAATCGGTCCAAAGCTCTCGTGGGCTTGTTCCTCTCCAGCGGCGTAGTTGAGGTTGTCCATTAGGCCAAGGGAGAACACCTTGTTAACCTGTTGGCGATAATCGTCCAAGGGTTACTATTTTCCCGCATGCAGAGAAACCCATAGCTCCCTTGGTTTTTTGGGCTGCTTGCATCATATTCGTCGAAGATATCGCAATGTCTGAGTACATTAAACTGCCGAAGGGAAAGGTGAGATGCTCCAACGTTGTAGGTATTTATATTCCAAGCTAGCATCAAATTTCGGCGCCTGTCCAGAAGGCGAATTCCCCGGTCTTGTCGCTAGGGTTGGACGGGATCTTGGCAAAGTTTCGGGCCGACATCGAAACACGTAGTTATATCCAACATGCCGAAAGGTGCGGAACCCAACACAGTACTCCGTAATAATTTGATCCATCTTATAATTTTATTTTGTCCACTAGGGAACAGCAACACCAATGCAAACAGTGAAGGGGAAATGATGTCTGCCATGATGACTCAATAAATATTCGGATTTTCTTTGAGATGTGTCATGTTACGGATGAGTTGGTTAACTAATGTTTAATGCAAAATAGTCCGTGGATTGGTGGAGCTCTGGCTTCTCGTCGGAATAATCCCGATTTCAGCATAGCTTCAACGTTCAATTCAAAACTGTCAGTCTCGCATGTGGACGTAAGTTTCAACTCTTCAGTGTATCTTGATTTTCTTTCAACCAATGAGTTCTCCGTGCAATTTTTGAACTCCACGATGGAGAGGGGAGAATTATGTCTCTTGGGGTTGTAAAAATCGCTGCAAGCCCTGAGTTGACGATGATGGCAAATGGCCTTTGTTTCGGTAGTCTCCAGAAAATCTGGGATTCAGGATAGAAAATATACACAAGTACCTGAGCAAGAGACAATGATGCGAAAAATGGGTATCATTGTGCAAATTATGCGAATTATGGCATGCGAAAAAGAAAGCATATAGGTTTAAATAATTTTGTGAAGAACCCAATGAAAAAATACAGATTCTGATATTCCAAAGATTGATTAGGTACAATAGAAATAATAGAAATCACCAAGAAATGATATTATGATGTAAGGGCCCAATCCCTTAGAGGTCATTATGCTTGCTCTGTGAATATAATCCTGGAATTCCTCAGCATGAAGTCAAAACATTTATGTGAATCAACTCAGAAAAACTCTTACCTAGATGCCGGAACAAAGGCGATGGCGATAATGCACACAAATAATCCGAAGATTAAAGCTATTGAAGATTAGCATATGTCACTGACTGCAGGTATATCGCAAAACCTGACCAAGATAATCAACAGTAATCCCCCTCCACACCCACAGAAACAGTTTACTCTTTCTCAACAGCCAAAATGGCATCCGTCCACCACAACTCGAGCCTTCCACGACCAAGCATCCTCCTGTACCAGGTTTGCATTCCTGATGCCTTCGTCGAGTCTGCATGATTTCTCGAATCTCTCGATTGCAGAAAGTCTGATCTGTACGGAACTCGCAGGTCGAAAAAGGAACTCGAAGTTTTAACCGACAACGCTCCAGTATCCAGTTAACTTTAAGCACGAGGCCTGTTTGGACGAGCGAATAGAAGTAGGTATTTGTGTGTTTCAAAGCCAAAGCATCCGGATATGAGAGGTAAGATGTAATTTGTGCATGCACCTCCGTGGGAAGATCCATGAATGGGGATGATGATTTGGGGAGCATCCTGTTAGTGGATCGCATCGTTTTAAAGGCAAGTATGTCAGTATGAAGCGAAAATAATATCCGCGCAAGGTCCATGCGGGAAACCCTGGTTTTCAAGCTCATAGATGTTGGAGAATGATAAATGGGAAAATAAAAATAAAAATAAAAATAAAAATAAACAAACAGCTTATGACATTATATAAACTGCTCCGCCATGGAAATATTTTGTTGCCTTCAATAGGGTTGGGGCTGTGGCTTTGACAGATGCTTAGTCTGCTATTCAGACTGCGTTGCCAGTAGTGTCCAGTAGAACAGGAACTCCAATCAGAGGCTGCAGAGTACGAGGAGAAACATTTCCAGCCCCCTGAATTTTTGAGAAAGTTAAACGACAGCATTAGGGCTCTAGCATTGACAGCTGGCATTTAGTGGTTATTGACAAAGGCGAACAAGGAATCGAGTTAACACTCTCAGGAGACCACGTTCCCGTTAATGAATTGCTCGATTGGATTTCCGTCTGACATCTATCCTATCATCGATATGCACTCATAAGCGTTGTTCTAAAATCTCACCCTGCGAATTCTGGGTTTTTGATTGTGCGTATGAAGGTGATCATGAAATTGAATGTAAGTTGAACAGCGAGGTAAAGACGCTGAAACACGTGACCTCCAACTTAATCTGATAAGCCGTGCAATCAGGCAATAAGCTTGTCAACTTCGTTGCGAGCGTCCATCTAAGCTTAAAACTCATAAATCCCAAAGTCCCCAGTTGAATCAACAGTAGATTTGTGATACATTTGTTCCCCTTAAGCTGAACCAGACCAATAGCACACCATATTCGAAAAAGGCATCCAATTGTTATATTTCCATTTCTTTTATCCCTTTGACTTACAAAAAGAATCAAGGGCATCCCACCTCCACCCACCATGCCAGATCCTACCAAGAAAGCGTCCGCATACGGTACTTCCACATCAGACACCTCCTTCCGGAAAACATGGGATCGCGAAGAATATGCGCAAAAGGCCGCCGCAGCTGAAGCCAAGTCCAAAGAAGAGTCCAAAGCACGGTACGAAGCCAAGCTAGCGGGGAAAAAATACCATGCCCCCGTCGACTTTAGCTCTCTCGAAGCCACGAGCTCTCGGTCTGAACGGCTAAATGTCGCATCGATGGTTGGTAAGACCACCATCATACCCGCTGGGTCTGCCGTAGGCAAAAGGGGTCGTGGAGCCGGATTCTACTGCCCGGATTGCGACCTCACGTACAAGGATAACATGCAGTTTGTTGAACATTTGAATAGCAAACAGCATCTGATTGCGACGGGGCAGAGTGGGGAGGTTGTCAAGGCTACTGTGGAAGATGTCCGGCAGAGGTTGAGATGGTTGTCACATAAGAAGAGGATGGCGGAGGAAGAGGAGCGGAAGGCGGGACAGTTAGATCTTGGGGAGAGGTTGAAGACGAGGGAGGAGGAGGAGGCGAGAGACAGGGAGGAAAAACGTAGGAAGAGGAATGAGAAACGGAGGAAAAGGGGGGTTAAGCAGGAGGACAGTTGGGAGGGTAGACTGGGGATAATTTCTTAAAAATGCGGAGACGCTCCTTTGCCATTTTTGAATCTTTTGAAGGCGATTATTTTAAATATACCCTGGCGTTCGGGTTGTTTATTTGCTATGGCTGATATACATGCTACATTTGTGCAGATGGGAAGGGAATAAAAGCAAAATCAAACGCCATAACGCTCTACTAGGAAATAAACGCAAGGTGGATGATCAAAAATATTCATGTTCATCCATTGTCTCCCCCCGGTGCCGTCCCAGAACAAGGAAGAAAAACCAAAGAAAAACATTACCGCCGACTTGGATATTATCGAGCTTAATCAGCACACTCAATCCCTTCAAGAGCCATCATGGCCCTTCCGCCCTCCCTCTCAAATATACCAACTAATCGTTCACACTCACTGCGAAGCTTAGCTTCCCCCTTCTTCGCATTCCACATGATCCATTCTTCCACGGTCATCTTTTTCTCCGGGCTTGTTAAATCGCCTTTAACAGAGTGAAGTAGATCATTGATATTTGCATTCTCTTTGTTCATCGAATCCGATAAGAAAATTTCTTCTGGGTCCACAGGGTTCCATGGACAGGAGGTAATGAGCTGTCCTGACCGGGAATGTATCTTCGATGGCGAATTATTGGGTGTACTCGTTGCAAGTGGCATAAACGTTATCTGCGGCTTGGAGTTTCCAAGCGACGAAGTGGGTCGGTTGGTAGATGGTCGGCTTGAAGGTGGATGGTTTTCTGCATCGGACGATTGTGGGGATGGCGATGGCGTAGACCCATGCACAGGTCCAGTTGGGGGGATCGGGTTGTTGGAAGCGCGCTCTATCCTTTCAGATGGACGTTCAAACATTCCTGGGCTGTTCACCTCCTGCTGAGCACCATTCCTTAAGGAAGAGGCAACTTGATTCCCTGAAGCTTCAAAAGCGACCTTCTGTGGTATAGTGGTTGTTTTTTGGTTCTCCTGGTCTACGTGTGGGTCCACTTTTGATTTGGTTGGCGTGGGAGATTCGTGGAGATCAGAAGGCATATAAACAGACTCTTCAGTCACTGCAGGTTCGTTGCCTTGTGGTTTCTTCTTTGACTTCTTTGAATTAGCAACTGAGCCTTTTGGTCGCCCAACCTTTTTAGGAACGTTATTTGGCTGGGGATTTCTATGGCTCTCATCCTCTCGATCGTCATTTACAACTGCATCTTCCATCACCAAATCAGATCCGATCGTCTCCTTCGAAGTGGATTGTAATGTGTCGATTGGGGGAGGTTCATAGTTAGCATTCTCAACTTCATCGGTTGCTGTAATGACAGGAGCTTGTTCAGCACGAACGCGTGAAATTTTCTTGGAAGCGGGCTTCTTTTTAACCCCGTTCTTCTTCCGCTGGCCTTTTTGGATTTTAATATGGACCTCTCCCTCGAGATCACTAGTTTCAATAACTGCTGGTCTTGATGGTTGGGTCGATGCGGCCGATGAGGTTGAAATACGCCGTCCTTCCTCTGTGTTATCAACTATTCGCTCATGTTCCGATGCCAATTTTCCCTCAACCTCAATATCTGCGGAGAGACCCGCTTCTAATTGAGAGTCAATCTCAGAGTCATCGGGAATTTTGGGTTTCAGGGATGCGTTAGAAACAACAGATGGTTTTCGAGCTGTCAATGAGACTCGCTTTGGTTTCCGTGCCCTTGGTTGTTTTTCCTCCATAATAGCGGGCTGCTCATCCGGTGTCACCAAATTGGTTCGGTCGATAGCCATACTGGCAGGACGGTTTGCGGTGGTGCTTTCTGATCTTGTAGTCCTTCTTTTGGCAGAGGGCTCTGAAGACGTATAATCCTTTTCACTCTGAAGTTCGTCGGCTTCGTTCATGGCATCGCTGTCCCTTTTCTTCCCCCTCGTGGTCTTCTTTGGCTGAGATAACTCCGCGGCATCACCATTATTACTATCCATATCTGCTTGGCTGCTTGTCTCAACTGCATCTCCCTTTTTAGATTTAGTTTTCCTTCCTTTCGATTTCGTTGGCTTCCTTGCCGCCTTTGGAGCTTTTGTAGTTGATTGAGAGAGTGCACTTTGATCGATTTCATCATCCAAATCTACGGTGGGCGCTTCTGATACTGTTGTGGAGACAGACTGCGCAGATAGGCGCGAGGACTTTGATATTCGTGACTTTTTCCCGCGGGTCACCTTGGCAGGTTTCTTTGACGCAAAATGAAAAAAGGAACAGTCTGAAGACCTGCGGTAATGTTCCTCGCTTCTCTCATGTTAGCAAGTCGATAGATGATGTAGAGTGTGATTTTGCTTACAAAGGATCATCCTTGGGTTCCCAGCCATCTAACGATAGCTTACAGTAAGCGCAGCTTACGAAATCGTCACTCTCTTCGTGGGCACAGTAATACCAGCCCGCTTCAACGAGCTGACGGAGGACGCGGTTAGCGGGGCTCCAAGCAAAGTACATTTCTTGGTCAAGAACTGACCTTTTCTGTTTTGCAGATCCAACCTCTTTTACCCTCGTGGGGCCATAGCAACGCAAAAGTGGCTCTCCTTGCCTCCACGATTCTCGCGCTGGTGGGATCTTCTATTTCTGCCGGATTCGAGGATTGCCGCACAATATTCATTATAACAGCCCACCCACATTCACTCGAGTGTTTCAGATGTTCTGTAATTGGATCGTCATCCTCTTCCCAACCGTCGAGTGCTCTTTCACAGAGAAAACAAGCGGTATTGTCCGGGCTAAGAGCCGTTGGTTTGAAGTAGAATCCGGCTTGAGCAAGCTACAGAGTCACCAGTTAGTTTAATCAGCATGCAAAAGAAACGAAGAAGACTGAACAATATGTAGATACATACATCTTCAGGTACCGGCCTTTCATGAGGCCAACTGACGTGTTCTGTAATCTTTGCGTCCGATAATCCACCGTCTTGTGCCGACTGATTTGAGGCATAGAAGCTTGCTAGCCTAGCGGCGACAGTCTCCATTCCTATTCCACTCATGACTGAATTAGTTGTTCTTAGCCTGAATAAACATAAGAGTTATCCAAGTTTATCCAAAAAAAAAAATTAAACATAAGATCTAAAGTCCCAAAGGCTCTGTTGGGGCGGCGATCCGGCCGCAATCTGACTGTTTTGTGATTTGTTTACCCTCGTGCTCGAGAATTTGTTTGGGAATGTTTCCCCAAGTGGACGCCCAAGCCTTGGTCGGTCGCGTTGACGCGGTCGCAGTCAGGTGATGGCGCTTTATCATGTGATCTGTAAATGTTTACGTAAGCATAAGCTATCTACGATGCTTGAAGGTATAATTTATTTGATCTCCCTCGACCAATTCTCTCTCTTCTACTGCTACATAGAATCATACCATCATACCGGACTCAGTTGTTATTCTTCCTTTTGCTGCACTGTACGGATTTCTGTTGAAATGGTTTGAAGTTGAATGCCCGGTCCCCTTAGCTTCAACCACTTGAAGCTCTGGCTGTTCCTCCCAACGTTATCGATCCAAAATGTCTATATCGCATCGACCTGTATGGGCTTTTCTAACCCCATTATTGGAACCCTCAGTTTGAATAAGACTAACTTTCTTTTTCCACTTCTACTAGCTCCTCTTGATCAGGCCGCGACTAGTATCGCCGTCTCATCTCCGCATCTTCATTCCAGCCGTTCCATCATGTCCCAACCGAAATCCGAAACACTACTGCTTCCTCTCTACTGAGTCTTCATCAACCCCTCATCAGGACGGGGGACCTCCTCCTAGCTTCAGTGCTTCCGTACCACACAAGAACCCAAACATTCCTTCGATTCCCTCTCCGGATGCCTCCGCTTCTGGCTCTTCGACTCCCTCATCCACGTCCACCACCAACTGGTACGACAATCCCGACTTTACTATCTCCACGTTCTCGGAACTGCCCTCAAAAAATTTCGGAGTAAACCAACATATGATTATCAATGAGGAATTTAAAGAGGCCCTAAGGCAGATACTTTGGCAGTTCAAGGCACCAATCCGATATGCGTTTGCATACGGCTCGGGGGTATTCCCACAGTCCAATAGATCCGCTACTCCCGCTGGGAGCTCTCATCCTGCCCCTCCCCAAGCCATCCAGACGGGCCAAAACAACAGCGGGAAGATGATCGATTTTATATTTGGGGTCTCGTATAGCCAGCATTGGCATTCGCTCAACTTGAATGAGCATCGCGATCACTACTCTGGTCTGGGATCGCTAGGCTCTTACGTAGTTTCCCAGGTCCAGGAAAAATGGGGCGCTGGCGTTTACTTCAACCCCTACGTTACTGTGAATGGAACCCTTATAAAATATGGAGTCGTCAATATTGACACCCTATGTAAGGATCTCAGTGATTGGGACACGCTTTACCTTGCAGGCAGACTCCACAAACCTGTGAAAATTCTCCGAGACCACCCGAAAGTCCGCCTTGCAAACCAAATGAACCTGCTTTCAGCAGTCCGTGTGGCACTGCTGTTGCTTCCCCCAAATTTTACTGAACATCAGCTGTATAGCACCATCGCTGGCATTAGTTATAGAGGCGACCCTCGGATGTCCTTTGGCACAGAAGATCCGCGCAAGGTTAACAACATTGTGTCCTCACAAATGGGTAATTTTCGCCGGCTATATGCATCCTTAATCGAGGCATTACCAAATGTCGCTTTTAATGATCCCCAATGCAGTGACCCAGACTGGGTTGATAACCCGGAAATAAATGCTGGTTTAGCCCAAGATATGGACCCTTTCAAAAGAGGAAATATGGTTCGAAGACTACCCCAATCATTCCGAGAGAAGCTATTCTTCCAATTTCAGTCACGATTCCAAATCCCAAGAGCGGAGTTTAATAAGATGATGCAAGAGAGCAATGATGAAGACCCAGAACGAGTCCGTCGCCGAGTGGGAGGCAAGTTCGAGCAGAAGATTGCTGCTGATGAGTTCCTTCTAGACGAAGTAAATAAATCGATCAAAAAAACGATATCCTGGCCGAGCACAAGCCAGAGCATAAAGAGTCTATTCACCGCTGGTGTTGGAAGAGGATGGCGATACCTCAGAGAAAAACAGGGGAAACACGCTTCTGCCAAACGAGAGCATGAAGAAGACGCTTCCCACCCCAGATAGGAAGGAATAAAACATCTTTGAACATGATTTCTTTTGGAGATATATATGTCTTTTGTATACCTTTACTAATACAGTCTTGATTATGCATATCCAAGGCATACGGCGTTGAAATGGTGGGAAATGGACAAAAACGATAGATTTATACCAGTAACATTAACATAGACTTAGCATAGTTATATGAATTTAACAATTATGAAGAAAATATCAATACAGTCAGCTACTTTTTCGTGGACGGTAACCTCATTGTAATTTGTAAGTTTGTTTCCACATAGTTATCCCAAAACCGGTTAATAAATCTGAATTTGTTTTTATGACTTCCCCCGCCACCGACCTCAAAAACGTCCTCACTATCAAACCAACCACCACCAGCGCCAACCATGGCAAAGAAAAGTCTTCCATTCGACCTGTCAAAATGTGCGAGGCCCAATATTCTGCAATTGAAACCTTACCGATGTGCAAGAGAGTAAGCTCCCATTGTTTGACCGCAGTTCCGAAAAAGAGAGCTAACATATCAGCTAACGTATAAATGAGTAAGTGACTACAAAGACGATGGGACAAATGTTCTGCTGGATGCGAACGAAAATGCCTACGGACCAGGAATTGTCTTGACATCAGAAGGGAAATTACAGAAGGGTGGTGAGCCGACGACAAACGGCCAGAATTCATCGCTAGCACCAGATATCGACTTTCTAGGCTTGAATAGATACCCTGATCCGTAAGCTCAACTCAGACTGCATATAAGTCCGCCTTAATTCTAACAATACTTTTTGCTGAATAGTCACCAAATTGAGCTAAAACAACTCCTATGTAATCTACGAAACACAAATGTACACACACAAAAGGCGCTGACACCAGACAACCTCTTCGTAGGTGTCGGTTCAGATGAAGCTATCGACGCCCTGCTGCGCTGCTTCTGCAGACCAGGCCAGGACCAGATTCTCACCTGCCCCCCAACCTACGGCATGTACTCCGTCAGTGCGCAAGTTAACGATGTCAGCATTGTCAAAGTACCTCTCGACACAGCCAACAATTTCCGCCTCCGCCCAGACGCCATCAACGAAGCTTTATCTGCAAACCCCTCCATAAAAATCGTTTACATCTGTTCCCCAGGGAACCCAACAGCAAATCTAATCCACAAGATAGATATTCAGAAAGTCCTCGAACACCCAACATGGAATGGGATAGTGGTGGTAGACGAGGCGTATATCGATTTTGCACCCGAAGGCTCAAGTTTGGCGGAATGGGTAACCGAGTGGCCGAATCTGGTAGTCATGCAGACGTTGAGCAAGGCATTTGGACTGGCAGGTATCAGGCTGGGAGTGGCTTTCACGAGTCCTGAAATTGCACGGTTGTTGAATAGCCTGAAAGCTCCGTATAACATATCGAGTCCCACCAGTGCGCTGGCGAAGGCCGCATTAGCGCCGGAGAATCTTGCGCTTATGAAGAAGAACATGGAAAAGCTTCTTGCGCAGCGGAAACGGTTGGCTGTCGAGCTGTCCAAGGTCCCTGGAATTGGCCGGTTCCTGGGCGGCATGGATTCGAATTTCCTGCTCTTTGAGGTTCTTGATAAGCCTGCTGAACAGGGTGGCAAACCTTGCAATGAGGTGGCGTTGATTGCGTATAAGGTCCTTGCGGAGACGAAAGGGGTTGTTGTCCGGTTTCGGGGGAATGAATATGGCTGTGAGGGATGTCTGAGGATTACTATCGGGACGGAAGAGGAGGTATCTAAATTCTTGAGGGAGATTCGCGTCGTTTTGGGTGATATATATGCCATGAAAGCCTAAATAAAAACGGTTGCATAAAATGGGATACCTTTTAACGAATATAGATTTCGCTAGCCATCAACTTTGGTTTTGATCAATTTAATTTATTAGAGGCATTTGCGGATCATTATGTTATGCTTCCATATCCTTAAGTCGGACACCAACACTAAACATCTATTCCGGTACAGCCATGGGACAAAAAAAACAAAAACAACAAACAAACCCCCACAACAATTCTAATCAAACTTATCCAGAATACAATATCAAATTACAATACTAAATATTTATACAGGCGCACGAGGTCCAATTCCAGGGAATTCTCCGTATCCCCAAGCACTCCGAGGTAAAAGTCCAAAGCCAAACCAAATGCTCCTTAGCAAAATATGATGAGGAAGTCCTCCGGAAAACATCAAAACACCAAACTTGTCATATCGTACTAATCGTAGGCAGTAGCTTCAAATCTGTAGAACCGGGAAAGGTTAGCACTAGGATTGGAACACCAGCGCAAGGATTCGCAGATAAACGAGTAACAGAAATTGTAACTTACAAGTCGTAGAGGAGTTCGTACAGGGGCGCGTCCTCCATGGAGCAACATCGCGATCGCTTTGTACGGGGTTGCCTGTAGCTTACGGTATGCTTCATGGATGTGTCTTGGCTCAATGGGTGTCCTCCCTTCCTCAGGGGGGTCGAAAAGCCCTGTCTCCCGTTTGCGCTTTTTTGTCTTTTCGCCATCATCCGAGGCTCCTCGGCCTTTCTTCCCTCGGTCTTCCTGCTCCTTCACTTTCAAAGCCTCTTCGGTCAATGTCTGCACGATTTCAAAAGTGAGGAAACCAAGAATGTCAACAATGTCATCGTTGGGTCTGAAGTCCGTCACAATTCCAAAACCCGCCCATTCTCGGAATCTCTTGGCCTTGCGGAATGTAAAGGATGCCTGTCGACAATCGGACCAGAATACGTATTCTTCACGCGTCATATTCTTCGTGCGTTCATCTGCGTTTGCGAGACGTTGGAGGGTGGCGTAATTCTGTTCCTCTTCCTCTTCATCTTCCTCATCCTCACGTTCTGGAACTTGAACTGAGTATAAATTGTTGAGATCCCAAGGCAAACCAACTTTGGCTCGTTTGTTTTTAGGTTTCGCGGCAACATCTGACGGGCCTGCAACACCGGCTCCAGCTAAGGGGTCATCGCCAGCCCCAAAATCCGCTGCGTCAGCACCACCCTTGTCATCTGAGTCCTTGACGTTTTTCCGGACGTCTTTCCAGGATAAGAAAGTCTTGAGCCGTGATACTTTAGCCTTGTCGTGGCGGATAAGAAAAATGAGATCATCAGTGGAAATTGATCGATTGCCCCGTCGTGCTGCCAAGGCAGTGCTTCTGCTAAGCTTTGAGCATAGGTCAGCTTTATCAGAACATAGAAGTGAAATAGGCGAACGCTTACCATTTCAATAACCTGTTGACGCACAATTTCCTCGATGAGAGTGGTAGTTTCAGCTGATGGTTCCGCCGTTTCTCCGGAAACAAACATCATCTGGCTCAAGGTGTTAGTAAATCTGGCATTCCATTCTTCCCACGTCTCTTCGTCTTCATTCTGGTCTTCATTCTCGTGCTGGTCCCCATCCCCATCCCCATCCGTGTCCGCGTCAAAGTCATCTTGAGGTACATTGCCGCCGTGGTCTTCGCAACCTGGCAGTGCGTTAAGGTCCTGGTTCAAAGGTCTAGAAGGCCCTTCACTGGGGAGATTCTCAGACAACTTGCTAGAGGAGTCCCCCGTAAAAAACATCGTGAACGATGGTGCAGCTGACTTCAAATGGAGCTGGAGCTGAAGGGGACCACTTTAATGGATAATTAAGCAAAGAACCAAACAAACAACTTGGTGGAGTGGTAAAGAAGACTCTCAGTGTGCTGCAAAACAAGGTTTGAAAAAAAATCATCCCATGTCAGGTAACCAAGGCGATCTGTGAGGGAGAGAACGAAGGGTGTTTCCCTGAGAAAGAAAACATCATTTTTCATCAAAACACTCCTGTGCACCCAATTTAGATGATTCAACACTTTCATGCTGAAAGATGATGCTTAAACCTCTCAACCCCACTTGTTCAAATCATCTAACAACGCCACTCGTTCCATGCTGCAAACATTGCTGATTCTGCACCATATCAATAGACATGGTCATTGCTCTTCCAGTCTAGCAAAATACTCCTATGAGGAGGTGAGCCTTGTAAATTCTCATGACCAAACTAATCCCGGTCGGCTAATGAAAGACAATTTGGAGAGTTTTGACTTGAGGTTCACCTAGGTATCGTAGGAGGGCCGGTAATTCAACCCTCTTACGATAACTTTAAGATGTCACCTATTATGTTTCGGCATCCCTTATGGGCCTTTCTAAAGAAGGACATAATAGGTTTCTGCAAGAACGGCGAATTTTTGATAGTTGAACGTTGATTTGATATTGAGGGGACACAGTTTCCTCCGAAGATACCGTTGAACATGAGAACCAGTAGACCAGAGGCAACACCTTACCAAAGCTTCACAGATATCTCAGCATGAAAGGAACTGTATTCTTACCTGCTGAATCTCCTGACGGTACTTGGGCGATCGTTCAGCCATCTTGGCGGCTCAACTCTCAGCGTGCGACACACACTGGCAATGTAAGGTGAATCGCAGTAAAGGAGGTCTCAGGGACACAGCCACAGCCGCCCCCAATAGCTGAAATCGTTCAGCACTTACGAAAGAATGGGCATCAATAGATCATGATTATGTCCGTTGTTGTCAATCGCGGACGTTCGACGTTGCCCAGAGCTTCTGAACACATACGGTGCCAAGTCCACGGATCGGGTGGTTTAATAAGCAAGATTGATAAGATCTGATCGGCTGTCGGAATCTCAAATGTTCCTTCTCCTGAAGAGCACCCATTCCTGGCTGGGTCGCATTACTTAATCAAAATAATAATAATAATAATAATAATAATAATAATAATATTCATAGCACCCGCAAACTTACCGTGTCAAAATTATTCACACGGAACTTGTTCACCATGCTGTATCTTGTCGGATTAGGTCTCGCAGATGAGACTGACATCACTGTTCGAGGGCTGGAAATTGTCAAGAAGGCCGAAAGGGTATACCTTGAAGCTTACACCAGCATATTGCTTGTGGATAAGGAAAAATTAGTGCGTGCTGAGCTCACAACATATCCGGTGTATCTTTATTATTCTAACATGGACCACGATTGATTCAGTAGGAGGCCTTCTATGGACGTCCCGTCATTGTAGCAGATCGCGAATTGGTCGAGACTTGCAGCGATGATATACTCCAAGGCGCCGATCAGGTAGATGTCGCGTTCCTGGTGGTTGGAGATCCATTTGGGTAAGGTAGCCCTGGGAAAAAATAGTCTTTACCAAACCCCAAGGTTTGCAGACTCACAGTTATGCCCAAAATTTAGAGCTACAACTCACACAGACCTCGTCCTGCGCGCCCGCGAACTCGGGATTACAACAAAATCAATCCCAAATGCGTCGATATTGTCAGCTATAGGATGCACCGGCCTACAGCTCTATAACTTCGGCCAGACTGTGAGTATGGTATTTTTCACAGAAAAGTGGAAGCCGTCGTCGTTCTACGATCGAGTGAAGGAAAACGTCCAGCTGGGATTCCACACTTTGATGCTCCTCGATATTAAAGTTAAAGAGCAATCGATAGAGAATATGGAGCGGGGAAGGAAGATATATGAACCCCCAAGATACATGACTGTTTCGCAGTGTGCCAGTCAGATGTTAGAGATAGAGGAAGAAAGGAAGGAAGGCGTTTACGGACCTGCTAGCCTTGCTGTGGGTGCTGCTCGGGTTGGTGCACCAAACCAACAACTTGTCGTTGGAACTTTGAAAGAGCTATGTGACGTCGATATGGGGAAACCGTTACATAGTTTGGTTCTCCTGGGCAAAAGGACCCATGACCTGGAAAGAGATTATATTCGAGACTTCGCTGTTGACAAAGCAACCTTTGATGAGGCTTGGAAAAGCAATTACGGAACGAATTCGTGACTCGTATTGACTATGTCGGAGAATAATTAGACAATAACTAATACAGTAAATTGCAAAAAACCAGATCATATCCGTACATTAGCCACAGTTTGAGCGGAGGGACACCTTCAAGAGGAACGCAGAAAAGGTCGAGGAGCCAGGGCTTTCAGCCTAGCACCATCTCTCTTCAAGCAAAGTCCTCAGACAATATCCAAAGGACAATCGCCATGATAGAAAAGGCAATACAATCCCAAATATATCTTCCTTAGTTGCTAGCGACCAGACCGACCTGAATAACTCGCCCCATAAGGCTGCTATCACATCACATGCTCTCATACTGGGTAACTAGGCCCTCTCCCTGATGAAAGTTGAAGAAATCTACCTTGTTTGACAAACATTTACAGATTCATCAACCCCTTCACTACCTACTACCCAAGCTCATCTAAGCCTAAAAAATTAGATGAATGTCTAAAGAAAATCGAACTTTATTTTCAAGCGCCAAGAGGCCTGCAGAGTCACTAGGAAACCACGTTGCCCAGGCATTTAAATATCAATGAGCTGACCCAAACACACGTAGATATTCAATGCGCTCAAGGGCTATGGCGGTGGATTGATCCACAGTCGGTTGCCATCGCTGCTGGTCTTAATTCTTGTGAGATTGTTGCGTTCGACCTGAGACTACAGGCAGTCTTTTTGTGTTTGGTTATCAAGTAAAAGTATGAGGCCAAAATTTGGATCCTGCTGCAAAGGATCAGGGGCTTATTCTCCGAATTCTTCTCAGGCTTGGTGAGCTTTCCTTCTCTGTGGAATGGGAGGGATGTCAGGACGGCCCCTTGAAAAATCAGTGTTTAGCGAAACAGTTACGCTGGATAGCGGAGTTGATAGGAGGGCGTTTATGACCGCCAATTATCTGTGACATTCCGTAGCTAAATGCTTTTAAAAGACGAAAGAGAGGTAATTTGTCCGTCTGTGTTTTATGAGCGATCTGATGCAAAACTAAATTTGAACGAGATAGGGACAAAAGAGCTTTTCGATAGAGAGAAAAAGGAACCATATTTAGTCCCATATTCATTTCCTCTAATAACCGCTTTAGACGTGGCACTGGCTACTTGAAGATATGAGATACAAGGCGCCATGCGCTCAGTGGCAATGCCAGTCTCTACCTACGAGTAAATTAGAGAGTGATACAGATTATATCCTACAGTAAAAAACAGACGGACGGGGCCACTGGAACAGTGTGCAATTGTGGTTCCATTCCGTGGTTCAGCGGCATCAATGAAGAAACAACTACCTACCCAGGCGTGTTTTAATACCTTCGCATATTTTTTATATCTTGTCAAGATCAATCCGAAGCGCAAAAGCGGGATGATATTATCTCTGCGGGGCCCTCCGATTCTGGACGGGCCGTAATGTGCTTGTCGTTAAATCCCCAACAAATCGGGTGAGCCGCAGCTAGTTACCTAAATATTTTTCATAGCGCGATCTCTACCCTCAGTAACAGCAATTTATTTTGTTCAAGCTTGATTTGCACATGGAAGATGTTGTTTTACGGCGTCAATCAAATTTCCAGTGGAAGACCCCGTGCACTCATCGCCAGGTATTACCATGTCCCAAAGCTATATGATACCGTGGCTCTACGACTTCGGAATATGGGTTTTTTCATTATGTCTTGACATTTTCTTCCGTGAGATCTACTCTCGAGGGACATGGCGGATTCCCAGGAATGGTCCGGTAATCGTTGTGGCCGCACCGCACGCCAACCAGTTCGTTGATTCCGCTATATTAATGCGCAATTTAAGATACTATGCCAGTCGTCGTACTTCATTTCTCACTGCCGACAAGACTATGCGCGAGCCGTACATTGGCACAATGACACGTCTGATGGGAGCAGTATCTGTTGTGAGATCTATGGACCTTGTCAAACCCGCTGAGGGTAAAATATACATTCCTGATCCAGAAAATGACCCCACTCTTATCCGCGGGCAAGAAACAGATTTCACCAACGGCCAATTCATGGAAGGGGGTATGATTGTTCTGCCCAAATGAAGGGAATCAGTGTCAAGCAACAAACTATCGCTAAAATCCTTGGACCTAAGGAATTGCGTCTCCAAAAGCCTTTCAAGGATTTTGAAAATGGGCTCCCACTCCACAAGCCATTGCGCGAAGGGACCCCCTTAAAGGTTGCACCGTTCGTTGACCAAAGCCAAATGTTCGACGCGGTTTATCGCAAGCTTTGCAGCGGTGGCTGTGTTGGCATTTTCCCCGAAGGTGGGAGCCACGATCGCCCTAGTTTCCTCCCATTGAAAGCCGGCGTGGCCATCATTGCCCTAGGTACCCTTGCGCGTCAACCTGACTGCGGCTTGAGCATAATTCCTTGCGGCATGAATTGCTTCCACCCTAATAAGTTCCGCTCCCGCGCCGTAATAGAGTTTGGCAATCCCGCTCAAGTTCACCCAGACCAGATCGAAGCTTTCAAGGCAGGCGGCCATCTGAAACGTAACGCCGTGGGGTCATTATTGGAAACAATTGAAGAAGCCCTTGCCGCTGTAACCCAACAATCTCCCGACCATGAGACACTTATGGTCATTCAAGCTACTAGAAGACTATACAAGCCTCTGCGGATGAGACTCCCTCTACCTGTCATTATTGAGCTTAACAGAAATCTCCTTAAAGGCTACACGCAGTTTAAAGACGAACCTAAGGTTCTCCAGCTGAAAAAAGCCGTGCTAGATACAATCGGCGATTGAGATCCTTAGGTATCCGGGATCACCAAGTCGAATGGGGGGATGTTGAGCAGCGGCCGTGGTGGCTGGTTTTCGGAATCCTACTTTGCCGTATTGGTGAATTCCTCGCATTAGCATTAGCAACATTACCATCGGTTGCTTTATTCTGGCCGGTCTTCGTCATTACAAAAATAGTGTCGGTTAAAAAGCAACGCCAAGCACTGGCCTCATCAGTTGTGAAACTAGAAGGCCGTGACGTAGTCTGAAGTTGGAAAATCATCGTAGCAATGGGGCTGGCTCCCGCATTGTATATCTGGTATACAGCAATTGCGACTGTCTGGCTTTATTACTGTCGTCACGAGGGACATTACCCAAACGTTGTTCCGTGGTGGATTGACCTCAGGAATTATATTCCTGATATTGTCCCGTTATGGTGTGTTTTTCAATGTTCTTCACAGGCCTCATGATTTCAGTCTCCTTTGCCGGTTTGCGTATCGGTGAGATAGGCACCGATGTTCTGAAGTCTCTGCCTCCACTTTTAGTGGCATTGCACCCCAGGTCCGCTAACTCGCTGGTCAAGTTGCGAGCAGAGCGGCAGGCATTGTCTTCCCAAGTTGTGGAGGTGGTCAACACATTTGGTCCAGAAATTATCCCGATTTCGAATCGGAAAAACTGGTTCGTGAGGACTCTCACGATGATGTGTATCAATCTCGACTGAAGAGCATGCCTCCGAGTAAATCGGGGAGCCGGAGTAGAAGCGAAAGTAGGGATAGCCGATCCAGCAGCATCAGCTCCTTTCTCAACGATACTTTACTCAGGCCCTTGTCTACTCTATCGAAGGATAACCTAGGTGAGGTGAACCGGAGAATCCAGGACTCCAAGTCGAAGAAACGCATACGGCGCTCACGACGAGACGATGTGTCAGATGATGACCTTGTCTTAGTTGACGAATACTCTAGTGTTAGAAGCCAGCATTTTACGGAAGATAAGAAATCAAGATGATGATGATGGATGTGCGCATCTCGAAGAGATCCCTGAATTTCTAGAAGTATGGGATCCAGTCGAATTCAAGCTTCATTTCCGCCTTATTCACGATTTTCGGTAAACGAACAATTGACATTAAAAGCATATGGTTTACTATAGTCCCGGGCAGGTTGGGCTGACTTTGATCGAAAGTATATATTTTTATGCCTGGGGAGTTTAATTGTCCAATCACGAATTTATATCCAAGCAAAATATTAGTTATTTCTGTTCTCCCTTTTCTTACGGTGAATACGTCCCCATATGTCCACACATGGATACAAAGTTGTCCACACTAGAAATATATTTCCACCAAGGAATATACATAGGGAGCCTGATCTTCTATATATATATATATATATATATATATATTGAGGAGAGGGGAACCGGATCCCATCAAACCCCCAATCAGAAATCGGGTTGTCAAGTAGGAGAACGCTCTGCGTGGGAAATAGCAAGCCCGAAATCTAAACTATTTATAATATGGGGAGGCACGATTGGGTAGCCGCAGTATCCACTAAACAGCCCCAAGCCAAACCCTTGCCAAAATGCTGGCTACTGCGTAAGATGTCACACCACACGAGACATCTGTCTCCTGGAAGTTGTCTTTTTGATGCGTCCAAAACGATGAAGAAAAGATATCATTATCCCCGGCATGAACACTAATTTAAGTTAGTTCAAGAGCTTCCTTCACTTACTGACCTCCCAAAGAATCGCCCCGATAGGCGACAGGTCATCTTAGCAGTTGAACTAACCTTACCCCAATATTACCACTCTCCTCTCTACAATATGGTCACCTACATCCTGTACGGCTTCCGCTGGAACCGCATCGCTAGCCCGTCAGCATATGGTATCCGCGCATACATCGCAATCGCTAACATCGCCGACGCAGCCGCTGAGTACCTTCAGCATCCAATTACAAATGCTGTCATCCTCGACTCATTCAACCACATCGACCCCAACATACTTACCCATATACCCGACCTCCAACTCATTGAGCAGTACGACCCCGATGACCTTGGTGCTGACGCCGTGAGCCAGCCATATGCATACGTTTCAGCGAAAACTCTGACGATGGGGGCGAAAGCACTGTCCCGTGCAGGGCTGGGATTGAGTCTGCAAGAAATTGCACAGCAAGATCCGGGCCTGTCAACGGCGGGGACCGAGGTATTTAAAAAGCTTAAGGATGAGCTAGCCCCTGCTTCGGAGATTGGCTGGTTTGTAGTTTACAATGGCGAGCCGGAACGGGCGTATGAAAGCTCGGATGAGAGTTCTTCTGTGGTGGAGGATGAGGATGTTGTCACGGATAGTAAGGGTGGTATCAAGGAGTAAAATCTACTATCGATTCTACTGAGTCAATGGTATGTTCCTTATGCCTGTTTATCTTGGGCAAGATCTTGATGAATCAAGAAATGAAAGGGTGACTCTGAGCTGCTGCAATAATATGCGGATGAACTGATTGGAACTGTATCACAGCTTACGTCGAAGTCTAATACAACAAGGCAGTGCAATTTGGTACGAAATGTCACGCTTAATGGGGGCGAAAGTATATTTTCTCCGAGTCTAGTTGTAGATTTTCAGGTGCCTTGAACACTCTACGGTAGATTTACGGTGAGGTATACCAGTGGTTTGTAGCTATTATTGTTTGGATTAATATGCAAGAAGTTATCTCTATTGCCTATGTATCTTTTGTACATATCATATCTATAGCAATCAATTCATCTATATACTGGATATCTGATTTAGCCATGCTGTAGCTTGGTTGATCAATCTCCGCCAATATGGAGCCGGGCGGTGAGTATCGGCAGAACAGTGGGAGATGACCCCGGGAAATCGTAGCTCTGAGGAAGCATCTTCAACTCTCACAACTCAACGCACAGCCTCATGAAGCATTATCCCACTTCCTAGATTTGGTACCAGGCTGTCTATTTACGGGATGGTTCTCTCTTTCATCCTGATTCAGAACAGGCAGTATGTGTCCCTTATTGCAAATGCTTGCGTGGCTATTAGCTCACTGACGCTGAAAGGGGCAAAACTCGTCTGGCCAAGTGGTACGCGCCATATAATGTAAGTGACCCATTCTTAATGATTTGTGTATCTGATGTAGTGGTGTAGCTAACGTGTTCTAGGATGATGAGAAAGTGAAGCTAAAGGGCGAGGTGCGTCTCTATCCACAGCAACCCCGAGACATTTAACTCTCCCCCCTCCCAGTTTCTCATATCCAGAACCACCAAGCGGCGTTTCCGGCATCGAAATCTAAATAGACCTACAGGTCCACCGACTTATCGCCCCTCGTGATCAAAAGTATCAGTCCAACTTTGTGGAGTTCCGTCGCAGCACAAAGATCGTTTACAGACGTTATGCAGGTCTATTTTTCTGCGTCGGCGTCGATGCGAATGACAATGAATTGGCGTATTTGGAAGCCATACATTTCTTTGTGGAGGTCCTCGATCAGTTTTTCGGCAATGTCTGTGAGCTTGATTTGGTATTCAATTTTTACAAGGTGCGTTATTGTTTCGAGGACGGGGAATTTAGGATATTTAGGTTCACAGGCAGGTTTGATTGAAGTTCAAGGAATCTTCGGACTAAATATCTACCTGCTTCGAGTCGTCGGTGATAATTGATGGCTAACGTTCGAAATAATTTATTATCTATGTCCAGGTTTATGCCATTCTCGACGAAGTGTTTCTCGCCGGCGAGATTGAAGAAACGAGCAAACAGGTTGTGCTAACGAGATTGGAGCACTTGGATAAACTTGAATGAATTCACGAAAATATATACCTGTCTGCATGCCCCTTTGGTTTTCGTCATTGTATTACCCTGTTTATTATCATAATTTCTATGCTTTTCAAATAGACTTAATCTAGAGAACCTAACTGTTTTCTTTTGCTGATTCCCCAATCCTCCCGCTATCCTTTCTTCCGACTCCTGAGAGGGAATTGTATCGTTGATTAATCTTTGAGGCCAGCATCAATTGGTTATGGTGCTTCAGGGAAATCTTCTTGTATACCGCATAGCCTCTATTTCGTTAGCACCAAGTGGATGTAACAATCGACGAATGTTCCTGGTCTCCACAACATGTGGAAGGGTCTTTTCCTCATTGGGTTAGGTCCTCCCCCGACAGCGTGAATCGTTGGAGCTTGAGACTACCAAAGATATCGAACGCCAGATGCATGATGGGCCCAAAGATTATGCGACTGGGGAAAGTTTGTTTCAATTTAATTCTCCGCGCCAATAATCGCAAGGTAGCCGAAAAAGTTTGACCGCTTTGATTTTCGAGAACGATATCCACCTGCAGTGGACTTGGTCGAAACAAGTGGAAATGCAGGATAGGGACGATCCTGGTTAGCGGATCCCTATTTGGGGGATAGGTGAAGCCTTTCAACTCTGCTAGGATATCCTTGAACAGGGACCGGTTCTTCCCGAAAGAAGTTGGATTGCCACTTCGTTAAACACCTCTCTGATCAGGGTCTTGTCAACATTATGAAGATTGTACCACAATCTATGACTCAGCTTCTCCCGGTAATTCTCCGCATATTACAGTTGAATTTTATAGGTGGGAACCAACCGAGGGTCTTCAAATTTGAAATCTCGAAACGGACATGATTGCACTTGTCTACACCTGGAACCAAAAATTTCACAGGAATAAAAGAGATTGAGTGATGACGCACAGCCATAAGCGGAACATTCCGGTTTCCAGTGGCATAAAAAGATCGCGAATGCAAACCAGAAGCACGTGGAGTTTGGCAAGCGCCCTCAAACTACATATCAGCGATCTAGAGAACGGAATGGGAGATTTAAGTCGGATTTGCACCAGAAATGAGAGCTGGAAGATATTAGAGCTGGACAATCCGAACAGACGCAAATGGCATCTCATCATTGTACATTCGCACAGCGGGAGAGACGGCAATGTAATGTGACGATTCCAGCCATGACCTATTCGTCACTTCCGCAAAAGGTTCAGTCGGTCAGATTTGGTTTCTGTCCCGTAGTCGAACTTTTTCAAAATGAGCCCTGACTTGTCTGCTCGTGGTCTCGGCACAAATAATTTCACTTGTCACCTTCTAATCAAACCATATTAAGCCAGGCTGGCTCTGTTTTTGCTCAGGGCATCTTCAATTTTCAAAGCAGGGAAATGGGACAAGAAGTAAAGTGAAATTCCTTGACCGGCGTCGCTAGCCGGACAAACCCTGCCGCGCAGAGCCTTCAATAACCACACGCAGCTCTATCCATATGTCCACGTCACGCTTCCGTTGCCGGCATCAAATCCAACGCAGGACCTTTCTTTTGCCTTCAAGGGGTATCTCAGAATGCCACTGCACTATGGACTGTTAGATCCCTCACATCAATTATTCCCATTAATGCAGTGCTGGTCTTGTGAGTTCTACTCAAAACTCTCAACATATATTTTCTGATCGAACAAATGTTCTTACATCCATCTATCAGTTCTGGGAACCTGATGTGGAGTTGAAAAGTCTTCTTCATCAGCATTTTGCAAATTATAGCTGTGGTTGCGGGGATTATGGTCTGCTCTGAAGGCTCAGGATTATTGGCTTTGTGGGTTTGGTATGGAGGTTAGTCGCGAGCGTGTCGTGCCTTTGTTGTGTGGCTGCGTGTTGGATTTATAAGGGGAAGGGACACGAGATGCTGCTCCCCGCCGAGGAAGAGATAGGAGAAGCGAGCTCAGTGTTTCACAGAGCAGTTGCCGGGGGTGGGGGGGGGGGAATAAATTAAAGATTGGTCATAGAACCGGGGAACCAGGTAGAATATCTAAGGTGCCTAGGTAGTAACTAGGGTTGGTCCACGCTATCTGGCCGGTGCTGCTGCTAGATTCTGAATGCATGGGTTTACTAAAGATTTTTGGAATTAACGGAATATAACTACCCCATCCGGGTACCTGGGAGAGTGACACCGCACCTTCACTACTGCTTTGCTTCCTGGGCCCTCTTGGAAAAGTCATAACTAGTTAATAACTAACTAGTTAACTAACATAATCAATCACCTAACGGATCAAATCACCTAACAGAACACCCCCCACCATTCTATTTGACAAAATTTCAAATTAAACAACAATAATGAGGAATTATATATAGAAATTATATAGGATAGATACTTAGATCTGTTGACACTGCCTAATATTATGTTCAGGGATATTACACTTACTGCAGGTTGAGGGTCTTCAGGTTCAAATTCTCAACTCATTTCTCTATAGATTGATCAGGCTTCTAAGGTCTAGCAGTCCTAGCTAATGTGTCTTAAGCTATTAGAATTCCTTTCTTAGCTATATGAAAATATGATTTTTCTCTCTCTTACTTCTGTCTAATGTTGATAGCTCTTAGCTCTGTGTTTTCTTTGCTACTATAGTAGCACTATATATGATTAGCTGATATCTCTTCTCTATTCTCTGACTATATGACAGATAACTTACAATCTTTCTCAGCTCTAGTGATCACTCTGACTATCAAAATAATTCTCATCATAAAGTTAATCTTATTAAAGTTGTAGATATTCTTCAGTATAGTTTTATACTTCTTTATTGTATAATTCATCAAAATAAATCATTCATATAAAATCTTTAAAATTTCACACTGTGCTTGCTAATAGTTATATTTTGTATAAGAATGTTGATGTCAAAGACTTCTTATACTACTAGCTTTTTGTTCTCACACTGCATACTAAAGCACTTCATGAAGAATCAGCACTTTAGAATCAGCATTTTCTGAAGAATCAGTACTTCATGAAGAATCAGATTATCACATCACTATTTTCTCATTTTATGGAAGATTAGAAATAAAATCTATTGTCACTCAATCATGTATATAAACACTCTGAATTTCTCAAATTTCTTAAGAGATTTGGTGATTGACTACTATTTAATTCTACATCTATGTTTTCACTCATTGCTATTCTCTTCTTTTTATAGTGCTTACAGCATCTACATTTCTTCTCTCTTATGATATGTTAGGGAGCGAATGCGAGCTGCATAAGAAAGAATTCTCCGCGTTGCTAACTGCTATTGTCAGGCCTATCCGCCTTCTTATGTAATCCGCACTGTATATAACTTCTGTGTAGCTAGTGATCACTTTATAATCAATCAAGCAATCTATCCTTCACAGGTTATGAGACTCATTTTGCGCAAATAACTGCCAATTCAGAGAATTCTTGCCAAATATAGTGTATATTAATCACTGCTCACTTCATTCAATATAATATTGTTTTATTTTATGTTAATTGATTGATTTGACATATTCTTATATTATTATTATTATTTTTTTTCTGTGTTCAATCTGTTCACTTAGCAGGTGAAAAAAAATCTGCAATTCACTAATTTTTCAGTGACTGATCACACAAGAACATGTCAATCTGCTCAATCAAGCTTATAGATAAGAATCTTACTAAATAAGATTACTACTTTATAAAGAAGATTAATACAACATGGTGAAATATATGATGACTCACTCATGATTGTGATCAAGTCAATTCAGTCAATCTGATTGATCTGAAAATGATCAGGGGGCTCTGAGCTCACTGACCCCCCCAGAGGTGTTCAAGAGTTTCAATATTAAATCCTCTAAAACATCTGATCAGCAAGTCAAGCTGATTACAGTCCCTATCACAGTGAGACTGGTCTACTTACATTATATCAAATATGCTGATCTGACTTCTTTAGAAGATGGAGTGAAGATGTCTGCAGTGATTCTTAATCTGCCACCAGCAACTGACTTTGAAGAATTGCAACTGAGGAAATTGAATCTTAAACATCAAAAGATTGATTTAGAACTTCAAAAAGAGAGGTGTAAAGAATTACAGCTTCAACTTCAATTGAAGAGGCTCTGCACTCAGAATGACAGAGTCATGATGCTCACAAATTCACTAACAGGTTGACCATCAGCATGAGATCTGAACTTGAGGTCCTGAATGCAATATAATCTCTATGATTCAGATAGCTATATCAGCAAGACAATCAGCCAGTTCAAACAGGATTCTAAGTATACTATTAAGCTAAATGCTCTGATCAGATCTTTGAATTACCTCTCCTAGCATGTGAATATGAAGGCCAAGCTAATTGACACTTAATGCTGGGTTATATTGGAGGACAAATAAGTCAAAAGCCCTGATTAGAACTCTGAATAAACTTTTTTTTGAGAGGTCAAAAATCATTGACTTTACACATTCATTTCAAATGCATTGGCAGCCAGTATTAGGCCCTGTTTTAATAAGTATGATGAGGACAGAATCACTTATTTCCTTTGACATGTGATTGAGGAGGAAGTTTTCATCCTGAGAACACAGCTCTGCATGGAAGCAGTCCTGGTGTTTACATCAATAAGTGATGTTCAAGTCACTGATGTATATATATTTTTCAATAAGTTCAATGATATTATTATAAAATTAGAAATATTTAATATTTTACTCTCAAATGATATGATATTCTACATGTTCTATTCTGCACTTTTCAATATATGATGAAACTATATGTAAAAGAAAATTGAAAAGGTACAAGAGTTTAAATCAAAGTCTGTTGTGTTAGATATTCATTCAATCATGGAGGAAATATGCTTTTGATTGAACCCTCTTAAAGAGGTCAAGAAAATCACTCAGGCAGCTAATTCTTCAGCTAACATAGCTCAAGCCAAAAATACAGCTATGGGTTCCAATAATAGTAGTAACATTCAAAATAATTTAACTTATGAGAGCTGACCTGGGGGATGTGAAGACTATTGAATGAGTGAATATTTAAATTCTGACCTTTTAATCTGTCTGAAATGCAAGCATCATCATAATAGACTCTGCTGAGTAGTCAATCTAGATAGTACTTCTGAAGAATGAAGAACTATTAATACAGTGAGAATAGAGAAATATAATAATAAGAAGAGTAGTGAGGACAAAAAGACTCTGTCAACTGCAAATGACAGCTCTGAGACATTTCAAATGATGAATCTAGTGCAGATCATTGAGGTGCATGTGTATTTTGCTAAATCAATTGCCAACTCACTCATCATATGAGATAGTGAGGTTGGATGTTATATTGTATGTGATCAATCATGATTTTCTTGAATAATAGAGGTTAGTGACTTTATGATTCAAGTGGTCAATAAGACTACTTTAAAAGTTCAAAGGATTGAGATCACCTTCATCCCAGTCAGAGAAAGATTAATTGAATTCAATCACATCTATTTGATGTTAGACTTATCTGTCAATCTCATATTCACTGACCTATTGAAGCACCAGAGCTATATTCACTATGATCTGCATGTGGACACTGAAAATTACTTTGAGATAATAGCATCTATAGAAAATGATATCTTCTATATGAATTTGAATTTCAATAATATATATATTCTACCTGATATTCTCTTTATGTTCAAAGGTATTATGAATAATCTGAAGCTTGAATCACTAGCATACTTGATGATTCTGAAGTTCAGAGTGATTTCAACAGATTATGATCTGAACACTGCATCACTGAGTCTTTTCAATCATAATAATGTGGAGTTACTAATTAATCTGAAGGATCTAAATACTGATATCTTCATTTTATCCTCATCAACCTGACTACTCATCATTTTACTGAAGCAGCTACTGATTGACAAGTGACACTAGTAATTGAGTCATATTGATAAGAAGAATCTAATTAAAATATTATGAGAGCTTTGTTTTAAAATAATTATCATCAGCTCAAAGAAGCTCTCATTCTGCATCATATATATTAAAGTCAAGTATAAATGTACAGGTTATAAAAATACCCTGCTACACTGTGCTACTCACAAAGGTCTTAAGATCTGAGTGAATCTATTTGAAAGTGGAGAAATACTTAATAATGAAGAAGATACATCATTTTATGTAGGTAAGAAGCTCATGATGATAATCACTGACAATGCTATACAAATGTAATAGACTTTTCTATTGAAGTACTGTAATAAGACTCTAAAATATATATAAATCTTCAATCAATTTATGAAAAATCTACTCAATTGTGATATTGTGATTATTTACTCTGACTATGATGAGTTAAATTCAAACACCATAGCTGTCTATATAATGAGTGAGAGTATTAAATAAAAATCAACTCTGTCTCACACTCTGTAGTAAAATGATATGTCTATATATTCTATTAGCCTGATTATGAAAAAAGTCTGAATATTATTAATAAATTTCTCCTCCCTCTATCAGATGTGAGGTGAGGTGATAATTGCAGTGACTGAAATACTTAACCTTATGCCAATGTCAGCCAAGCTTTATAATAGTATAGAGGATCTGAATCTGAAGCTGATTATCTCATATAAAGCTTGACTCAGGGCCATGCTCTCCATATACAGGATTTGCTAATGAAAGTGTAAGACTTATTTAAAAATAGTGCTCAAGCTAAATATGAAGATGATCTCATGATCATAGAAGCTTATATTTACAGGCTATGATAACTTTACTAATTATAGATTGATCAATCCTTCTAATGATCACCTTTATATATTAAAAGATATAATATTTCAAGAAGATCTTTATTTGATGAATTCTCTGACCTTGTCTGAGCAAGATATCAAGAACCTGCCTTCTGCCACTCATATAACTGCAGTTGTGATCCTCTCTACCCAACATGATTTATCAACAGATGATTTCATGATAAATAGAGAGTCTCTATCTGCTTCTTCAGTATTTCTACATTCTATAAATAATTGATGAATAGACTATAAAATTACTATATGAATTTCAATATTTTTGATGTGAAACACTACTACTCCCCCAGGGTCTGCTTTAGAGATGGAGAATTCTTCAATGCTTACTAAGAATATTACTTCAGTAAGAAAGATCTCAGTAAGAGATTTTATTGACAATTTGACTAATGTTCTCACAGACTATGAGATTACTGGTTTACTAGTTCTAAAGAATCTCATCTGAGTTCAGGCATCTGCAGATTGGAAATATTACTTCCATGTCTATATTAAAGAGATTAACCACCTCAAGCAGATTGATACATAGTGACTAGTTGAAAGAACTTTAAATATGATAATTCTATATAATCAATGAGTGTTCAATAAAAAGACTAATAATATGAAAAGAATTGATTGATATAAAACTCACTGAGTAGTCTGCAGCAATTATCAAGAAAAGAATGTCAATTATTCAAAGATATTTGCATCAGTTGTATCAGTCTCCACCTTCTGAGTGCTTATGATGATCTCAGTATTCTGAGAATGATATGTTCTACAGATCAACATAGTTACAGTGTTCTTAAATGCTCAGCTTTCTATCAATAAATATATATATATGCATCAACCTACCAGGTTTTATAAGAGATGCAGTGATCTAATATATAAATTGATACAGAAACTATATGACTTGAAGCAAGTAGCACTATTATGATATGAAAAGCTTTGAAAAATGCTATTGAAAATAGACTTTTATATCAGTTCTCATGATACTGATTTTTTCATCAATGATATCTGCAAAGTCTATATAATCATCTATGTAGATGATGTTCACCTATATAGTCTGAATATATCAGATATTGAATGGACAAAAGCCCAGATCACCACTAATTATAAGATCAAGGATGTGAATGAATCACACTAGTATTTAAGTATGAAGATTGATTGAGATGTTAAATCATTATCACTGTCTCAGTCACTGTTCATAAAGAACCTGCTTAAAGAATTCTCAATAAATGACTACCACTCAACATCCTCCTTTATGGAGGAGAATGTTGATTTCATAAGTAATAATGAAGAATCAATTACTTATACAGCAGAATTTATATTACAACTTTATCAATCAGAGATTGACTCTCTGCAATATCTCACTGTCAACATACACTCTGATATAAGCTTTGCTGCTGACTTTTTAAGAAGATTCAGCTCTCATCCTATCTCAAAAAATTGAGTGACATTCAAGTGAATTCTTAGATATCTATAAGGCACATCCAACATAGGTGTATCCTATCAAAGAGATGCAGATATAAAATCTATGGTATTCACTGATGCTGATTGAGTGAGCTATGATCTGAGTTCCCACTTCATCACTGAATATATCATTTATATGACAGGGGGTCCTGTTGCTTGGTGAAGCAGCAAGCAGACAGATGTTTCAAAATCATCTACTGAGGCTGAATATATCACATTCTCAGAGACTGCCTATGAGCTTGTCTGCCTCTGGGAATTGCTGGAGGATGCTGGCTTTGTGCTGTCTCAGCTCAATAATCTTGATGATAATAACAGCCTGATCAAATCACCAGTCAATAAGCTGACATATACAATTCAGATGGATAATAAATCAGTGATTGAACTGGCCAAAAGTGAGGCTATTCCGCGCTGATCTAAGCATATAGAGGTTCACTTCCATACTCTTCAGAATCTTGTCTGCAAGAATAAGATCTCAATTGATTATGTCCTGTCTGCTGAGAATGCAGCAGACAGGCTGACCAAGCCGCTTGGAGCAACTAGATATGCCCTATGGTGACAGATATTAGAAGACATGATAAGTGGGCGGAAATGATTATATGGAGGAAATGACTGGTTTTTCAACAATATGGGTTTTCCAGTCAAATTATGTACCAATACCTAGCTACAGGCTATTTTTTGTATGTAATCTCGCGTACAGTTACATCAGTGAGTGGGGGTGTCAGGCCTATCCGCCTTCTTATGTAATCCGCACTGTATATAACTTCCGCGTAGCTAGCGATGGCTTCATAATCAATCAAGCAATCTATCCTTCACAGCTATATAATGAAATATTAAGCTTGGTGAGAGAAAAGATGCTGGGGTCCGCCCGTATTATAAACAACCCTGCAGATCACGTGATGGGGATACCTAATCCCGGCACCGAGGTCGCCGGCGCCGAGCCTAACATTAATGAGCTTATTCTGATATCATATGATTTTATTTCTAATTAACTCAGTTTGAGATATCATTCAAATTTATTTTCTGATGTTTTGCAGATCAAGATACTTCTTCTTTGATAAAGAAGCAGATGACCTGAAGCTTAATATTCAGCTTTGAGATTACAGCTTCTGAATTAAATGAAATAAGTTCAGTATCTTTAAAGCCCCTGTGGATGTTGCTTGAAGTAATTGATATATGTCTGTGATGCCAAGACTCCTTATACTAGCTCCTTGCTCCTTGCACCTCAAACCGCTTGTTCCTCCATTCTATGGAAGATTAGGGGTAAAACCTATTGTCACCTGTTCATGTATATAAACACCTCGAATCCCCCGAATTCCTTTCAAGAGATTCAGTGGTTAGCTACTATTCAATCCTACACCTATGTTTTCACCCATCGCTTCCTCTTCCCTCCCCAGCGCTCGCAGCGCCTATCCTCCTACTCTCTTACGATATTAGTTATGGTGCTTTTCACGCTTCCTTTTCACACTTAGTTCATCCACATCAAGTGTCCTCAGAGTGTCATATGCTGTTTGAAATGCCAGTAAAAATTTGAGTTTTGTAATGTGATTAATGTGGTTCTGCATAAGCATCTCAATCTGCTTGTTATATGCCTTCCTTGATGATGATGATGCAAAGCAGCTCATATTAAGGCAGCTGAAGAAGGTGAGAGATGATTATTATACCAGCTATTTAGTGACAGAGATTATTTCTAAAAAGTCTAATGCTGTTGCTGCTGCCCATACATAGGAATAAAAGACCATTTTCTTGGCTGTTAAGCGCTAATTAAATAGATTCTTCTCATTGAAAAGCCATTTGAACAAATTGGTTAAATCAGTTACACTCTTGGTTGGGGCCGATTCTAGGGGGTAGCCTAAGCCCTTCACGTGCTTTATGAAGCACAGACTACCATCCGTCGAAAATTTCACGGAGTTTTGTTTTTCCTGTCAGCAAAAAAAAAAAAAAAAAAAAAAAAAAATCCAATACAAAAATAAAATCTGCAACTTTCATCATTTCCGTCGTTCAGCAACACCACCCTTTCTCTTCCATGGTCCCTCTGTTCACCTCAGTGTCTTTACTTTACACTCTCTGAGTTGCATTGTGTTGTCTTGGTGCTTTGCTGTGTTTGGGTGGTAGTTGATTTCTCAACATTTATCTGTTTTCCAAGAGAACCCTCAGAATGCTGGGTCCTGTCCGTCGAGGAAATATCCTCGGACGCACTATACGACCATACATTGTCCGCTCACTCAGAATCCAGACAGGTACTCAGCAGCCAATAATTTCATCTCGGATAGCTCAACAGCCTTCTGTCCTTGCTATCAGAGCGTTCCATCCGTATCCGGCCCTCAGATCTTCTCAAGCTGCCTCTGCTGTGAAGGAATCTGAGGCTCCAACCGAATACACGCAATTTTCCGAATTGGCCACCGATGGGCTGGTTAGTGACAATGTCATCCGGGTACTTACCAATAAGATGAATATCACAACTATGACAGAGGTGCAGAGGATGACAATAAATGCTACATTGAATGGATCCGATGTGTAAGCGATTCGTCTATCACCCGCCACTTTTCTCCCCTTGGCTCAAGTCTTATTTTTACCATTTTGCTAACTGAAACAATGAAGCCTTGCCCAGGCAAAAACTGGAACTGGCAAAACACTTGCTTTCCTTATTCCAGTTGTGCAGAATATTCTAAAAGATCAGCAGCTAGCTCAACGGGCGAGGAACAACCGTTCACGATCCAACGCCTCGGATATCCGAGCCCTTATTATTTCCCCAACCCGTGAGCTTGCCGAACAAATTGCGGTAGAAGCAAAAAAACTTGTGTCGAACACCAGTGTTATTGTCCAGACAGCTGTAGGTGGTACGAGGAAACGTGAAGGCCTAATGCGGATTCAACACGAAGGATGTCATATCCTTGTGGGTACTCCAGGACGTCTTATTGACATATTCTCCGACCCAACAAGTGGTGTTTCTGCCCCGAAATTAAGTGCATTGGTCCTTGACGAAGCCGATCGTCTTCTTGATATCGGATTTGCCCCGGATATTCAAGAGCTTCAAAGCTATCTACCACGCCGTCAAGATGTCGACCGACAAACTCTTATGTTTTCTGCCACCGTCCCAAAAGAGGTTATGGCTATGGTGCGCCAGACGATGAAACAGGATTTTACTTTTGTCAAGACAGTTAAAGAAGATGAAACACCAACGCATTTAGCCGTTCCTCAAAAGCTAGTTTACCTCCGTGGATTGGAGAATCAGCTCCCAGCCATTTTTGAGCTAGCGAAGCAAAACGTTGAAAATCATAAAAATGATCCTGCCAATGTCAAACCCTTCAAAGCGATCGTGTATTTCAATTCTACTGCTGAGGTCGGCCTGGCGAGACAAGCTTTTTCAGCAATGAGATATGATTTGTCTTCGGATTCGGATCATCCCCTTCCTGATGTTCAGTGCTACGAGATGCATTCCCGCTTGACTCAGGACCAGAGGACAAGATTCTCAGGCCTATTCCGCAAAGCGAGCTCTGCGATCCTCTTCTCTTCCGACGTTACAGCCCGTGGAATGGATTTTCCTGATGTCACGCATGTGATCCAGATTGGCGTCCCACGAGATAGAGAAACATACATCCACCGCCTCGGACGAACAGCTCGTGCTAATAAAAAGGGAGAGGGGTGGATTTTCACTCTACCGTTGGAGAGCGACAATGTCCGCCGCCAACTCAGAGGCCTTCCAATACGATCCGATAGTTCGAGCCTCCTTACTGCATCAGCTGACATGACCACAGAAGATGGGCACCCGCCTCATGTTTCCGATATATTCTCCAAGGTCAAGGATGGTTTCAAGACGGTTTCAATCAAGCAAAAATCTAACGCGTATGCCGCATACTTGGGCACCTTGGCCCAATTAAGAGATAAATACGAGGTTGTCCAGTGCATCAATCAACTCGCTACACACGGTTGGGGTCTGAGGGACCCACCTGCGTTCTCCAGCGTGACCGCCGCCAGACTCGGTTACAGGAATATTCCAGGTCTAAATGTTAGGAACTCTGTGGAAGAGGATGACGCTCCTGGTTCCTCCAACTCCCGAGGGTCCTATGGGTCTATTAATTCCTACGGTTCTCGCGATTCTTATCGTTCTCGTGGTTACTCCAGCAATCCTGGCTTCTCTGGCGGCAATCGTAACTCATATGGTGGTGGCCGTAACTCCAATGGCGATGGTCGCGGCTTCAATGGCGGTGGTCGTGGCTACTTCAGTGGCGGCCGTAATTCCAATGGCGGTGGTCATGGCTCCTTCAGTGGTGGCCGTAGCTTCAATGGCGGTGGTCGTGGCTCTTTCGGTGGTGGCCGTAACTTCAATGGCGGCGGTAGTGGCTCCTTCGGTGGCGGCCGGGACTCTAACCGGAGCTTTGGAGGGCGTGTTTCGAATACCAGGCAGAATCGCGGTAACCCCTTCGACTTCGATTCTTGAATTGATGACCAGCGGAGATTTGTCTGAACCTGCATAGCTAGTTATCCAACGCTATCATTCCTAGCTGGGTTTAAACGAAGTGCGACATGAAGTCTGATGGATTCCAGCACCAAATTTTCTTCGACTTTTTTTATCTTTTTTTCCCCTCCCCTCCTCGCGCAGTACAGAGTATCAACTCATGTTATATCTCTGCGCTTTCGCTGGCGACCAGGCAGAATCGCGGTAACCCCTTCGACTTCGATTCTTGAATTGATGACCAGCGGAGATTTGTCTGAACCTGCATAGCTAGTTATCCAACGCTATCATTCCTAGCTGGGTTTAAACGAAATGCGACATGAAATCTGATGGATTTCAGCACCAAATTTTCTTCGACTTTTTTTTTTTTTTTTCTTTTTTTCCCCTCCCCTCCTCGCGCAGTACAGAGTATCAACTCATGTTATATCTCTGCGCTTTCGCTGGCGATGGATCATAGACATGGGATGGGAGATTGTCATGTTTAGTTGCTAGTGTTTGTCCGCTCGTTCTTACGGCTTCTTCGGGTTTTATTTTTCAGGATTAGTAGACTTTTGTCTAATGGGATTCTATGGGTAAAAAGGCGGTGTTTGCTTTTTTATTTTACGGCTGAGAGTGATGATGTATTACTCATGGTTGCTTCATTTCTTCCATGTCTTACCTCATAATGTCGACCTTTCATCTCTTGAATCTCTTCTCTTCCCCTATCTATTTTCCCAGAGTGTACAGTCACGGTCCTATTGTGCATCTGGCAACCCTTGTAATCATAGTCGTCCCATTTTGTTTCTTATCACGCCATTTTATATTCCCTTCGATCCATGTGTTACTGCGGTAAAAGCTCCCTTTTATGCTGAATCAAAATGTTGCCCGTTCAAAATAAATATTTTGCACCTCCAAATATTTGCGAGCATTTTTAAGGCTGTGTATATTATATCCAGCGATGAACATCCCGTTTTCTTTCTTTCCTGAATCCTTGCATGTGACGCGTTCCACGCCTTTCCAGGGTCGTTCCCCATGAATGATTATCTAGAGTTTGTCCAAGAAATGAAAATCTCCGCTTTGTCCAGCAACTAACCGAAATTTGTCGAGTATAATTGGTGGAAATCCGTGTCAAAAGTTTCCCTAAAGACCAAAAAAAAATCACAGTAACTTCCAGCAAGTGCAAACCTTGCTCTGTTCGCTTTCTGTCCAGCGATTAACTACTTACCTATGGCCAGGTTTGACTCGAGGCGCCATGTGTCTTGGCGGCATGCAAGCGCCAACTAAACCCATCGTATGTCCCCAGCTGAGTTCACAGACATGGGGCGGGTTCCACGTACAACTTCAATCGATCTCCATTCACACGGGGCCCTGGCAACGTCACTGGGCGGCTACGGAAACGATTGCGCAGTGACTGCCAATGTTGATATCAGCCTGTCCTTTATTATTTATAGAATAAATATAGTTTTGCTATTGTTTTAAAAACAATGTATAATGCATTATTTACACAGTTTCTTTGACCCTCTCTGGTCTAGCCCCCCCTACACATACAAAGAGCTGCTACAACACCGACTTCTCCTACACAGTAATCGGTATAACAATCAGTGTCTTGTCAAGATCCTTCCTGGTGCAGAAAACTTTTGATGTCGTTTCCTCATAATCTCATCCGAGAACGTGGGTTGAGCTCGTAGGTCTGCTATTCTACTTCGCTCATCTATATGGACACTCACCAACTCTGGGGATGAGCTTAAGATACAGTCGGTGATGGCAGTTTCCAACCGCGTTTCTCAAGCACGGCTTGAACAATTGTCCCCAAATGCCGTCGTTTCTTTGAACAAATTATACCCGAGACTTCGAAAGGAACATTTATCATTCACCTGTGAAGGAGATGATATCATAGCTGAGGGCCTTTTGATGCAGAAGCGCCAGGAGACTTTTGCATCCAAGTCACATATTTTCCGTCGACAGCCCAGCAAACTCCAGTTTAATAAAGACGAAATTCACACAGTTATAGAACGAATAGTTCTAACTAATGGTTCTCTTGGAGTCCTCGATTACCTGCTGGCTAAAGCCAATGACGCGAAACATGAGAAGAACCTGTTTAAACACCAACAGCAGACGATGAAGAGAACTATAAATTCTCTGTTGATATCAGCAGTGGGCATGCGCCAGCCATATATGGTGTACGTTTTGAGTCAATACTCTGATGAGGATGGGTTGAACGAAGCTTTATATGTTGCGGTATCGGGACGGGATTTGGAATGCACCAAGATGCTGCTTCAAAATGGTGGGGACCCAAATTCCTGCCAACAAGCATTCCTAGACGCAGCGGTACGCGGAAACACCCCGCTGATCGACCTGTTTCTAAGTGCTGAGAAGCGCATGGCCGTTTCGTGTCTTGATCAAGTGTTACCCACCGCTGTCGCTTCCGGGAGCCTTGATATGGCTTCAGCGCTTTTGAAAAATGGCGCAAATGGTGATCTGCCTGAAGTTTTGGAGAACGCCGTTCGCTCAGGGAACGTGGACATTGTGGTTGCACTTATTTTAGCAGATCGTCCACCTTCGAAAGATTCTCTTGATGGCGCTGTGGACATTGCCTTCCACATAACAGAATCCAGTTCCGATATTCAAAGAATCCTAGTCGAGGCTCTTCTTTGTGGTGGCGCAAATGGAGAAGTGGTTTCAAAAACGTTGCTGAAAGCTGTTGAGAGGAGTGACGAGCATGTCACCTCATTGCTCGTCACACATGGTGCATCTGTGACGTACAATTCTGCCGAGGCTATCGTCCACGCAATTAAATTTGGAAATACAAAATTATTAGCGAGCTTATTCAGTGGTCGCATTGACAAGCAGCATGCCTCTCACTTACTAACGATGTTCCCCAAAATCTCGTCTAATATACCCTCATCGAAACAACTGGCGGTCATTTCAACACTTGTGGAGCGGGGGGCTTGTGGATATGCACTTCAGCCTTGTCTAATCGATGCAGTTCAGCGGAATGATCTCGCAATTGTCGAATATTTCATGAGCAAGCAAGCTTCCGTTGATTACGATAACGCACATGCGCTCCGTTGTGCAGTTTCTTCAGTGTCCTTGCCATTGTTCGAACTTCTTCTCAAAGGCCGCCCTTCGAAAGAGTCCCTAGAACTGTGTTTTCCCTTGTTAGAAGCCGTCCCTTCTAAACCCCGTCTGTCTATGGCAACCAGCCTCTTATCAGCCGGAGCTAGGGGTGAGGAAGTGGATAATGCATTAGTTAAAGCTGTGATGTCCAATTTTGTGGAGGAGAAAGAGCCTCTTATTTACGAGTTTGTGCGGCATGGAATTGATGTGAATGTTTGCGGAGGGAAATGTTTCCAAGAATCAGCAAGGGCAGGCGATGTTGGTGTCCTAAACATACTCCTAAAAGGCGTTCCTTCACCTATGTCCCTCGCCCAAGGAATTATACCTGCGCTTGGTCTGCCCAATTCCGATCTGAGATTTACCATACTGGATCTGCTTGTTTCTGCTGGTGCCCGTGGCCCGGTTGTCGATGAGGGCCTCCTCTATGTAATTAACGACAAACCTGTGGATATCCCTTTGTTACAATTACTTCTCGATAAAGGTGTTGCTGATGTGAATTCCAACAACGGAAAACCGATCGAAATGGCCACTAAACAAGGGAATTCTGACCTTCTTCGACTCCTCTTGTCATACAATCCATCTCATACGAGTCTAAACCTTGCATTCCCTCTAGCTCTTAATCTACAAGACTGCTCCATCCAATACACCATATGCCACAGACTCCTTGCAGCTGGGGTCAAAGGTGAGACACTTAATTCTGGTCTTTTAACCGTGCAAAGGTTGCCATGGAGCCATCCATCGCTCATCGAGCTGCTTTTGAAATACGGTGCCAACGTAAATTTCAAAAACGGTGCTGTGGTCCAAAAAGCAGTTAAGAAGTCTGACGGGAAACAGCTGGAACTTCTGGTTTCTCATGCACCATCCACCGAAACCATAAGTGCGGCTTTGGATATTCTCCTGGAAGCCGATGTGAAAGCTAAACATCAAATGGCGACAATCCTATTAGCGGCTGGTCGCGATCGGATGCCAACAGCTGTAAATAAATTTTTAGTTGAAGCAGTAAAACTGAAATCAGACGTTTCATTTGCGAAACTGATTTTAAGGTTTGGTGCCTCTGTTAATTACGGAAATGGACAAGCCCTTCGTTCATCCATCGAGACTCACTCTTTTGACGTCCTGGCTCTCCTTTTAGAACAAGATGTTACAAAAGAGGCGCTGGAGACAGCGTTTAACTCCTGCTGGAATCTGCAAGGCGCTGAGCGATATCAGTATACCTCCAAGGTCCTCGAGTCAGGGTTTAGAGGACAACACCTCCATAGCGCCCTTGCCGATGTAGTACAGGAGAATCCTTGTGATACTGAGACTCTCCAGCTATTGCTGAAAAATGGCGCTTCTGTACATCATTCTAACAACTTCCCTCTTCTCCACGCAGCTATGTTAATGGATGCTGCAATGCTGAAAATATTGTTGGAAGCTATCTCCGATAGAAATGCTATCAATGATGTCTTCAAACAGCTTGTTTCGTCAGGAAATTTTTGGTTGTCTTCCCCTGGATTATTGGTAATCCAGCAGCTGCTAGCAAATGGAGCCTGTGGGGATGTGATTGACCACGCTCTGGCCACATCCGTCGAAAATTTTGGCATTATCAGCGAAGCAACGGATGCTGTGGATATCTTGATTCGATTTGGAGCTAAAGTTGACTATGAAGATGGCCGAGCTCTCAAGCTGGCAATCGAAAAGAATAGCCCAGTTCTAGTGAAGCGACTTTTAGACTCTCTTCAATCGCCTAGAAGTCTCCCTGCAGCATTTTCGACTATCATGTCATCAAACTTAACAGAAGATGCTACCCTTGAATTAATCGAATTATTTTCCCAGATTCCTGGAGGTATTCCGGATTTGAATAACTCACTGTATGATGCCGATGGACTGCAACAGGAACCTGTCACATTTGCTGCATTAAGAAAGTGGCCCCGTGGAACTAAAATTCTCGAGGCTCTTTTGAGGGCTGATATTCTGGCTGATCAAACAATTCCATATATTATCGAATCCAAGGAAGGTTATGAACAGGTTTCCCTCCTTCTGTGGGCGCTTCTTCAGCCTCAACAGAAGGTTAGTCCATATGTTATTGATTGCCTTCTGAAAAATGAAGGTATGTCCAGAAATTTTGGTTTCAACGTCTAAATGGAAGGTTCTCTAACGCTCTATTTCATTAGCAAATCCGAACTTCCAATCAACAGGATCTTGCCAGACTCCCTTACTAATTGCAGCAATGGAGAGAACACCGGACATGGTGCTCAAGCTGATTCAGCACGGCGCTGATGTTTCGATATGCGACGCGCACGGCCGGACTCCTCTATTTTACGCCAGCAGACGCGGACAACTAGCCACAATGCGCCACTTGTTAAATGCAAATGCTACTGTCGATGATGGAAGCATTCATGAAGCTGCGCGTGAATTACACACCGGTGCTGTTAAGCTGCTAATTGACTATGGACATGATCCAAACTTCCCGTCAATGACTCACGATGGTCGTAGTGCGTTGGCAGAACTTTGTCTCAAATCAGCAGCTGATTCTGTGACTGGGCTTGGAAGGCTGAGACAAACCATAGATGCCCTTGTGACCGGAAAGGCTGAACTTACTCTTAACAGAGGCGGCAAGCCGATTCTTATGCATGCCCTGGATAATCCAACTGGCTGCACAAACGTAACAAAAGCACTTCTTGCCAGTGGGCTTTGGAAGCGTATCAACGATGAAAGAAATTTCTATTCCCAAGGCGGCTTTATTTTCTCACCTACAATGTACATTGCCAAAGACATGCAGCAAAGCTCCAAAGAATATGCACCGGACCTTTTACATATCCTGAAGGCCAACGGATGCAAGGACGTGTTTTACAGGCAAAACGGCCCTCAACCGCCAGACATGGTTGGAGCACCCGCAGACATCCTCGCAGAAGACAGGAGGCAAAAAGTACGGGAACGTCGTCTTCAAGAACAAGAAGAAGAGCACCAGCTAGCTCTAAAGTGTGAAATGGAAGTTGCCGAACAACAGAAACTCGTCATGAAACAAACACATAGTCTCCGACTCCAGCAGGATCGCGAAGTAGCTGAGAACCGCGACGCGATCACCGTCAACTCCGCAGCGCTACAACTACGCCTAGAAGCCAATGCAGCTGCACAGCGCCAGCGGATCGCAGATCAGCAGCGAAACGCAGCTCTACAGCAACAGCGTGCCCTCAATCAGCTCCGTCTCGAAGCCACGAAGGAGGAAGGCAGACTGCAGCTTGAGTACCAGAAATCCTCCACTGCGGTCCAACAGGGCATTTTTGATGCGCGTGTAACCTCTGAATCTCGAAGGCTAAAGGAGCTCGAGGCAGCAAACGAACGGCAGTATAAACGGGATACCGACTTGCTGTCACGCCAGGAGCGTCTCATGGCTGGTCGAAAATCGATGTTGGCGGATGACGGAAGGCTGCGCATTGGGCAGGGCGATATGAGCCCGGATTGATTTGAAATTGCATCTACGGATGGGGTATCTCATTTTTCATTTGTTTTGCTGAGTTTAGCTCAACCGCTTCTGGCTTTAAAGAGCGTCCTGACCATTGATCGTTCATACGATATTTATTGTCCAATATTAGTCGATGTTAAATATCATGTCAATCAACCAATGACCTACTTCCCTTCTCATGGTATTGTTAGGGATCAGGTGACCCTTATGGAATTGAACTCGTCCTCCGTCCAGTATAGACTGCTGCCGATAGGGCATTTTTGCGAGGTAGTCTAACAGATATAGAGACTCATCTGCCTGTTACCTTCCTCAACTCATTACTCTATACATTAACACTGTGATATGTGCATACATGAGGATCAAAAATGTGGACAGGAGAATACTATAAGGGGAAAGATATACTGTAGCAGAGAAAAGGAAAAAGAGCAACAAAAAGAAGGCCACGGCTACCTCTGAAATTCGATCCATATGATTCTGGAGACAGACACAACCGATGAAAAGAAATACAAAAAACTCCTACCTATCTATAGAGAAAAGCATGCCGGAGTAACGCAACCCAGTAGAGGACTTCAGAGCAAAGTCAGGGTTGCGAAAGAAGAAATAAAACAAACAAACAAACAAAAAAAAAAAAAAAAAAAAAAAAAAAAAGGTAGGAAAAGAAGAATATCCTAACAGATTTATCATATGCGCTCAATCATATGGTTTCTCGCCGGCCCAGTCCCAATCCACCTAATCGGCACACCACCCATCTCCCTCTCAATGAACTCGACATAGCGCTGCGCATTTGTCGGAAGATGTTCCCACTTGGTAGCACCCATGGTGTTCGACTTCCAGCCGGGGAAAGTGACATACTCCACCTCAACCTTATCCAACACATCAGCCTGTGCGGGGAACGATTCTAGGAGCTTCCCATCCAGCTTGTACGCCACCGCAACTTTAATCTCATCGAAGTCGTCAAGAATATCCAACTTTGTCAGGTTGATGACGGTGTAATGGTTGATGGCATTGCTGTAGCGACACATGACCATGTCAAGCCAGCCGCAGCGACGTCGTCGGCCGGTTGTGACGCCGAATTCGCGACCGGCTTTTTGCAACTTTTCGCCCACGGCGTTGTTTTGTTCAGTGGGGAAGGGGCCGGAGCCTACGCGCGTGCTATATGCTTTTACCACGCCGACTATGGATTTTATCGAGGTTGGGTTGAGGGTTAGGCCTTGGATTGCTCCCCCCAGGCCAGTGCAGGAGGAGGTTACGTAGGGGTAAGTTCCGTGGTCGATGTCGAGCAGGAGAGCGTTGGCGCCCTCAACGAGAACTGAAGGGGAAGAGCGATGTTTGTGCATGAAGGCCATTTGGTCGACGACGTAGGGCTGGAGTTTGGTGCGGTATTCCTTTGCAAGTACATCTCATGTCAGCACATTTGCTACGAAGTCCCTCTCTTTTTCTTTTCCTTTTTTCTTTTCTTTTCTTTTCTTTTCTTTCTTTCTTTCTTTCTTTCTTTCTTTTTTTTTTTTTTTTTTTTTTTTTTTTTGTTAAGAGAAAGAATCAGGAAATAATGTTTGGGACATACATTAAACCTCTTAACCTCATCTTCGAGGTCATACTTCAACTCTCCAAACTGTCTTCGATACCCCGCTTCAAGGGCCCGAAGTTTGCTCTCCACAACACCCTCCTCCAACACCTCTCCAATCCTCACACCTCTCCTAGATGCTTTATCGCTATAGCAAGGTCCAATTCCCTTCCCTGTCGTGCCAACTTTTTTTCCCGCCAAAATCGCTTCTTCCAGCCCGTCGACAACGGAGTGGAGATCAAAGCAGACTTGCGCCCGATCACTGATGAATATCCTCTTATCAGCTTCCTTCAGACCCTTGGCTTTTAGCGCATCCAACTCCTTGAAGAAACTCGGTACATGCACGACGGTTCCGGTGCCAACCAAGTTGATACAGTCGGGTGAGATGAGGCCTGAGGGCAGGATGTGGAAATCATAGGTTATATCATCGTGGACAATAGTGTGGCCGGCATCTAGGGGATAGATGAAGGGCGATTGGTGAGTGAGTCAATTTTTTATTTATTTATTTATTTATTTATTTATTTATTTATTTATTTCATACTTTTCATGTCAAATGAGATCCGGTGAAGACATGGGATGGGATAGAGGAGAAAATGGGAGGTGAACTCACTATGGCCACCAGCTGCTCGACAACAAAGCGTAGCACATTGAGAGAGGAGATCCGTGATTTTCCCTTTGCCTGATTTTTTTTTTTTTTTTTTTTTTTAATTAGTTTGAAGGATTTTTAGGTGCGGTTATTTGAATTGGTCACAATTGCTTGCTCACTATTAAATGCAATGAAATAGAGAGGAGCTAGGTGGACTAACCTTCATCCCCAAACTGCGCGCCCAGAACAATAGTAACCATCTTGAATATTTGTTTCGGCCTCTTCGTCTCAAGGGTTTATTCCGCCGTCTATGTCCCGCGCGGCTCAATCACTGATAGCGTCGAGTTCCTTTTTATTTGCAGTCGATAAACAAATCGCCGGTCATATATGCAACCAAATTGGGCTCCGGGGGGGGGAGGTGCTTATTGCTCAGAAACGGGAGGGGGTAATATCAACAAGCCGATGTGCAACCGATCAATTGAGTCACCGCCGAACGAACACATATACGATATGAGACGAGGTTAAATTTGGAGTCCGGGTTAATGTTTCGATGGCGGGGCAGTTCGGACACTAGGCCGGGTTTCCAAAGGGCTTCTGTACCCGGTTTCTTGCTGGCTGGCGTTGGCCGGTTTTCCCGCAGGTGGCAGTTAATAGTTATAATTAGTTAATTAGGAGACCGTTAATAATAAAAAATCGCGGTGGCGGGGAAAGGAAAACCTTGCAATGAAGAATTGAGATCATACTCAGCAGCTTAATTAATAGTCCGTAGCTGAGATTAGCTGCGTCCTATAAAATTCCGAAGAATCAATCAATCGCTGCAGACTCGACAGACCGTAACGAAGTCAAACGTAGAAAAGTTCCTCGGCAGCGAGGGGTAAGTGGACGGATTTGGCAGGTTAGGGCTTAGGGCTATCACAGCAGCATCCCATACAAAATGTCGTTCCGGACTGCGAGATCACGAGGTCTTCTTAAAAAAAGAAGCAGAGGTTGCCGACAGGAAGCAGTTTGAGTTGTGTCATTGTAGATCCTGGGATTGTTACTCGCCAGCTGTAACTCTTCAAGAGCGGGCAGGGTTGATTCAAGGAGAGCTGGGAGAGACTTCCATTATAGATTTGAAAAAACGCTGAATCAGATATGATCCTTATGTCTAGCAAAAACGAAGGGAGATAATGTCAAAACAGTCGCCGTTTGTATCTTTGTGGCAATTTAAAAAAAAAAAAAAAAAAAAAAAATTTCAAGAGACACTGGTCATCACATGTCACGATACAAGTACACATATAACTACACCCAGTGAGTGGGAAAGAAAAGAATCGAAGTAGAAGTGAAGGGAATTGAACAGAACGACGAAGTGCAGGGGAAAGGGAGATAAAAGACAGATCAATCAGATAAAATGAACAAACTCCTGTTCTTCCAATCGTACAATACAATCGCCGCATGTTTATCGTGAGAATGATGAGCTTGCCCCAAACCATCTATTCCATCTATAACCCCACCCCTCTCATTGTTCCAATCCACCGTTCCCCAGAACCGTATGTATATTTCGTTGCTAGGATTAAACATATACCGTGTGTTCTCACATGTGATCTTGGATCCCAATCCATCAACCTTCCACTAAAAAGCGTTAAAAAATAAAATAAAATAACCCATTGAGCTGCGAGGGAAAAAGAGGGGAAAAAAGAAATTTATCAAAAGATTTCTATCCCGTAGCTCCGCCAACAGGCATAGACCGATTCTTTCCCCCGCTCCGCATGAACCTGCGTGTCGCATCCAGTGCCTCCAAACACTCCAAATGCCGTTCCCACGCAATTTCCCAATGCTGCCGCACGACAAAATCCTCCTTCACGCCACGGAAATAGGCATTAAACCCTCCCATGCCACTTCCAGCAGCAAACTGCTCCTCATCAGCATCGTCACCCTCATCATCTCCACCTTGCACGCCATTACTCGCATTGGTGCTCTTCTTCGCTGCCCAATCGGCCCCATCTTTAATATTTAGTCGCGTAGAGTCGCCGACAGCGCAAACCCATTTGGGCGCCAGTCCAGTCTCCACCGTGTGCTGCCTGGCGTTAAAATGGCCAAGCATGGTGCGGTTGAAGATGTTCCAGTCATGCATATAGGCATTGACATCAGCCACGTAGCGCTCCCACATGGTCTGTATTTCAGCTTTGTTGTGGTGTTCCGCTGTGGAGAAATTCGGCGCTGCGGGCACTCTGGGGGGTTTGGGGAGCGTGAGATCTTGCGGACGGACGGTAAGGCGGGTATGGCTGCTACTATCGTCTGGTCTCGATTCGAATGGAAGCGTGCTGCTGAGATCGTTAAGGTCGTTGATGCCAGTGCAGTTGGTGGGCGTAAATGGCGCAACTTTGGTGAGGTTTTTCAAGTTCAGAGTACTATTAGGAAGAGTACCATCTGTCGTGGGAATTGCTGTAGCGGCAGGCTTGATATCTGCTCCCATTGCCGCATTGAACGGAGCAGGCTGTTGTCGTTGTTGTTTGAGGTCATCGTTAGGGACTCCATCATCAATATCCATTGCCTCAACGGATTCAGGAAGGTTCTGTTGAGGTTCGACTGGGTTTCCATTGGATAACATAGCATCTGCCTCTTCTGCTTCTGTCGTCACAGCTGCGTGTTTGGGGATTGTTGGCGGACGCTTCACGGCGGGTTTCGATTGCTTTCTCGGACTCTTTTGACGCTTCTGGTTCCGTTGGGGGAGCTCGTTATGTGGCATTGTCCAAATATTGGATTTCAAAACTTCCTCTGTCCATTTGTCTACTGAGAATCCCGAATCAAGGAAAGCTGAAGAGGATTTATTGATGTTTTCTTGTTGGTTCTGATTAGAGCTTCCGGGTGGTGGAAAAGGTCGAGGATGATTTGCAGAATTAGGCCTGCTTATACTCCTACCACGAGTTCGGGACGGTTTCCACTGAGAGGGCAACTCTCTAGACGATTTTGGTACCAAGAATTCGGCCGCGTGTTGAAACTTTCCATTCCAATCAGAAGGGGAGAAAGCGACGTCGATACTCTCATGGTTTCTGCTCTTGAATGTACCATTAACAGGGGATTTGTCTTCCGTGAATGGGCCAAAACTGGGAATGAAACTTGAGTCAGCACTCATTGTAGTTTGATTTATTTGGATTGAATTGGATGGGTTAATAGGGGTGGGGATTCCATCACGTGGAATCCCATCCATATTTTGGGATGCAGGACTCCGGTCCTCAGCTTCTCTGCTCAATCTTGGAGGGTTATAAAACTGGGGGAGGATGCTTGAGGGATAAGCCCAGAGTGGGAGTGATTGCTTAGGGGTGTTGTCAGTAGCCGGTGAAGGGGTAAAGCCCCATTTCCTCGACCACTCGCGAATAGAGGGTTTATGAGATGGGCCGTACATGTTAAAATTATTAGGTGAGTCGGATTTCTTTGAGTTATTACTAGGATTTTCGGCCTCTTGGCTTGCTGTGTGATTTTGGGTGCCATGGGTCTGCTGGGCTTTTGCAGACGGTTCGTGTACCTGTGAGTCATGCTGGGCAAATCCGACGTTATCGGGAGGGTGTCCTAGAGGGTTCTCATAGTTAGTATTCAAGTTCCACCTTCCGCGAAGGGTTTGTCTGGGGTTTCCGTCTGGACGGATATGGGGTGGTTCATCGAAGAGCCAAGAGTCTTTCCGGGTTGTGCAGCCCAAAGCGTCCTCACCAGGGTCAGGCTTGAAATGTGCAAAATTGTTTCTTTTCACATTATTTCCAAACTTCCTACTACGTGGGGACCTTTTGGGTCTGAAAGATGTATCAACCTCATCAGAATCGCTGGTTTCCGGGGAAGATGGAAAAGTTCGTTCTCGGTTCGATTTGAACTTCGGGCTGGCACTGCGGTGCCTTCCTCGACTACCCTGGGGGGATGTCGGACTTGGGGGGTTAGTACGAGAACGAGTATCCGACTCTGTAAAAGGAGAATCTCGGGTGCTAGAAGATCGTCCAAGGCCAGCTCCGGACACATAGGTTTTCTCGCCACCAGTAGTTGCATATCTACAACTTGTCCTTTGCAGGTGTGGAATGTTAGTATCGGTCGACTCTTCCTGGCGTGGCCACTTCTTTGCTGTCGGGGACGGCGCAGGCTCAAAGAATGGCTCATGGTAAGATGCTCGTTGTTTGTTAAAACTAGCATAGGCTGACGTATTCTGCGCCATCGGTTCATCTCCCCCTGGGGTTCCAGGAGCAAAACCTTGTTTTTTCTTCGCTTGCGCACGTTGTGGAGACGGATTTGGAACATTGAAATAGGCCTCATATGCAGATTGACGTTGAGAGGTCTGTGGATTTGATGTTGACGCGTTGGATCGGCCTGTCCTTGGATCGAATCCTGACCAGCCGCCTGGGTTGGCATTCGGTTTCATCTCATGAAATCCGCGGAACGCATCCGCCCTGGTTCGCGTATCCTCGTAGATCTTGTCCCATTTCTGTGAACCTGATTTCGCATAGCTGGAATATTTCTGGGCTCCTGCAGAAGGAGGAGCGGGATATGATCCTCGATGCGGGAAACCTTGAGGGTGGTGTTGTGTGTTCTCCGGGGGGTTTCTCGGTTGTGAGCCAGGTGTTGGCGCTCTCCTAGACTGTGCGGAAGGATTTGGTGTTGTTTTAGGTTGCGTATTTGGGGTAGGCACCCGTCGAGCTTGAGGGTTATTTGGTTGGGGATATTGCGGTCGCGGAGGTTGCATATTTGTTTTAGACGAGCAGTAGAACTTACCATATCCCGCTCGAAGTCTACCGGTATCATATTTTAATCGTTCCTTGGAATCAATAAGGATTTCATATGCAGCTTGAATAGCTTGGAATTTGGCATTGTACTCAAGTTCCTTGCCTGGATTCCGATCCGGATGAAATTTCAAGGCTATTGTGATGCAGGGACATATTAGGATTAAGGAGGAATACAATACAGCTACATGGACAAAAGGTGAGGATATCTCACCTAGCTTCCTATATTTTTTTCTGATCTCATCTTCTTCTGCTTTCGGGTCAATGCCTAGATCGGCGTAGTAGTCTCTCTTAATGTCTGCCTTCACCATTCTCGCAACCTAGCTTGTTGCTGATGAGTAGGACAGTGGAAAAACACTCCACCGGATTGCGCTTGAGGGTCAAATTATGGGGAAAGCGTAGAAAGCTGAAGTTTGTGGTTAATCGAAAGGAGTACGGTCGCGCATCGTTCGAATAATAGAGAGTGCCGCAGAGAAAAGGAGAGCAAGACGGTCATACACCCCGCTTCCCTTCCGGTTTGTACTTCCTACCAATAGGCTTATCCTTTAAGCAAAAATAGCATCTGCTCCAACATCGCAAGGAAAAGTTAGCTTTATTAAAGATGCTATATAGCTGAATCCGTAGGCCTAATTTCTAAAGGGTAGCCCCGGGTTCAATCGCCATACGATAGCAACTACTGACTGATATCGGACACGGCAAAGAAAACTATAAGACTCAAGACGATTAGCCGGTGCTTTACAATGCGGTAAAGGCAAACGTTTCGTTTCCCCTTTGCTTCTGCTTGAAAAAGGCGCAAAGCAGAGTGACACGACGGACGGGATCTCCCGTCCAGCGAGTGGTTCGCAGATAAAATAACAACAAAGGTAAAATAAAAGTGAGGCAAGGGAACTAGGACAAAAGGACAGACCTATTACAGGATGTATTCAAAAGCCCAAGACAGGCGTCATCTATTTAGCCGGGGGAAGAGGGGGGGGGTTGGGCGACTGTGTCGTTTGGGTTTTTCCTTTGACGCAAGATTTGAGGCTGGTTGGGCTGGTCGGGTAGCAGTAACACTCGCAGCGGCAGCCAGGTCAGTCCAATGATGCAATGCGTACAGGAAGGCTGCTCCAGGGAGAAAGGGATTCGACAACGGGGAAAACTGCATGATCCACAGACTGTGCAGGGGAGAACTGGTGTACCTGAAGGTGGCTTGTTCCTGGAGACCAACGAGAGGAAGACTAGGAAATGGAGAGACGCGTAGAAGCTAGACAAGAGGCTGCGAGGGTGGCCAAGAGAAGCTTCAATGGTGGAAGAATAACTGATGAAACATGATATAGGAAGTGAAGCAAAAGCTGTTGGTCGTGTGTAGGTGTCAGTGGCCTGTGTTGATGTTCAATGTCAGTGTCAGGTTCAGGTCAGGGTCTGTTGTTTTCTGTTTGCCTTTTCATCAGCTACTTTGGCAGCAGCTGAAAATGTAGTTCGATTTTCCCCACGATCCAAAACCAGCCCCAAGTCAGCGCGCCATAAAAAAGCTAGCGTCATGGATCAGCCCGGCTACCAGCAACCAGCCGTCCATATTTCTTCATGTCTATGATATAAACATCTTCGTGTCCAGATCAACTCAGTATTTTAAAGCTATTTGAATCACAACTCTGCTTAGTTGATGAGCTCAATTCAAGTGAGATTCGTCCATAAAAATCCTCTGCCTAACTAACTGCAAGGCAGGATTGTTTCGGGTGATAGATGAACACCAGTTGCTGGCAATAGTTCTATGATGTCGTGTAAATGCCCACGGCTACCCGTTATATCATCCGTGCATTTACGTATTACCCACAATAAGAGTTTCAGTTTCTCAGCGGAGAAAATGGGAAGGGAAGGAAATCTCAATTATTCGTTGCTACAAGAAGATACTACAGAGTATATAATGCAAATAGTAAATTAACCTAGACTTTTTTACAAGCAACTATAACTGTCATAAGAAGGTTTTCCAACAACATAAAAGGGATATCAAATATATATCTCAAATCCTTACACAAGAATATGGGGGGGGGGGAAGAGGGAAGCTATCACAAAAGTGAGCTATCGAAAATGACGGGAAACCAACACAAGCAAAAAGAAGCAAACATATGATTAAACACATGGATAAGAAGTATATTTAAGAAAATCACCTCCAATTTAATTGACGAGAATGAAAGGAAAACAGAAGGGAGGCTGGGGGCGGGGGGGGTGGGGGGTTATAACGAACATCTCATAATTTCCATTTCAAAACCTCCTTTTCAGCCATCCCCCCCAATTCCGCCACCAGCAATACTGTCATTCCCATTCCCTCCGCCCCCATTATCAGCATCACCATCCCCGTTCCCAAACCCACTAGCCCCAGCACCAAACCCAACCGCCCCAAAAAAGAACCCATCAAACAAGTCATATCCAACCCCTTCACTCCAACCATGTTGGAAATCCATCGCCATGCCGAATCCCAAATCCAGCCCCGTGCCCGGATTCGGTCCGCCGCCGCCTACCAAAGAAGAAGCATCGCTAAAGCTAGGTAAGGAGAGCATGTTCATGTTAATATCACCTGTTGTGTCAGAGTCACTGCCACCGGTTGGCCGGTCGTAGAGGGTATCTGTTTTATGATTGTCACTGTGAGGGATGACCGGACTGGTAATGGAGGTGGAGACGGAGATGGAACTTGTGGCCGGTGAAGCTCTGTCGGTGAATTGCCGGTTGGAGGGGTATTGGTCACCGTATGGTGGTTGGTGGGGTAGGGAGCGGGGGCTGAGGTGATAGTTGGAGGTTTGGTGTTTTTGGTTTGGGTAGGGGTATGGCTGGTGATGTTGGTGTTGTTGTTGGTGGGATTGAATATGTGTAGCCTGATGCTGGCACTGCTGCTGCAGATGTTGATGAGGGTGCGAATGCGATTGCTGTGCCGGATAGGGCTGTCTGGTTTGATATTCCTTGGAGATGTATTGGTTGGTTCGTACAGGGTGCTGGGCCGCAGGGCCGCCATTGGGGTCCTGTGATTCTTCTGGCTGACATACGCTTTCATCCATCGAGTCTTTAGGGAGGAGCTCATGAACTTCCATTCCAAACTGTGGTTGGACGGGTGCGGTTTGTTGTTGGTCGAATAGCTGATGTTGCTGGTGAGTTCCCAAAGACACCGGTGGTGAGTGTTCTTCAAAGGACTGGGTAGTTTCATTACCAGGGTTAGGTGTCACCATGTCGAATCTGTTTGTTTCAGTTGTAGCATGAGAGCCAAATCCAGTGGTAGAAAGGCACATTTGAACCGTTGCCTTGCTCATGCGTTCAAAAGCATCTCGGCAAGCTTCGGCAGGCGGGCACTTCTCCATGAGATCCCCAAGTACCGATGTTGCAGCAAGAATAGTGAAATCGACATCATCGAGGGTCTTTGTTTTCAAAGTTGTCAGCACAACTTATCAATGTATTATACAGAAGGAAGTATAGCCTACCAGATGGCTTCGAACAACAGGTGAATGCCAAATCGCATAGAGAAATGATATTCCTATTTCCGCGTCAGTTTAATAACTAACCCACACAACCGCTAATAAGGGAGGATGTAAAACTAACCCGCCATAAAAAGATGATGGGTAGCCAAGTAGGTATAGTTGACCAGCCTGACCCGATGCAATTGACGATACAATCGCAAGACCTTCTGCCCAGCTTCCGCAACCTTGAGGTATATATCATCTTCATCTTCGACATCTTCGACGTTAGTCATGGATGGACTCGATATATTCTCTGTCGGGCTAAGTTCACCGGCCAACGGATCCGGCACAACGAGGCTCTGGCGATATAACATGATGAGCGCCTGCCAGTAATTGAGTTCCAGGAATTCAACGGAAAACTGCACTCCAATCTGATGAGGGGCCGGAGCAGAGTGTTTCCATTCCGCTAAGCGTCGTTGGATATCATCCCTCCACGAACGGAACGAGTCGAATTTAGCTAGGAACGGTGACGGGAGCTTTGTATGCATGAACGTGTTACTGCGGTTCTTGCCGATTTTCCTAGCCATTAATGCCTGCTGGTGCTGGAGGACCTGTTGAATTTCTGACTGTAGGAGACGAAGTTTGAAGTAGTGTTGTGAGACGTGTTTGTAACTTGCTGCGTTTGCTGGTGGGTGAAGGAATCCCGCTTCTGTAATGTATTTATCATCGAGTAAGGAAGGGAATTCAGTGGTGATGACCTGGTCTGTGATCCCAAAGGGACGACCAACACAGGTGCTGACCAACCTGTCAAAGCTATAGGTACACCACCACAGTCGCCGGCGAAGGTCCCGAACCCATTCCCGCCTCCCGCGTTCTCGAGGGTCGACCTTCATTCTAACTTTTCGACCGTCTCGGGACTTGCCACTTGAACCATCCTTGGATTTCGTTTTTAGAGAATTATCTTCTTGGTCGCTCAAGGAATCTATGCCAGTTCCATCCTCATAATGTAACCCGAGATCGATTGCCAAACGCACCGCAACTCCAATAATATACCACAGACCCGGAGCAACGGGGCGTAAAAGGGCAAAACTCGCTAAGAGTAAAACGGCCTGGAGCTCTTCAAGACCGCCAAATCCGTCAGTGTGTTGAGATGAGCCAAGAAACCCTTCCAAATCCACCACAGCAGAAGCATGGTATTCCTCTGGTTGATACTGTTGGAGAAATAACTTCTGCCTTTTCTGTGAAGGGGGTGTAGGAGACGTATTGTGACTCAGCCGGACCTCCTCCTCTTGCGCGTGGACATCACTTTTCGCGTCGAAAATTATGCCCGCACCAATAGCACACACGACATTCAGAAGGTAGAGGTCTCGGTGTGACCGCCTACCCTTATCCACTGAATATATTCGGCGGAAAACTTCCATAAACTCTCCTCTATGTAAAATTGGAATTTGCGGATTTGCGTGCTCGAAATATAAGTTTACAAGCCGCTCTGCGACTGCTTGGTCAGGGAAAGGTGCCTGCTTCATGGTCGGCCTGGCCTGCAGCCCAAAAAAGGAGTCACGCATGGAACTTGGACCACTACTCGTGCTTGACCTGGCCTTTTGGCGTTCAGTGGGTCTGGGCGCTGCCCGCTCAGCTGTGTTGGTGGAAACAGAGCTTCTGACCGCCGAGAAAACAACCCTAGCGAATGAGATGCCAGACGTGGAACCAAGATATCGCGGATCCGATGCGCCTTGAACTGATACCATACCAATATTTGAGACGAGATCTTCGACCCGACGATCATCTTCGTCTTCTTGGCGTTTAATATCCACATCGATAGCGGATTTGTCTTCTTCATCCGGCCTCGAGATAGAATCACAGGCCAATTCATCATCCGCTTCTCTTTCACGCTTGACCTTAAGATTTGAATCCTTTCTGGCCCTAATTACCTTTTCCTGATTTTTCATATTTTTAACGAAAGGCGGCCGCGCAGCACCGCTATCCCCCTCTAGAGGCAATTTCCCAGGAGGGGCAACTAACCCAATTCCCGCCAGTTTATCGAATTCCTCCTCTCCCTCATAAGGTTCGGGTGGCCTAAACTCGATATCATTCTCGATGAGTAATTTTTCTAAGTATGCCAGGCGGGACTCTAAGAAAAACACGTAGCTGCGGGGTATTTCCCGCTTCGTAGTGGGGTCGTATCCAACGCAGTGAACGCGGGCCTTTTCGCATGATAGGCAACGGGGAAGATTCTGATCACAGCGGTTTTTGCGAAGACGACAGCGGTTGCAAGCCGAGACATTGCGAAATGAGGAATAGGAGTTGGATGCTGGTAGGGCGGGTTTAGAAGGTGACATTGCGCAAGATAGATATTCGTTGAGGATGAATGATCGTCGCGATCATTGAGCTGTGTACTATGTGATGGCTTCTAGCAATGCAGTTCAGAGAAGAGCGGTTCAATCCAAGAATAGGGTCCTTTGATTCCAATCGGTGGAGGTTGAAGAGTTTGAGCGCGACGACAATGTCAGGCTTAGCATGGATGAAATGCGACACCATTACTATGAGGTAGAGTTGAATAAACAAGGAGATATTTGCTCAACCATATTTTCATGTTTGATTATACCGACATTCCCCTTCTATAGTCTTCCACCATTTCTTCCGTTCTTCAATAGGGGAACCGTTTGCAAGTAGGAGAGACAACCCGGCAATGTCGTTCTCTGCAATCGAGTAATAACTTCTAATTGTCTATGCGGGAGAAGGAAACGGTTCAGTCGATTAAATAGTCATGGAGTTCATCCATCAGACTAGACGCCGCGGCGCATGTTCAACTGATCCTTGCGAATCATTCAATAGGGGTCCGAACGGAAGGAGAATATAGAAATTTGACAATTTTATACAGCGACAGCGATGAGCTGATCAATGGTTTGGCCAGGAATCTATCTTTTCCCGATTACGTGGGTGAAAGCATTGAGTTTTCTGGAACGTAGATGCTTGCAAGTTGCAAGCTGCGACAACGGTCCCAATTGTAAAGATGGTTTAAAATGAGAAGAATGAGCCAATTCCCAACAAATACACGCCACCCTTCATGAATGAGGGTCAAAATGAAATGCGGGAGAGGGCGGAATGAATCTGAAAGATGTGCTTCGTGTAGAAGCGAAGAAATGCGGAACTTCTTCAAACGAACTCGGGGTAGGGCTGGATCACGGGGCCTCCGCGGCTTAACTAGTTGGGTTTAGCCTGGTTGAATCTGCTCGGTATTATAGGCGGGGAAGTCGGCTTAACCTCAAGGGGGGCGTTCGCATTGGCCGAGTATATCCACAAGCGGAAGAAACTGAATGAATATACTTACTTAAATATTGTGCGTATGGAGTATCATTACTCGTGGTAAATACGGAGTAACCCTGTGGGTAAAGGGCATACTCCGTCCTGTCGATCTTTTCATACTGGGAGCAACGAAGGGTTGTTGACCAGCGCAATATCATGTCATTTTCTTCAACCATCCTCCTGGTCAGTTGGGTTGCATCTACCTATTCAAGGAGTCAGGAAGCCCGAACACAGGCTTAAGGTGATAGCGCTTGGGTGGGTTATGGTGGAGCCGTGCTGTTTGTCAAGATCCAACGCAGCACGGCAGTCAGATAAAGCAATTGACGTAGGTAAATGGATGGAAAGACACACAAGACATGGAGGAGATAGATAGACTGGATACATGTACTCCAAGCGACCTCCGTTAAAATTCTGAGTACGAACAGATCCTCTGGACGTTGATGTCTCCTGGAGTCTCTTCTTGTTTTATTTCACTTCGCGACGGCGCCTCGGCAAAGGAGCATTACGGCGGGCTAGTCCGCATGCAGATATCGGCGAAGCGATCCACTGGGGGAAAGCTAAACTCCAGCGCGGTTCTCTTATCCGATATCACTCCACTGACCTTCACAAGGAACAACCTGAAGGCCTAGCAGCTCTAGACAGCTTGGATGTGAATGGCTAGCAGGAAATGATGTTAATCTCAATTGCTGAGTATCGCTTTTATCTATAGTTAACTATATATTTAGCTCTTTGCTCTACGTTGTTGTGCTTAAGTTTTCTGAGATATTTTCATCTGAAGTGTTGAACATTGCGATATGGAAATGCCTTGTTCACTGCTGCTGTGGACGATACGGTGATTCAAAAGGTTTTGGAACATATCATGAACTAATCCCAATTACAGCTCCATATGTATCAACTTGGTCTATTGAACATGGTTGCCTATGGGGGAGGAACAAACCTCAAAAGAGGAACATCGAACTCGTCGCGACTATTCTTCAGGGAAGCTGGCGCCCGGATGATATTTGACATAAACCATACAGCCATTGTGCGTCGAGACGGAGACGGAGACGTCCAATTTCAAGATAGTTACGCCTAACCTGAAAATCTTTTTGTACCAAACGAGAGAGGTAACTAGAGAGGGAAGAAGAAAATATACAACACAACAACCATTTTTCGAGACTCCAGCTTACGAAATGGCTATCAGAATGTGGGAATTCATCTGTCACAGGCAGAGAAAAGGCACTCTCAGTCATTCCACAACGTCTAAACAACTCGGGCTTTATTCCGAGGAGCCGAGGTGCTCTTTAAACCAACCCACATCTTCAAAGGAGGTCGTGGACGATATACCTACATATATATAACCCCCTGACCAACAACCCCACATGAACATATTAATACCCGGACTTCGAGACTACATCCAGCAGAATCAACCAAACATCGCATTTCGCCTTTATCCTAAATATCTAAGCGGGCTCCTGAAGCTGTCGCAGCTCATCATGCCATTTGATGCCATTCAACGGTTACATCTGTCAACAGGACTCCCGACCATAAGTATCTCTGTGGCTTTGACGGCGCTTTTCCATGCAGCTCAGAAACGTCAACCGTCTAAGTAAGAAGAGTTTGACCCTCCGAATATGCCTTGAATGTTTCACTAACCTTTGAAATTTATATACTCTGTCTTAAGTGTCGCCATTAGGACCTCACACATAGTAAATGCTTTGTTTGTATCAATTCGTTGATTAAACTTTCTGATAAACGCCTGCTAATATGATAGGTTGGAAGTATGTCAGACAACAAACCTTCCAAAACCGCAACTATTAATAGCGTGCGATTTTCCAGGGCTTTGGCGCCCGAAACTGCGCACGGGCCTCCGAGCCTTCTAGGGGACCTAAACACTTGGCTGCTTTTGCCGGAGCTTATACTTTAACCCTGGCTCAGGCTTGTTTCAAGGTGCCTACCTTCACCGCAGCTTCACCCTGACTCAACTGAGCATGCAACCGTGCACCATTTCCTGAATTCCCCCCCACCCCCACCCCCACCCCAACCCCACCCCAACCCCACCCCATTATTGATGGCACCATTTCCTGTGATTGCCAGAATGACTTTTTACCAGGCCGTGCTTTGACCTTATGTAAGATGAATTCTTTGCGAACCTGACTTATGTCAAATTGTATTTTGATCATCTCGAAAGAAACCATGTCAGCTTTGAATAACTAACTGTTGGTGAGTCCTCAAGTTCCAATGCTGTGAGAAAAGCGACAACAAGTTGAATGAGCAGACAGTGTGAAACTGCCTGAGGGTTGAGGGTATGCTCCATCCCTATTACAAATCTGAGTAGAGCTAAATATGAAGGTCAACAGTACAAGCAGAGGGTGATCAAGCGATGGGGTCTTCGCACCCCATCAGGCATCAAAGATGATGTGTATCACCCTATTCCGGTTCTACTGGGAGTGGTTTACAAAGGTTTATGCTGATGAGAAGCAGCGAGTCTATGTCGCTGCTGGTATTCTCATATCTTTTATCTCTGGCTCCAGGCTGGTGTCACTTTGACACTCAGGTGAGGGATGAAAGACAATGCAGCGGATAAAAGCATCCAATCTGACTGTTAAAGTTTTGAGAAGCTCATCTTCTGTCAGTCAAAATTTCTCCAACCCAGGGCCGTAAGAACTGTATGGTGAAAGGGCTAGGCAAACGGAAGCAGTTTCTTTCAGATGAAGATGGAGAGCCCATTGTTCCAGAATGAGCAAAAGTAGCCCCAGGTCAAGGGTCATCAGAATGTCTCGCTGTGTAAGGTTGATATCATCACGTGATAAAAATGATATTTCTGATGTGAATATGGGCTGCTTTTCCGGTTATGACCCTGATGGATGATTTGGAATACTCTGGTTATGGAAGTGCAGACTCAAAGAGCACCAATCCGGAGCCCTGAACAACAGAGTACGTTGCCGACAGTGACACCAGCGACTGAGATGACGCCGATAACGAAGATGACGAAGATGACGACGATGATGACGATGATAGTGGGTATGGCAGTGATTCCACTACGGCCAAGCACGATAGAAATCTCATTGAGCATGTGATTGGTGAGGAAGCATGTGTTCGCGCAGCACTCGGTGCGAAGTAGAACCGATCGTTTTGAGTCAGCTGATACAGTACCATCCAGGCAAAGCTTTGCCTGTTTTCCCTCCCCCTTTCCAACCTTCTTCGAACAAGTTAAGCAGTGCTCAATAGTGTGTATATACTCAGTTCTTAGCAGAGGTTTCTGAATAAGGATCTTGCTTCAGGTTATTGGAGCTCCTCTATGAATTGGTCTAGTTAACGGAATCCTTCTTGCGTGACTCCGCCTAGCTCAACAATAATCTCCACATTCACAAACGATGCCAGTTCGTGCGGCAAAGCCCATCTGATTTCCATTGCAAATTGCAAAATAGATTTGTTTATCATTGCCATAAGCAAGTCCATGTGAAAATTGCCGAACTCTCTTGAGAAGGGAAGTTAGTAACGTAGCCGGTGCGGTATCGTGGGGATATGGGTGCTGCACTGCTTACAACATTCAGATCACGAGACGTCTCACCTTCACCAGCGTATAAGCTGGCTCATTTTGCGCATAATGTCATGTATAGTGTCTGCACCAGGAGGGCTATAATATAACCTGACCGAATCTCGAATCTCTTCTCGTTCTCGGTTTCTTCGTTTTTATCCCGTTCTATGCCACCCTCGCCCCGCGCCCACTTAATGAGCCCCCCGCACCCGCCCCCCTTTCCATTTCTCCGGGCTGTCGGATTGTTTTCTACTGTGCCAGAATGCTTTCCCCCCTTTTCGGTTTTTTGCCTACTATCAATGTTGAAACTAACAGCGGGATAAAACAGCTTCCTCTGATCTTGCGATAGACATCAACTATTGCGGGCGTTATGGTTTTCTCCTTTTCCCTTGGCCGGGTGCGAAATCCGTGAAAATTCCCCGAAATCAACTAGTGGATGCTATTAATGATGCCCCGGTAGTCCACAAACAGGATGGTGCAACTCTGGTTCGAAGTCATGAGTCTGCTGTGCTGAAGTATGGAACCGGAGTCTCCCTAGCAGAGGCTCAAAATATGAAATTTTGTTCGAGCCAGGACAAGGATACGCGTCCCCTGCCATTTACGATGCATGGGAAGAGCAGCCAAAATTTTGCAATGGCGAAGGGCCTGTGTGTCGGCTTTCTCCTGATTGAAGTAGCTATATAAGTGGTGATCCTGTTTCTAGCATTTTGGCCGACCCTCAGTGACCATGCTCGAGACTCTATTCATACCCCCCAGCTTGCGAAATTTCTTCGCCAACTTCATGCCATCAAGATGGAGAGACCTGGCTCCGTTGGCAGAGGGGTCTCCACTCGACCCACTCTTCACTGATTACGGCGCAGGCACAGCAGATGGAGTCGTGGTTCAATGAGCGCCTCCTTGTGTGCAAGGAATTCAATCGTGTTCCATACAGTCACCCTTGGTTCTATGGCAAAGTCCACAAGTTTGTAATGTGCCATATGGACGTTGCTGCGCGGAACATAATCCTTGATGGTGAGGGAAAGATTTGGCTGCTTGACTGGGCCCACTCAGGAGGTTACCCTATCTATTTTGAAACAGCTATACTCCCGAGGACTGGGAACCCCGAATTTACGCAAGGGCTACTGAAACGTATTGACAATCACCTGGAGGAAGCTCGGAATCTACTGGTAGTTGGTTTTGCTTTGACAACAGCAGCGTGGACAAAGGCAACCGGGCATATGCCGGACGAAATTTAAAAAAAAATGTGATAGATATTAGTTATGGGAATAGAATCTGTTGCATTTGCTAGCATAGAGATTTGGTGCACGACCTCCCGAAAAAAACATTAATGGAAGGCTCCTGGGGTCATTCCAGTAATCTGAGCTGCCGGAACGAGTTGGCTTTCAGAATACCAAACTTGCTGAAGAGCGCTACGGGCTGCTTGCGTTTCACTTTCGCTGGCGGTTATTCGATTTTCTTGCAGTAATGCTACAACCTTATCCACCCAAAAGCTGTTGCACACTTGGCCCCCCTCTGCGAACTTAATATCGGTCATAATTCGCTGATTTTATGGCCTCCAGTATCGTTTGAGCAGTTGTTCCGAGGCGGAACTGTGGTATTGCACGTCTTGACAACGTGAGTTGAGATTGTGTAGTCGAAACGCCTGACAACAAGGCATGCAGGCGCAGCTCCGGGTCCAGTAGGGCTTAAATCGCGGCAACTTGAAGTGTTTTGTGGGGTTGGCAGATACATGGTTTGTCTTTTTTTGGGGATCACTCGAGATGTTGCCTGGCGAATGTGCAGCAGCTTTTATGACGCCAATAGGAACCGTCAAGGCTGCGGATAGGCTGGACGGGATAGAAACAATCGTGGTTGCCATTGTTGAGAGACGCGATTGATAATAAAGCAACGGATATACTAATTAATAAAACTAATTGAGCAATGGATTGCAGAGGAGCATTAACTGAAGTGTATTTATACACCCATTTCTGAGATGAGAAGGCTTTCTGAGATGAGAAGGCAGTTGGTGTTTGGCGTTCATAGCGACAGATAAGTGCCGCCTCATTGGAACCAGCCATAACCAGAGACAATTAACTGGACAGCATATTATCCTCACTGCTCGACAGCAATTTCGCGAGCGACTGTCCAAGGCTGTCAAGTTAAAATCTAACAATGCACCGTCAAGGAGCGGGGCAATGCACGAACGGGATGCATATACAGGGGGTTTCCCCCTCCCGCTATTACCATGCGTCCCGATGAAAGGCCTGACCTACTGTGGGCTTGTGTAGAGCGGGTTAGCTTCCAGTGTTGAGCCAACGGAATGGCACTCCAACGCCTAATTTTTATGTTCTTCCTCCATGTCCCAGGCTTATATTTCCGGCCCGTGCCGCTCATCCTTAAAGGAAGCCCACTGAGACGCCTCTGCTGGGAATTCGAGCAACAAGTTTCAAGCTTCCAAACTGAAGACAATGCGCATGGGACGATGCTTTTCACATTTGTACGTAATCGCTGCGAATTAATTATACCCAATTCTTGTGTTATTCGTTTTATTAGTCTCTGTTAGAACTTTAATTGGGTTTTTGATCTCTTCAGCCGTTGCCTGGACATTGAGATTGTCAGGCGGACCTCACCTCGGCGCCGGGTCCACCGGCTCTCCACCTCGCATAGCAGGAATCGACGTTCTTGTGACTGTGGAGCACGGTGGTAGGACAGCCGCACTCATTGATGTAGACTCAAGCAAATTTCAACCACGAGTGAGCTGGCGGGATGATGGAGGGCTACTGGACGGCCTGTGGATCACAGAGATTTGTATATGGAAGCCATGCTATTGTTAATAAAGTAACAATCAGTCAAATCATCTGCTTCCCTAACAGTCCTTCCTTGGTCTACCCGGTTCTTCGTTGCCACTCTTCTACGGTCAGTTGGCAGCCGGTGGAGTGGTCGGTTGACAAAATAACTGAAGCACCACTACTTCTCCCTGTTGATTGGGTGCCAAATGGGCAAAAAGGGACAAAAGGCAAAAAAGGAAAACAGTTGAATCAGAACGCTGAGCTGGTATCCGCTGATGAACCCTATTGGAATGCTAGTTATTTTGGGTGTACGGTTGTGTATACAGTATGTTTGATTTTTTATCAATCCCTCTCTGGTGGCATGCTGTGCAGGCGGTGGAGATAGAAACATGGGAGGAATTGTACCACCACGTGTCTGATGCAAATTCTTATTCTTGTCATCATCATTGACAGTGATTAGTTGATCTGCTATGTCCGTGAGAATTCCAGAAAACACACCCAGGGCTTCAGAGAGCACCTACCTTGATGTCTCTAGTGTGGAGAGCCTGGGATTATGGTATCTCGTACTCCAGATCCCACGTTCGTCACCCCAGCCCTCGCTGTTAAGAGATCCGGCGCCCGGTTGAGCGCCCTGTTGAGCGCCCTGGCTTTAACTGCGGGAACTTCTTACGGATGCTGGCATGCCAGGCAACATTGGCTCAGATGATAGCAGCTCGCATATTGATACGGGGAACTCCTCATCACGACCATAGAAGAGACGTGAAGGGGATAATCATCACAGCCCGCATCATTGCGATGCCTGCTCTGTGTGCCCTCTTCCAGCATCAAGGCTTTCTGATTGTTCATGGGAGTCTGCTAGGTTCGCACAAGTGGGGGTATTGGTCGGGAATCTTTCTCGTTACACGTGCTGTTGACTGTGGCGGCCGTCTGCACTCCCGAGCAATTTCGCTTGCACTTCGGGTGTGGGGCAGACGGAATCAACTTGGGAACGGTCTTGGAGGAGTTAGGGCCCCTTTGTCACGGGTGTATGGGATAAAACGGATAACTGACTGGGGGATATCCAAGCAGCATGAGAAGTTCTTTATGATGCCGATTGCGCTTTTCCAAAATCCAAGGGTCTTCTGCAGCTTTCAATCCCGTCCTAGAGGGACTAGGGTTAGCTTCCAAGAAACCTTCATACATCTCATCCTGGGTCAATGAAATATTCAGGCGCATGTCATGCAAACATGCGTCATTATAGAAGCCCCGCTTAGACATGACGTGCAGAGAAAATCCAGCTGACCTGAACTGCGTTCATAGCGATGGAGGAGCTGTTTTAACCAGTAGTGATTTATTCAGGTTCCGCAGTCCCCTCACCTAATTTGTAGGTATCCATATCTAATAAATAACAACAGCCGATAGGAGACGAAGGGAGAAAGGGGGAAAAGAAAGAAAATAGGCTTAATGAAACCTGTGCTCAGGCTAATACCCAACATCCCCGAAGATATGCATAGATGCAGACATCATCTTCCTATCCTAGAGAGGGGTGGGGCAATACAGAGAGGGATAGCTTAAGAAAAAAAATAAAAGAAGGCAACTCTCAGAATATGGAGAAGAACAAGCCTAATATGCTATGCATCTCTTCCTAATCGGAAGACATAAGGCAACAGCTCTTCTGAATCCCTGTCCTCATTATTCACCATCTTCTCCTCCGTATTTCCCTCCCACTGTCCTCCTGTGCCAGAGGCTCCCCAACGATTTCCGAAAGAATAGGTATTTCAATAGGTGTTATAGTATAACGAAAGAAACTGGTACGTGCGATGCATGTTGGGAGGGGCATTCGTTTGTGCATGACTTAGAAACTTTACCCTCTTTTGCAACCTTGCCTAACTATTCTCCTTACTTTTGTGGATAGCTACATGTGGAATAGCCACATGAGGAACTCGATGTTGGATGGGTTAATTGATGTGGACCGGGTTTGGTTAGTGAGATTGGGCATGAAGCAGAATGGATGCGGCCGGAGATGCGGCAGTCACGTGGTATCCAGCGCTCCAAATTCCATGTAGCGGAGGGTTTGAGTATTACGCCAGTTATCGTCTTGTATATGCCCTGGAATGGCGAGATGAAAAAAAAAAAAGTAAAGAGATTTTAATGGAGGATAAAAAGCCGAAGGGCCACAATGGAAACCGTGTAGCAGGTGGTGGAATGTTGAACCATGCCATGCAATGCCATATCGTAGAATCCTTTAAAATTCCAGTGGTAAATTGACCCACCACAACATGAGAATCCATGCTGATGTCCGTTCTATGCCCTGCCCGAAACGTCCACTGATTGTAATGGAAATAAAACAACAGTGGTCGAAGATCTTAAAGTAAACGGAAATCAGAAAATTCAATGAAATAAACAGAGGGTAATAAAAGAGACCTAATATAACCAACAGGAAACGGGTATTTTAAGAAATCAAAGGGTCAAAACTAGGTGACTTAGCGACGACAAAAAAATAACAACACAGAAAGAGGCCATGGTCACCAAAAAGAAAAGAAAAGAAATCACATATTCCGCCCACTTGCGTGGATCCCTAATTGAAAACGCCAACAGCCCTAGCGAAAATGAATGCATGAAAAAATCGCCCGGAATCCAAGTTAAATTGATGAATAAACTGAGGGTTTGTAGGAAGGAAAAATAAACAAACCGCACATAACAAGAGCATATAGGGTTAAAGTATCCGTTCGTCGGATGGGTAAGAGTGTAGATTGTGCTTTTATTAAAAGAAATAACATAAAAACATGAAGCCGTTCTCCTGGCCGTGAACCAGTCTTTCAAAAAATTAGAGAAGGAAGAAAAGAGAGTAAAAAGTTAAATATTTGCCTCTCTAAAGTGTGGTGATAAAGCGTTGTAGTCGAGATTGAGATCCACGATATCATCAAAATTCGATTGTGCGGGTATTATGTGTTCGCTGGTTGGTTGGCGTTGTCCGGGGGGGGGATTGAGAGAGCAGAGATGTTAACTGTTCCACAGAGCTATCTCTTCGGAGGAATCCATGTTGCTCGTCATAGCAACCTTCTTCGCACTCGGCTATGCAGGTCTTTTCCGAACCAATGACCTCCTTTTGGTCGTCCTCCTCGATCCAAAAGCTTACAACGGCTCCTAATAAACAAACGATGCCGCAAGCCCACCAAGCGAGGCCGGAGTATCCCCATGCAAGTCCCTTGGAATGTAGGTAGCCTGTCACAGTCGGCCCAAAAGCACGGCTTAGACTTGCTGTGGAGGCTGCAACGCCATTGATCGAACCCAGCACCATTGTAGAGGAGGCGGAGTTAGCGAGTAAGATGTTCGTTGAAGGAAAGGCGATAACATGCAGCGTTATCTTGGCAACCAATGCCGCATAAACCGCGGGTGTCTGAAGGGAGCTAGGAAGCAATACCAGGTATGGAACAACCAAATATAGAGCCGGCCATATGCAGAGGACAACACGGTAGGCCGAGAGGGGTCCGAAATGGCTTACGACATATGGGAAAAACCAAAGTTGTGCCACCATTGAATAAATTCCTTGGACTGCAAGCATAAAGCCAATTTTCTTTGTTGACAGAGCCATCCCCCCGGTAAATTTGAAAGGAGGCTCAGCTTTGATGTCTGAGACTGGTGTGCTTAGGAAAATTGGCATTAGCTGATCAAATGAGACACTATGGCTATTAAATGGTTAGAATGTCGTCCACATTTATGCCTTCAAGCCAGAATAATGACAAACTTACTAGGCGAGTATCCCATAACTCAAGATGATAAAAACAATCTTTGGCGTAAATGCTTTGGAAAAACTATGGCTCTGTTTTGATGACTGGCTGAGATTAGAATTTTCTCGGGTAGGCACCGGTGGGACTATAACGCAGGACAAGGGAGGAGAGTGTTCCGTGTTCCGATCCCCAGGTGGAGGTGGTTGGCCCTCTAGAAACTGGATTTCGTCGTACTGAATTGGAGATTTATATGCCTCTTCGGTTAATATAGTTGGGGCTAGTCTATCGCAGAATAAATGAAGAAGCCAGCTCCCTAGCTCAATACCTCTGTCGCGGTTGAACTTCTTCTCCGAATGGGTTTCTTGCAAGAATAGAATACCAATAGTAATTCCAAAACACAGAATAACAACGCACACCAAGTTAGGAAGCAGAAATGGATACCGGTCAAATATCGTATTACGAAGAAAGATCTGTGGGTAATGATCGCATGGTTGGGCCAAAGCTCCGCCGATTGCCGGTCCAACAATCGACCCAAGACACCAAACAAATGGCATTATGGAGTAAGCTCGTGGTTGATGTTTCTTATCTGTGACAAGCTCCGCAACTGTCGTTTGTAGGACGCCTATATTACCGTTGAGAAGGCCTCCGAGAGCACGAGCAATGAGGGCAGCTGGGAGATTCGGTGAAAATCCAAACGCGACCATGCTAATGGCGGTTCCAACCAGGCCGAAGATCAAGACAGGCTTTCTACCAAAATTGTCACTCATTCGGCCCCAGAAAACACCAGTTGAGAATTCAGCAAAGGTAAAGGCTGAAGTTACTGCACCAGCATACAAAGCAATCTTGCGATCATCGTCGGTGACCTTGAACGAAGAAACCATGTAATAAACGTAAGGGAACACCGACATGAAAGCAATGGGCTCACATATTCGACACAGTGCTGCATACGGAGTTAGCACAAATAAATATCTTCCGAGAAAGGAAGACTGCAATGACATCGAGCAAAGTAAAAGACGGAAGGTTGAAGCTTCACACGTACCTAGCACGAAGAGTTGCTGTGATGGAAACTGGCCATCTCCACCTTTCGCAGTAGTGCCTCTTCTAAAGACCGACTGCAAGTATCTACGCATCTCGTCACTTCCTCGAACGGGCAGAAAGACTTTAATTTTGATGGATATATGACGAGAAATGAAATTTTGTTTTTGTAGATGTGTCTCCCAGTTGCGGATTGACAGAAAAATGATGGGTAGAATGCCAGAAAAGCAGGTAGCTAACTTCTGCGGACTAGGTGTGGTGGACCTTTCTCAGTTCCCAAAGCACTGAGCTGCCACCGTTACTTAATCTTGGGCATGGGCATCAAACACTGGTGCTAATTTGGGTTATAGTTGTGAACTATGTTGCTCAGTTCTCGAGAAAGAAGCCGGGTAACAAGTGGATAAAATAGGTATGAAATAGATATGAGAAAAAAGTTGCCCAAAATCGAACTTCTTGAAGGTAGAGCTGGAAGCGTCCGTGTCATAGATTCACTATGAGAGAGTGAAGGACGAGCTGAAAGAATATAAGATATATACCTGCAAGTCTGAATGGATATAGAAACAGAAAAAAATAATCAGGAAACAATCAGATCTTTGAAAAAACTAAGAAAAAAGAAGGGGGAAATAAAGTTGGTTCCCATTAGGTCGGGAGGCAACCCTGGAAGATAAGGGAAGTGATGCATAGCATTCTGTTAAAGCTTCCCAGACGATCGGGACAGGGCAACATGAAATAAAATCGTCCCAGGCAATAGCAAATATTAAGCCCGATATCAAAGGTATCTAAAAGGCGCAGTAAAACTAAACATGTGGGGGGGTGGGGTGGGGGGAAAAGGGCGGCGGAAAGACAATATTTTTTTTATTAAAAAATACGTATCTTCGAGTGCTGATGGAACAAGAAGGGCTGCGTCATAGAGGGAGAGTAATGAGATCCCAGTACGAAAGTACCGTACTAGAATAGCTGGGGGTTTCAGGCACCCGCTGGAGATGGTCCCACCATTCCCATGACAGGATGAGAGGACGGATTTTGCCTTTTTGAGTCGGGTTTGACAATGGCATATCGGGCAGGGTTGGAACCGAAACTCAAGCTTAGCCCCTTTCAAATCCTACTAATCCATTAATTAATTAGTAGCAAACCAAAGTGGATACCTCAGCAGCCCATCTCTCCCCAAGATGGACCTAAATTAAAATTCCTTGAATCCAGTAGATCCGTGGGACCAAGCCCAAATATTGGGGAACAGAAGAAGTGACAGGTGGGCAAGGACTTGGGAGCATCTAGATACAAGCTATATGAGACGTAAGGCAAGGAGATGATATTTTAATATTATCATCCCTCGGACAGATAATTAAGTTACGTTGTGCGAACTATTATTTCGCAGGTATTCATTATTTCGTACTTATTCAATCACGCGTACGGACTCCGGAGTGTGTCTAGGAGATCCTTCGATATCTGAATTAGCAACTCGTTCAAGGCAGGGGTAGGCAAACAGTCATCTGGCAAAGCAAACTGCTTGTC